TGTTAAATGTCTAGAAATTTGTATAAGAGTCAATTATTATTGACAAATTTATGATTATTATGTGGTTCATAATTTTTTCTTCATTGCGACTTAAAATATTTTAATAACATTTCTTTGAATAGTATACGAGTATAACTGAATTAGTTGTATATACTTATTTTATATTACTTACTAAACACTTGTTTAAGTTAATCATTAAATCATTATATAATCTTATCCATCAATATTTTATAAAAAATATTGTTGGTAAACTTTACGAACTAGGTTTTTTTTTTACTTTTGAACATTTTGTAGCAATGAGAAAATAAAATAGATTTTGTCTCATTGATTTGTATATGAATCTTCTTCTACTTCGCCTTTCTCTCAACTATTTATAATCGACCACCTTTGTCCTAAACCTCCACCCATCTCGATTTTTTACATCCCCTACGCACACACCAATAACACTTAAATTATTCTCAATCGTATCCAACCATCTCTTTTAGTTCTCCTTTTCCTACATTTTTTTGTAAACAAATAAATTCATTATACATCGATATTCAGACCAATAGATTCTTTGGTTGATAATTTTAATTATATATTTTTACTATTCAATAGTAAATATAAAAAAAAAATTGATACATTTTTTAAAGAATTTATCTTAAAATTATTATAATTAATGATTTCATTAAAAAAGTTAGACTATGATATAATGCAGGACAAATCTAAAATTCGGTATTCTGAGTAGATAATAGAAATAATATTCATATTTATAACTATGTTTACTCTACTCTTAATTTAATTATAAATATGATCAAATTTAAAATGTTTACTTATTAAAAATGACTTATTAATTGAACTCTTGACTTTATTTATATGTGTTCATTTTTTCTCATAAAAGGTCGGTAGTAATTTTTAAGATAATATTTCGTAAGTACATATACTCGTATACTATTTAAGTTCGTTTAATAATTTTTTTTAATATACTGAAAGCATAACTGAAATTTAGTCAATTATATGCTATTATTAGAATATTCTGCCTACAAATTGTTGTCAAGTTTTATTTTAATTTATAAAATATTACAAAACTATTGCTAAAAAAAAAGATGATGTAAAAATATGATGACTAATTTAAAGCCTTATGGAGTATCTTGATTGAGAAATTCAATTTTATATTTTGTTTTGCTATTAATAATAATAATATACTATGAACTTCTATTTGATATTTATATATTGAACATAATATATACTCATACTGAGTGATGAATTATTGAAAGAATAATTAATTTTTTCCGTCGTTGCTTGCTAATGTGGATAGACGTACTCGTATAAAAATCTTTCGGATTCATCAGTTTTGTAACGAATTAAAAAGGTGCATTCTGTCTTAACATATATAGTAAAATGTGTTTTGTGTATTGATTCTATAGCTTATTATTAATTTATTATTAAGGTAGTCTAACTTGTATTGGACATTTCTATTGTATATTTTTAAACCCTTGCTTAAAATTACCTTTGTGTTATATAATTTTTTTTGTTTGTATCAAACAGTTAAACATTAAAAATTAGGCCTACAATATGTTAAAAATTTAAACTCAGTATAATAGTTAATATATTATGTACCTGTTTTGAGTATAAAATAAATACTTTTTAGTTTATGATTGGCAAGTGTCTATATAAATTTAGAAAATATCTGGAAGTCGTCAGTTATCAAATTAACTAATAAATGTTTATATTTTAATATTTACTCGTATTATTATTAATTTATAATAAATATCAGTACCTATGACGCTGGCTTCAAAATAGTCATTTAATTAAGACAAATCTATTATATATCATCAGGGGTGGATCAAAAAATAAGAAGTAAGGGGGAGGGGAGTAATATGTATTTAACGAAAGATAAAGTATATAATTTTAGTAAATACTTGTATAAATTAGTTATAATATATTTTAAAATTATAAAATATGAAATATTAATAAATTCATTAGTATTTTGACTAATCTCCAATTAAAGACATACTATTAAATATTTATTACATACTTACATAATATATAATACGTTCAAAGGGTGAAGCTAAAGCTCCTTAGCCCCCCTTGGATCTGCGCCTGTGGAACATAAATTTTAGCATATAATACATAATATATACTTTAAGATATATGAAACTTCGAATAATTGATTTGGAAATAATTAGGTGTTGTCTGTACAGTAAAGGAAAGAAAATGTATTAATAAAAGGTTAATATCAAATTTTTCAATAAATAAAAACAATACCATATAATCAGTATTTAATTTTAAACGATCTATAGAAACTGAAATATACCTGATTTTAATGTATTTATGACGAAATTTTTAATCGACTACGTGGAATCGGAAAAGTATTTTTTTTCATATTATATGGAAAAAAACTTAAAAGCATTCACCGTTTTATTATGTGGTGCGATTTTATTTTATAGACTATAAGGTTTAAATGGCTTTTTTCAAGTTTTTTTTTTATCTTTTGTTAACGGTAGTTGGACAAAAGAACGTTGCATTAATGTAAGCCCATATTCTCATATTAACGATGAATACAAGTTTGTTAAAATTAAAATCGTAAAAATATAATAATTCGTTTTGTTCATTTTAATAGTATATAAAATAATTATGTATTATCTTCGTGCATGCACACCTTATGTATAAATTCACGCACGTAAACCCCTCCTCAGTATTCTGGTATTAGTTTAAATAGCCTATTTTTTGTATCAAGAGTGTATTTGAACAAGCTGATAATATTCTACGTATAACATTATAGTTGAATAGTTTGCTAATCACGTGCACCTTAACAACACGATTATAATTTTTGTAATCAGTTGTAGTCGTCCAGATTATTTGCTTATAAAATTATAAAAACCTTATTAAACATGTCCCGGATATTTTACACGGTTTTTTAATTTCTAAATATTTTAAAAAATATAAATACTTATCAATGTTTCAATTTGGGGATTGGAAGCAGTGATCTATTGATTCGTATTTATCTCGTGCAAGTCGGTAATTCAGATGAATTTTACTTATAACGTAATAATTTATCGTTCATACGAGTTTGCTGTGCTGTTTATTGTGATATCTTCGAGATAAATTCTCTTATGTATTCATTTTTGGGATTTGTATCTACAAAAATTAGACAACTAATTATGACAATTTGAAAAGTTTTTAATTTTTCAATTCATATATAAAAACTACAGTGTAGAATAGTATTATTGATTAAGGCCGGTGAGAGGGTGATGATGGGAAGGTGAGAGCCTCGGGGCCCGTATATCCGAGAAGGCCCGTCGTCCCAGCTTTTTATACAATATTTTTATTTAAGTATGAAATATAAAAAATAAATTATAAACAAGTAGTATGTATATCATGGCCAAATAAGGGGAAGTAAAGGAGGCCTGAAAGCGATCAGTCCCGGGACTCTCAAAAGTTCTTGTTGGCCCTGCCATTGATTATAGAATAATTATTCTATAATCAATGGTATTATGTAGTTTATTTATATATTTCTCAATTTCTTGTGTAAGTAGTTATTTTTAAAAAAATAATATAATTTTGTCCAACTAAAAATAATTTTCCCTAGTGATTTACCAGCACTTCCAGATATTTGCTCCGAGGTCTTAAGCATAAGGGCTCTTAAGGCATATACATACCATAAATTATTTTATTTTTTTTTTTTTTGTGAATGTTACAAAATCGCTTTTATTTTATTTCGAACATATAAAATGTATTTTTCACCCATTATAAAATAAAAAAATTAAAATATATGTGCTTGCGTGTTTTATGAAAAAGAAAATAATTACAAAAATCTATTATGCTTTTATATAAATAACAATTATTTAAGCTGTTATTATTACTTCTTTCGGCAACCGTTGATTTTTTCATGTAAAATGATTTTTATATTAAAGCCTTTCATCTACACCCAAAATGTCTGTGGCTTAAACTCACCATTAAAACTAAAACTAATAACTTTATACATATTTTAGTTGAAAATAATGATATATTGATCAAGTTATTAAAAATAATCAATAGTTATAATATTAGGAGTCATACGTGTTTAGAACTATAAAATGAAAGGGTCTGTGAATGTTATAAACTTATGTTTATAATATAGGTTTATATATCATAACATGGTTGTATTATAATATAATAACACTTATGGTCTTATAAAAAAAATTTTTATATAAAAATAAAAATAACATATCAATTTTGCTAATTTTTAGCAATGTATAATATAGAAAAAATAATGTTTATAATATGTACATTATATATTTATATAATACATATCTAATGTTTACTAAAAGATTAAAAAAACCAAAGACCATAGTCCATATATTCTGGACTCACTTATATTTTATTAGTTATTAGTGTTATTATATTATGTTTTATATAGTCCTATACAAAACAAACCAGATAAAACGTATATAACTAAGATATAGTATTTTTAAGTCATTATCTATTATAAAAGTGCTCAATATTTATTTTCATAAAATATAAAATACGTTATAATGGATTAAATAATATTTTAAAAATACATTCGAGAGATACAATTGCAGGTACTTTTAAATTACAATTAATTATTTTTGGTAATACATATATAATACTTATATATTATTTATTTAATACATATATTTCCTATTTATAAAGAATCAAATAAAACATAGATGTTTGCATAGATGAGTGCATATGTACAGTGTATGCTTTATTTTCTTAAATATGAATACTTATACCTAGTAAATTTATATGTATACGATTACGAATATATTATATTAAATAAATTATGTTTGTTTTCTTATATTTATATATTGTTTTATTTAATTTACATATTGTAATGATAAACCAGTACGTTGATGTCAGCTTATTTTTATTTGCATATTTATGACTGAAATACTTATTGTATTTACTAGTTGATTTTCCCAACGTTACTCTGGTTAGTTTTTAGTTATTTTTAATAATTGTTATTATTATTTTAATGTACAAAAATGTATAATTTTAACTATTTGCATTGACAGAAAATGGGATCCATGTTCAGGAGTGAGGAAATGGCCTTATGTCAGCTTTTCATACAGCCTGAAGCCGCTTATGCATCTGTGGCCACAATGGGGGAAGAAGGTGTTGTACAATTTCGAGACGTAAGTAGCACAAGTTTGACTAATAACGATTACTAAAGTTGCATGAATAATGATAATACATTTTTTCTCTTCAATAGAATTTTTCAGTTTTTACTTGTACTTATATTTTATCGCTTAAAAAATAAGTACCAAATTCTTCATGTATCATAGTCTTTGTCAACATTTAAGGACCAATATAAGCCAGTAGTTTATCTTCTAAACCTTAAAAATATACTACCAACATTATTTTTAACATAAAAATATGTATATAAAATAAGATACCAATACATTGTAGATCTTATCAAGCTTAATTTCCAGTTAGTCACATACGTTTATCTAACAATATTATCAAGTTAAGGATTGTTTTATGGATTTACAATAATTAATCAATTACGATTTTATTTTACAATTCTACTTAAAATTTCTAAAAATGAAAATAAGCTTTCTGGATGATCTTGTAATAATAATATTATTATATTATAATATTATATATATTATATATTTATTTATAGTGCATATTTCTATATTTTTGTCAATTGTGTATGCTAGTATGTTGTTCTACTGATTTATTAATAAATTATATATGCTATATAAGACTATATCCATATTATGAATGTCTTACAATATATGTTCTATGTAAGTTCATTTTAGTATTTGACCATTATATCTCAAAAACAATGAACAATTTTACTAACACGTTTTTTTTTTTTTTGCATCTAACACTACACATCATATTGGGTCATTCAGTCGTATTTTTTAATTACTTAAATCATCTTTTGATTTGTTATGAAAACGCTTCTTAACTATAAGAAGTTTTATCTTTATCTAGAAAATTATTGACCTAAAAGTGAACAACGCAATTAGTTAGATTTTATCGATTCTTATTTTATCTATTCCTAGTTTTATAATTTTATCCATGAGTAAAACAAATTATAATCAAATACGAGTACGTTATAATCTATTCCTTGTTTTTTTTTTTTATATATATATATATATATAGATTTTTTTTATAGATTTAATGTTTTATAATTAGTCAAATATAGTTCTTCTTAAATTCAGCCATGTTGATATTTTCGTATACTATTTCTTGAAATGCAAAACAATAGATTATTAATTAACTCGATGTCAAAATGCATAAAGCAATTATAATTACATAGTAAAAATTTTGATTGATCACGAATCATGATTTATGATCGATAAAAGAGTCAACTATTATAATTATTTCAAAACAATATGAGTGACTTGAATAAAATCCAATTGCTTTATAATTTATGTACAATATACTTTATTATTCTTGCCTTTATCTCTATGTTATTTATAGAATTTAAATTATTGTGATGGTTACAATCTTTTATTATAAAATTATGACTCTATCATACTTTACTAATTATATAACGGTAAATAAACACATATATTTTTACACTATTCTTTTTTTTTCTAATTATCAAGCTTTCAAAATATTGAAAATTATTGTATGTATGGTCTAACTTATAGATTTTTTTTGTAAAATCTTATCGATTATTATTTTCTGGTCCATTTTTATATTGCAGTTGGCATATTTGAAGAATTTTGCTCCCACTGATACGTATATCATTGGTTTATTATCAATATGAAATAAAAATAACAGTACATTTATTGTTCTCTGAATTAAATCTCTTGAATCAATTGATTTGATTTACCAAAAGTTATATATCTTGGTGCTCTACGACACACTTTGTACACTATGAAATGTGAATGTGTACTGTTTATTTAAAATATAAATCTATTTTAATCCTATCCCAGTTAAATATATTTTATCTTAAGAACAACTGTTTGTTTAATCATAAGGGCGTATTTAAATATTTTTAATTTATAGTATTTTTTTTATTAACAATGATAATAAAAAAGCTATAGTACTTAATAGAATAACTCCTAATTTTAAAAGAATTTTTAAAGCATAGTTCTTAGATATCACCAATTATAACAATACAACTTAGTCACATTAAATCAATACATTATTTAACATAAGAATTTAACAATAACCTTATATTTTAAAAAACAGGAAAAAATACCATTATCCCTCTCTGTGAGAAAATTAAATTAAAAATAATCAAAGTTACTGGATTTTCAGAATGTTTGATTTTACTAACTCTAATTTTTCGAAAAAATAACTGTTTTAAAAGCTTCATTTAATTATACCAACATATTTTGGTATTTACTAAGAAATTTATGTAAATTCAAGCCATATTTTTGAAAAATTATTATTTTTCTTAGCCTAGATCTAGGATTTTTGACCTATTCGTAAAATTATATTTTATAAGATTGGATGGCTTGAAGTCATGCAGCTTGGATACTTTTAACCCTTTGATTCTTTCGTTGAATACAAATGTTGAGTGGTTACTACAAAAACAATATTATAACGTTTATGTGTATCTCATTCTTAAAAATGTGAATATATGAGTATAAAATACATATAAATAAATTAAGAATTACGTACAGTAATACTATTTGTATAAACCATTACACTGCCCTTTTTTTATCGAAATTGTATTTTTATTACAATTAAGAATGAAAAACTTTTAATGATGTTTAAATTTTATTACACAGCAAGTTATACATCATTATTGAGATTTTTTTATGACCAATAATTTAAAAATAACTATTGAACTTTTAAGAGCCAATTTTTAATGGAGTTCCGAGTTCTAACATTTGAAAAAATAATTTGTAAATTAACAAAATTTGAATTATTATTTTTTACATTATTATTAATTAAAACAGTTTATTTTTTTAATTTTATATTTATATTATATATTTTATATTTTATAAAAACATTTTTATAGCTTACAACTTGTATTTATCTGTTGCACTTAATGTTAATACAAAATGTATTAATGTTGTTTTATAAAACATATTAAATCTTTAAAATAAATATCACCAGTACTTACAATTATTAATGATAGTTAAATGTAGAAATGTATTAATAATGGCAAAAACTCTTAGAGCCAGAATAAGAAGAAATAATACTTTTAATTGCCTCATAAATTAATAACATACTTACATACTTTAACAATATATTCATTTTTAATACATGAAAATTAATAACGGTATTAAATTCCTAGGATAATCTCGTTAGTCCGAATGTATTTAAAGATTATTTTTTTATCTTAATGAGTTATCTTGGACTACTACCCTTCTGTACTACTATAATTCGATATGCGTATGTATACAGAATGTTAAGCATATAGTTTACATGAGTTTTCTAAATTACATATGTTATAATTTGTTTAATAATACGTTGAACTTATTTATTATAATTTCATAAGTATGATATCATTAAATATTTATTAAAAAAATTGATCTTCACGTACAAATTTTAAAAATATTGACTAGAATTTGAGAAACAGTATACAATTATAAATTATTTATTCTGTGCTATAAGGACGTTAGAACTAAATATCCACTAATAATTTATAAGAATTAATTTTAGTCACATGATTAAAATGATAAATATAAAATATATCTGAAATAGATTTTAACTGCACTCTGTATGGTTATATCATTAAATTATATAACTAATGTAATATTTTAGTTATAAAGGTCACTGTAAACTATTGCGTGCATTTGATAATGTATTTGATAGATGAATAAATAATAATATTGGTATGTCTAACAAACCTATGAAGTGTACTATAGTTATCTAAACTGACTTTCTTTTATAAAATTTTACTGACTTCATTTTATAATTATCCATTATACCTCAAACCTCTTAAATGTAAACCACTAACAATTATATATAATAATATTAAAAATCCAAAAAAAAAAAAAAATTAATAATGAAGTATTAAAATAGTAATATATAATAATCAAACATTTTAAGTTTTCATTATTGACTTGACAGCAAATCATAAAATTCTTTACCGTCTTACGATTAATAAATATTAATTTAGAACATTTGACTTGTGGTCAATTTGACATTACGGAACAAACAATTTACATATTTTTAATGTTTATCTCTCTTTTCTAGTTTATTTTTATTTTTATAACACTGTAGACAGGTAGTGATATTTTTCTTTTAGACTAATGCTTAATGGTGTTTACTATATTTTGAACGTTAATGCATTTTTAAGATTCTATTTTCATATTTTAGCTTAATATTCGATGTCATCACTTAAAATAAATGTCCATATGTTGTGAATGTAATGTTTAAAAGTTTATTTATACTAAAATTAAATTTTTTTATTATTTTAATCGATTACAAAACAAATTATACAAACTCAGACACGCAAAAAGTAGCTTATTTTGTAGTTTCAATTAAAATAATTTTTTTTCTTTTTCTTTTGTATTATTCAAGCCCTTATTTTTACTTAGTAACATTTAAATTCTATAAATCGTACGTTGAAGGACCTCTTAATATCCGTCATTATTATAATCGAATATCGTAATCAGTAATAACAATTGATTGAATTTTTTTTTTACAGTTAAATAGCGAAATGAACGTCTTCCAGCGAAAATTCGTCAGCGAAGTACGGCGTTGTGATGAACTAGAACGCAAATTACGTTACATTCAAGCTGAAGTGCACAAAGACCATGTGCACGTTCCTGTACCCGAAAGCAGCGTTTTCCCATTTGCTCCAAATCCTAGAGAAATTATTAACCTAGAGGTATTAAACATCACGTCTTAATTTTTATACCCATTGTATTTTAATATCTATGTATTTCTTATTTTAGTCACAATTAGAACGCACAGAGAGTGAAATTCTAGAGCTTAGCCATAATGCCGTTAACCTAAAATCTAACTACCTTGAGCTCACTGAACTCAGGCACGTTCTTGAAAAAACACATGCATTTTTTGAAGAGGTAACTATTAGAAATAAAAAAAAAAAAAATTTATTTTAATTTATTAGTATTATAGAATATTACTTATGCATTTACGCATTGGTTAATTGACTTTGATTTTCATTAGTCAATTAGTTCCACTGATAATAAATATTAATATATAAATGAACAAATCATTTATATTTATAGAAAATAAATAAATAAATAAATAAATGCTTAGTCTGGAGTATTTTTATATTTGTAAAGTATGACCGGTTTCGAATTAAAAATGCATCGTGAAATATGTAAAAACTCAATACAATCGCGACTGAATATGAAAAAATAAAGGAAGGAATAAATGGAAAAAGTGGGTATTTTACACCGAGATAATTAATTCTAGGAGAGATTATTTAAAATTCATTTTTATTAGACATAGGTATATTAAGAAATATAAATACTTAGGTTAGGATTTGTATTTATTATCTAAAATGTATTGACATAAGATATAATTTTTAAATTCGGTTTGTACAAATACAGTGTATTACTAAAATTAATTTTCTTTATATTATTATGTAATTGTAATTTTCCAGATTTAAATTAATGAAAATGTTATTTTAACTATTTAATATTTATATAAATATCAATATGGACAATAATTCTGGGTGATTAATTTAAAACTTTTTTAACTTAGGAATTTTAATAATTATATTTTATATGATTATTAGATTACCGCAGTAGTTCACAGCTTTTCTATTCTATGCTCCCTAGTAAATTTTCAAAATGTTATGCCTCCTCCCTTTAAAAAAACTTTTTTTTTCGTTTTAGAGATACATAATACCAATATACTATATAAATAGTCATAATGACAAACATTTTTTCATTATTCTAAAATCAAATATAAATTATAAACTTTATAAATCAACTTAATAATATTATTTTTTACATTTTTTTAATACAATTTTATATATTCTTATACTAAATATTATAATTAAAAAAATGTAATAATAAATTTTGGGTTATTTTTTGTCATCAAGTCCATAATCCATGGGGATATTTTTGACAATGTACAATGCATATCATTTTTTTTCATTCAGCTGATTTATTTGCTTTTTATTTGCAAAAGTATGGAAAAACCAGACTCACAAAGATAAGTAGATAGAAATGGAATAAATGCACGGAAATCTTTTTCTGTCACTTACTTTTGGATAAGTGGTAACCTAACCTGCAAAGAGGTCAATACTCGTAATATTTTTATTGATGAGCTACCATTCGAAAATTAATTTATTTTTTAATTTAACTAACTTTAAAATTGTTAAGTTATTTTAAAATTACAATAAAATCTTGTTATTTCATCATCACTATACTGCTTCTCTTACGGATCTAAATTCCCCTCTGAGAGGAGAGAAGTCCTCTCGCTCGAGATCTATTGGATTGCAATATCAATATTAAAAAATTATTTATATATATTTTTATTAAACACATTTGATGAATAAATTTATCGTTTAACTTAAAAATTTCTTATCAAAATAAAGATACACAAAAAGGTAACTAATTAATTAATGTTTTATCTACAAAATTATTTATCTAAAGTAATTTCATTAATGCAAATGTTTACTTATCATAAGACATGATTAATGATTACATATTTCAATTGTTACATATTATATTATTTCTTTAATTTTGAAAATAATTTTCATTGTGTACTTAAATGTCACAAATATTATTATGTAATCTAATTTGGTACACAAACTTTATCAAACAACTCTAAAAATATATTATTTTAAACTACCCTTTTAAAAATAGTCAACAATGAATTATTATAAATTATATTTCTTTGTGTATAGTTTGATATTACTAGAAATTCTATTTATAGGAATTTATTTGTATATTATATTTTTATTTAAATCAAATAATTTACAAATAATTAATAAACCAAATAGGTATACATTACAATAAGATTAATTTTTTTATTACAATTCATAAAAAATTAAATTTCACTTTTACAAATATGTTTTATATATTTAAAATTATTCAAACATATTAATTATACTTTATGTATACCTATTGTTAGTAAATAAATAAAATTATACTTTTTTAAAGTATAAGTTTCCTGTTATATATAAAATATTTTATTCCTATTTTTATTTTAAATTATTATAATGTTATATTTTCATATGATATTATATCAATAGTTCAAGTAAAATGTCTTAAATTAGTACCTAGCATTACAGTAAAATGCATTTTATATAATAAACATTTATAATATCTCTGAATTTTTAAAATTACTTGTAATTAAATACCAACAATTGTTGTTTAAATTAAATAGTATTATTGATTTTTCCAATGTCTCTAACTAGATTTTTTTTTTCTTGTTCATCAATTGAGCTTGATATGGATTTCTTAGACGTAAGTAACTTTGGGTTTAGTCTAAAATGCATGTTTTTCTAGGTCTTGATGTATTTCAAATCTGAATAGAAATTAGATAATATATAGTTTTATAAAATGCTTACATTTTGCTATTAAAATTTTTTGATTTCAAAAATATTTTGTGTACCAAATTTGAAATGACCACAATTTAATTCTTTGTTTTTTGCTAAAACTCGCACTTGTTTTAGATATTTTTACTAAGATTACAAACATAAATTACTGTCATACAATAGGTATACTTATTTTACTTTAGTTAAATTACATGTGCTTCATAAGTAGTTAAATTTTTGTGTAGATTAGTTACTGTAGTGTTGAAATAGACATAGACGTTTTTCTGATTTGTCCTTTAGAGTTTCTCTTTTCAACAGCAAGATGGTACGAGCGCATCAGGCACGGATTCCCTCACAAAGGCTCTTATCAGTGATGAAGCTCTTAATAGTCAGTCCCAAGTCACTCGGGGCCGCCTCGGGTGAGTAGTGATTTATTTTCATTATTTACAAACACAAAATGTAATTTGTATTAACTCATTAATTCTTCATGGGGTAAAAGTAAGTTTAATATACACAAAAAAGAAACAATTTTACCAGTAATTAACATACTACTTAAGTTTTAAAGATCAGATTATGTTTATAACTATTGTTATTTTATTCAAAAGTCTAATTTCAAATTATTTTTAAACTTATCTACTTATTAAATATTTTATATAATTATTATTATTTAGTTTTACAAAACTCAAAAAATATTTCACATTATTAACAATATATGAAAACAGTTCAGTCTTTAGGTATATCATATTTTGTTTTACCCAGCTATTGATGTTGCATGTTGTGTTAACAATCAATATTATAATGTGTGTATGTTTGTGTGTGACTAGTTTGATAATTTTTGTGACCCAAATAAATTAATACACTATCAAGCATAACAATTAAATATCTTTATACACGAATGTTAATCTATAACAAAATGTACTATTTTCTGTAAAAAACGACCAATTTTTTTTTAATGATTTAAAATCTTTAATTAATTTAGAGTATAATATCTACTATAAATATACCTATATTGTATAAGAATTATGAAAATTATTAAACAAATATAATTTGAAAGTACAATGAATTGTGTTTATAAAGTTGTATTATATGATATGTTATAATTATCCCTATTACTTGTTTTATACAGCTTATATTTCAATAAAAAATTTTAAATTTAAATTTTATGATTTTAATTGTTTGAAGTTCGGATAATTTATTTCTGACTGTATGGATTATATGGATATCTAATATAGTTAATACATTATCATTATAGTAAATCTTAAAATTCAAATTAGCTTTCAGATTTTATCCAAAAATGTTCTATAAAATTATATCAACCGACTTAAAGTAGTATGATAAATATTGTACTTTCAAATCCATTTATTTATTATAATATGAGTCAATAATACTTTAATTTTAGTCATAAATAGGGTTGCCAACTTTAAATTTGGAAAATACCGGCCCAAGTGTACAAAAAAAAAAGTCATCATTTTCAGTGAATTTTTAAATATTAATATAATAAATTGACGAATAGTATAATTCATTTAATTAATTCCATACGTTAAAATAAAAAATTTAATAATATTAATACGAGTATTACATTATGTTAAACTTTAATTATAAGCTTATAAATTAAACTATTATAAACTTTTAAATTTATATTTAGCGGCATTTTTCACGGCGTTTAATAAATGTTTTTCATTTTGTATTTCATCAAAGAACTCCGAACAATTGTATGTTATGTTATTTCTTATAACTAGTTCGACTTTAACCGTATCAACTCCTAATCGATTGCGCTCGTCTGTCCACAAACTATTCATGTGGCTAAAACCGCGTTCAACAAATGCATTGCTACATGGCACCGATAATACATACTGTATAATTTGTTTAATATTTTTTAATTGTGCGGTAGATGATCGGAAAAATATTACCCATTTTTCCGAACTAGTGAATTCTATGTTATTTAGGATATCATTTGGTAATAACTTTATTAAATTAACCCTTCATACAGTTTATCTCCATTGTCATGAACCTTAATTAATTTGGCCAAGTCAAGTAAATCTGTTAATTTAGGTAATTCACTTAATTTCAAACATGAAAACATTTTAAATGGAGAATTTTCATAATCAAACTATTTTTTCGAGGTATTCCAATCCACGTTTGTAAGTATTTAGAGCATCAGATTTAAATACATCGTTTTCTTTGATAGTAAGATTGAGTAATCGTGTAGTTACTGCAATTCCAAATAAATTATCATTTTTACGATTTAAAATTTGAGATCTTAAACTTAACATTACATCATAGACTACTGGAGCGTTTAAATTATTTTTTTTCTAATATTAAAATATGTTTTTGAAAATAGATAACACATGATGAACAAACCAAATGTAACATTCACTTAAAGTTAACTGTTCAGAAAGTTAATTTTTCTGATTTTCAATAAATTTCCATATGATTTTATCACATTCATTTTTCCTTTATTTATAAAATAAGTTTTAATTGCATTCCAATTTTAAATTAATCGGTCCACGGCATTAAACAAACTAAGCTATCTCACAGGAATACGTCACAATACATTATGATAGTCCTGTTGTACAAATTCGGAACATTCTTTAAGTTCATCTACTCTTTTTGAGCTCATAGAAAATTCATTAAAAATTTTTAATACTAACTTTCTACATCGTATTTTATAACTCATGGAATGCTTTGCTGCGTTATGAATCATGTGACAGTTACAATTAGCTTTAATTATATTGGATTTTTTATTTTTAATTTTTTGAAGACCGAACAATTTTTTTCATAATTAACAGAGGCATTATCAGCACCAAAAGCTGTTATATTTTGTATATCTAAGCCAAGCGATTCAATTGCAGAAGTAATCGTGTCAAAAATTGACTGTGAAGATTCGTTCGGTTCTTCGTAAAAGTCTAAAAGATAATCTTTCATTCCATCTTCAAAATTAAATAACCTAACCACTAATGAAAACAATTTTCTATTTCCCTTTTTTTGAAGCATCTGTAGATATAGAAAAGGGAATAGGAGTAGGACATTTGAATTTTATTACCGCTTTTTCAGTAGCGAACGGACATAGTATATTTTTGACATAGTTTCCATTTTCGTTCTACCCAGGTGGACTTTGTTAGCTATCGTTGAATCTGAGAAATGTTTCTACTCTAATTTTACTCCATAATCGCTAGAAAGATAGCTATAATGGTGTTTAACTACATTAAAACATTTACTCAGTTCAACGGCTGCTATTTTGTTTTCATCTTTATAATTCTTTGTAAGAAAAAACTTTTTTACGGTGGACGATTTATGTATAGAATTGACGGATTCTTCGTGTTTTATTGATTCTTGATGTGTTTTTACAGCTTTAATGCCATCATACTTTACACTAAAAACTGTCTGACATAATAAATATCGTGCTTTTTATTAGGGTTATTGTGTTTAGAGATCCAATCAGAAAATATTCGATCTTTTAACCATTCATCGTTAAAAACACAATTATGAATTTTTTTTTTTTGTTTCATTTTCATTTTCGTTCATTTTAAAAATGCGTATAATTTTTCACTCGTGTATTTGCAATGTAAAAATAATACTATTGAACAGTCCGAACAGAATAACGAAACTGAACTCTATCATGAATCATCTATCATATATTCACATACGAGTACGGCATAGTAGGAACAAGGTACATACTAATCATAGGTACTACTCATAAAAATTTCAAAGTAGACGATGGATATCTGAAGTCATTAAGATATACGATTTATTGACAGCAACATGTGATAACTATATTATATTTGAAAATATTACATTAAACATTACTTTGAAAATACCGGTTTTGTATAGGTTAATAACGGGAACTGGCTTTTTAAGTCTAAACATGTGAAATACCGGCCGGTTGGCAATCCTAGTTATAAATATTATATTATGTTTGTTTAAATTGAATTTCCTGTTTGCCTTTGTTATCTTCTAGAATTTAAATTTTACAATATTTGTATATTATTATTATTATAAAATTAATTTTTAGAAGTCTAGGACCGAGATTTAAAATATTTTAAATTTAATTAACATGTGAGGATTTATTTATCAATTAAGAATGTATGTTTAGTTGTATATTTTATATTAATTTTCATTTTTCAGATTTTATTATATTGAATATTTGTACACTTAATTATTTACACATTTTTTAATGCTACTCAATTTATTACTCATTATATTAACCCTTTAAATTAAAAGTATATAATGTATTAAAAAATAACCATAAAAGTATAAGATATTTTTAAAATTATATTTTGATCATAAGATTGTATTATATACTTATATAATAAATTACATACCTACCTTTGTCTCCACCAGTGGAATTAAGTTAGTTAATCTTTATCTTTACGTACAATATTCTAAACTGATTTCTGATTATCTCTTATTGTAACTCATGGTTAAAATTAAGGGACCATTTTATAAATTATTATAAGTTTTAAAATAGCTTTTAACAAAATATTGATAACATTTTTCTTGGCTAATTGTATAACAATCTATAACATATGAACTTAAATGAAGTATAGGGATTATTTTAACTATGTTTGTGTAACATAAAGATGACTGGTTTTATTATTGCATATTATTTATGGCAGATAAATTAACTATAAATGAACCAAAAGTAATTAAAGTACTTTAAGTACTTATTTTAATTTCTTAACTAGCTAGGAAGTTTGGAAACAAATTCTTAATCGTTTTCAATTTCTTTTTATTATAAATTAATTTTGTATATTATAATTATAATAGAATTAACAATGATTAAAATTTAAATATAGAATGATATTTTTTAAATAATCTGTACATTTTGTCTATCAAAAAATGAATTCAATGTAAAATCATCTTTAATAATTTTTAGTATATAAAATATTTTTAAAATATTAATTTTAATATTTTAATTAAATATATTAAGTAAGTACCAATTATTCATGTTTATTATATATTCCTGTAAAATTCAGTTTTTTAATAAAAATGTGTTTTTATTCTTCATTTTAAGCTTAATATTTATATTTTAAAATTAATTAACTACATTATGTATTTTTAATACATTAGGTTTGTTGCCGGAGTCGTGCCCCGAGAGCGAGTACCTGGTTTTGAGCGTATGTTATGGCGTATAAGTCGAGGCAATGTGTTTTTACGACGAGCTGAACTTGAAGAATCCCTTGAAGACCCAGCTACAGTAAGATTTAATTATAATAAATTATACTTTTACCATTTATTTTATAATAGACTATCAAAGTATATAGTTATAGTATATTATAAAATCAATGATTTTACTATTACTTTAGTTGTATAACATGCAATAATATGATGAAAGTTAAAAGATTTTTTTTTTTTTATCTTAGCTTTAGGTATTTACTTTTAAAACTACTTACTATTTTTGGTATAATGAATAAATTATAATAAATACTCAATTGCTTTAGGGAAATGAAATTTTCAAAACTGTGTTTGTGGCATTCTTTCAAGGGGAACAGCTTAAATCCCGTGTTAAAAAAGTTTGTTCTGGATTCCATGCGTCATTTTATAATTGTCCAAGTGCGCACTCTGAAAGACAAGAAATGTTAAAGGGCGTAAAAACTAGACTAGAAGATTTAAATATGGTAAATTGTCTTACTGATAGTAATTTGTTTATTTTGTAATTTATATATTATTTGTTTATAGGTGCTAAATCAAACTAGAGACCATAGGCAACGTGTGTTGACTACTGTAGCAAAAGAATTGCACAATTGGGGTGTTATGGTACGCAAAATGAAAGCCATATATCATACTCTTAACCTATTCAACATGGATGTTACCAAAAAATGTCTGATTGGTGAATGCTGGATACCAATTAAAGATTTAACATTCATCAGACACACATTAGCCGAAGGCAGTGTAAGATCATAATGTCTAATAAGTTTTATTTATCAACATTTTAATTTTAGTTCTGATATTCATTATATAGAAAGCCGTAGGCAGCTCAATACCTTCATTTTTAAATATAATTGACACTAATGAAAAACCACCAACGTTTAATCGAACTAATCGGTTCACGCAGGGCTTCCAAAACTTGGTGGATTCATATAGCGTTTCTGGTTATCGAGAAGTTAATCCTGGTGAATTTTAATTTAATTTTACTTAATTATATAATTTATTTATTTGTGTACAGTAATTAGTAATTTTTTTTTTCATTTAGCATTATACACTATAATCACATTTCCATTTCTTTTTGGTATAATGTTTGGTGATGCTGGCCATGGGATCATTTTAACAGTGTTTAGTGCATATATGGTCATTTATGAACAACAACTGTCCAAAACAAAATCTTCAAATGAAGTAAATATAAAAATAAAACAAAAATGTATTTACAACTTTCTAATGTTATGACATAGATTTAAATACTAAGTACTTACTTGTACTTCTTGTGTTCTAAATAGATAAAAAATGTTATTATTTTCATAGGTAATATCTATGTTTTCGTAGTCACATTAAATGTTATGATTATGAATAACTTCAGTTGTAAATTTGTTCCAAAATACTATTTATAATATTTATAATATATTAATTAATCTATGTTATAAACATATTAGAAGTTTACATAATTGCAAATTGTTCTTGTCAAAATGTCAATCATTTTTAATAAAACAAAAAATATTTCCAGTTATGATCCTAATTGTTGTTTAATGTATACATGTGATATTTTTAAGATTTTAATTTTTTTTTTTTTTTTACCATAAACTCATGACTAAGATAAAATTAAGTATTACTGAACATCAGTACTCATATAAGTATAATACAACAAGTACAAGTTATTGCGGTTCTGGTATTTATAGGTATTTTTTCAAAGAAAATTAAATTACTGTATTTAATATTCTAAAACTTAAATTGGTGAAAGGTGTTAGTTAATTTAATATGTATGCATTTCATTTGAACAATACTATATTAGGCTAACATAAGCTATACTATTTTTAATCCTTGCTTTATGGATAAATCCTTTTTCAAGGACAGTAATTTGAACTTAATAAATAACTTTTTACTTTAGTCATACTAATACTTAAATATTTTTATTGAAAACCAATAATTTTAGTAATTATTATTTCTAATTGTTTATTTCCGAAATTAACAGAATTTAAAATTTAATTCTTTACTTTTCCACTATACCCATTTTATGTTCTCCTCGAGATCATCATATGTACCTCTGAGAATGAAACTGGTTTATTATTTTATAAATATCAAAACAAAAAAGTTTTAATGTTTGTCATGTAAGTTTATTAAATTCTTTAAACTTATTAGATATGGAACATATTTTTTGGCGGTCGCTACATAATCTTGCTCATGGGATTCTTCTCAATATATACTGGCATTGTATACAACGACATATTTTCTAAGTCTGTAAATTTATTTGGCTCCAGTTGGTCCATCAATGAAAGTACAAGTTCTATAATGGGAAACAAAAGTATTACATTGGACCCTGCTACTAACGATTATTCTCAAAAACCATATCCATTGGGACTTGATCCAGTTTGGCAGGTAACCTAAACTTAAAGCTATATTTATTTCTTTAATAATAAACATTACAATAGTAACAAAATTAATATAAAATATTTTAATTAACATTTTATGTTTTTGAAGGTCGCTATCAATAAAATAATATTTCTTAACTCGTACAAAATGAAACTATCAATAATTTTTGGAGTTGTCCATATGATGTTTGGTGTTGTACTCAGTGTTGTAAATCACGTGTACGTAGTAAAAAAAAAATATTTTACTGCTTGTAGTTTATATTAATCATAATTTTTTCTTATTCATAGCCATTTCAACAAAAAAATCAACATACTACTACAGTTTATACCACAAATGTTATTTTTGGTATTATTATTTTTATATATGGTGTCTTTGATGTTTATGAAATGGATTTGGTATGGTCCTAAAAATTGTACGTATAAATAAATCTTTTTATCATCAACTTTCTTGAATACTTACATTGGTTTAAAATTTAAATACTTCTTTGTATAGCTTTAAAGACCAGTCCTAGATGTGCACCGTCTGTGTTAATTATGTTTATCAATATGATGCTTTTTAAACACACAAAACCATTTGATGGATGTGATGAATACATGTTTGAAGGACAAGTAAAGCTATTAATTATGATATAAATATAACTGATCAAATATTTTATTAATTAATATTATATTTTAGGATCGTTTACAAAAGATATTTGTTGTGATTGCAATATTGTGTATTCCTGTGATGTTATTAGGCAAACCATTGTACATAATTTTATATGAGAGACGGCATCATAAGGTTTATATTATAGATTAATTTTCTTACTTTTTTAATAATTATCACAATATATTATTATAATTTAAAAATATTTGTTTATATAGTCAGATAGCTCCGGAGAACTGAATGGGAGCATCGAATTGAGAGAGACTGAATTAAGTGGCATGCTTAATGAGGCGGCTGGCCATGAAGAAGAAGAACCTGCTTCAGAAATATTTATTCATCAGTCAATTGAAACCATTGAATATGTTTTAAGTACTGTTTCACATACAGCCTCATACCTTAGGCTTTGGGCACTCTCTTTAGCTCATGCACGTGAGTTATTCTTTATTAAAAATTAATCATCTTCTCATTTAAGTACTGATTTTTGTCATTTAAAGATAACATTGCTAGATTTGATTGTGTTATAAAAGCCCTATTTTTTTAGATTTGTTAATCCAATAAAATAATAATAATTATAAGCATTATAATTGTTGAAAAGCTTTAAAATTCATCATAGTCATAAATTAATTGTTTGGACATCTAAAACCCTAAATCCAATCATGAAAATAATAAGTAAATAATTTTATTTCATAACTTATATAAATAAAACATGCTAAGATGACTACATGTATGAATTAGTATAATGGTAGCAATGAATAAATACAATTTTTGGAACTTGCGTCGTATGCTATCTACATGAGAAATGTATCTACCAAAATTGTTTGTTGGCGTTGTATGTTATCTAAAATTTTCCACCTCGCAATCTGTAGATTGTAAATGTTGTCTGGGCATCTATACATTATTACGTTAATGAACTTTTTTTCATGTTTTCAAAAAACTGATCAAAATGATTTTTGATGCATTGAGTGAACGTCACCACTCTTCCATCAACTGCCGTTCCAATAAGTTAGTGGCACCACGTGTTTTTATGCCATGTTTTACTTTGACACGTCAAATTAATTTGAAAATAATTTAAGCACAAACTGAAAGTCATATGTCAACTAGCTATGATATGTGTAAAGTGTAGGCTGTAGAGTGTTGATGTTTATAATTATACGATTATACCTGCAATATCAGTCTCCGTACAAAGTAGTTATCACCCGAAAGGTAGATAACATATAACGTGATTAAAGTACAGGTAGATAGCATACGACTCGAGTTCCCAATTTTTTTAATAATATTAAATATTTATATATTACAGAATTGTCCGAAGTACTGTGGAACATGGTTTTGAGGATGGGTTTGACCAGTGACACTCATTGGGGTGCTATCAAATTGTATATAATGTTTGGTTTGTGGTCTCTATTTACACTAGCCATATTGGTCATGATGGAAGGCCTATCAGCATTCCTACATACACTCCGATTGCACTGGTACATATTTTTTTATTTGTTTAATTTAATTTCTTCTATCACATTGGTAACTACGTTTAGTTTAGCAGTGTTATTATTATGAGCATTTATGCAATAATAGAATTAATTAAATACCGTTTTTGAAATTAAACTCAAATTTAAAAATTTGAATTATTAAATATATTAAATATGTCAATTAATTGGATATTTAACCTTTAAACAATCTAAAGTTGACCAACATTCCCTTTGCATGTGCTTTGTATATAGTTCAACGATATAACCCCAATTATACCCTCTAATGACAAATTAGAATTAAAGTTTTAAATACAAATAAGACAAATTAACTCTTATTCTTATTGACTTTGGTTAAAATTAATGACCAGTTTATCATACAGTTGTATATAATTATAGTAATAAGTTCTATTATTTTAGGGTGGAATTCATGAGCAAGTTCTACGTTGGCAACGGGCATGCATTCCAGCCATTTTGGTTCAAACATGTACTTGAAAATGAAGAAGCTGTTGAGGACTAAAATTTCAATTTCACAATTTCTTGTTTCAACCTAATTCTCGAACTTCTTTTTTTTTATACCAGTTAGATTTTTAATGTGTACAATATAATTTCTAACCTTTTCAATTTGTTATTGTTATATATAATATGTTTATTGTTGTTGAATACTTTTTGTTTGATCAAATTTTTTATGTTAGACCTTTTTCTTTGTATACATTTGTTGAATTTTAATTTTGCACTGCCACTTACTAACTTTCTTGAAAAATGCCTTTACTGCTTGTATACTCTGGCCAATATTCATTATTGTATCTATTTTAACATTTCTAATTGCGCATATCAAAACTATATTATAATGTAATTTATGATCTGTGTCAGAAACCAAAGATAGCCATATACATAATTATATTTTTAATTGTTTATCTTCTTATATATATTTACTTAAAGCAGGCATGACACTTGGACATCATCACAGTTAATATTTGTATTAGTTACTTGTACAGGGTTATTATTTACATATTTTAGATGATAACAACGTGATAGTTTCTCTAGATAATTATTTTTCTTGTATTATTATTTTTGTTATTAAATCAATACATCAACATTATTCTTATGTTTGGAGCAAAAGTTTTAACATGCTATTTGATTCATATTTCTTAACAGCCAAGTTATATATTTCTTTACATAATTTTAATATTTTAAAATACATTTGTAAACAATTTAAAATCAACTTGACAATCATTAATGATTTTATTATGTATACCCAAACCCTGAATTCTCATTTTAAATTTTCAATATAATATGCAGTGCCTTACTTTATTGCTTCAAATATAAAAAACATATATCTATGTATATATACATATACAGAGTTAATTGTTAAACAAAATAATACCTTAGTGATGAGATAATGTATTACCATAACTCCATATATATTCCCATCGCTATGTATTGCGTTTTGTAGTAAGCATATTTAATGGACCACATTGTTTATTGCCATGTATTTTGTTTTTTTTCTTTTCTTTTTTAATTCATTACATTCGATATTAGTATTCTAAATTAAAATTAAGATTAAGATCGATTTTGCCAATAACTTTGTAGGTAATTATTAAAATAAAATAAATTTAAATTTTAAATTTAATTAAAATATGTTTGTTTACTTTTGACAATCGAATTAATAGAACATACTACTAGGTGCTTTTATATGTGTATTGATTATTATTTACACGAGTTGTATTTAGTTTCATAGCAAAGTAAGTTAAATTTACCTGACAATCCACTTTTTAAACTTTGAACATTATCATTGCATTTTCAATATATATTATTAATATATTTTATACATTTATCTTCTTTTAAAAGAAATTTTATATCTTATACATATAAAGCAATACGTTTTTTATTTAAATATATGTATATACAGATACATTATACTACATATATAAATATTGTATAATATATATATTTTATAACAATTGCAACAGTAGGCAATACCTTTACAGTAAATGAATTACAGTGGTCAGCAAATTTGCCTGTGACTATAGCGTTTTGTGCAAACTTTCAAAAAATATTTCAATCTTATCCCTTGATTCTCAATATTATGCATCATGTTATTGTTATCTATATAGCAGTAATAATTTTTCAACATATTCATCTCGTGTTTATATTTATATTATATACTATTTTTCATAGATGTTTTTTTCAAAACTGACTAAACCCTTTTTTATCGAAATAAATATCTATTAATTCAAGGCCATTTATTGTAGTCGACTGTTGTACAATTTTTTCTTTAGCAATAATTAATAATATATTCTAAAATAAATGTTATCTTGTTTTTTTATACAATCTATGTTATATAGTTATATATATATATATTATTATATTAATTATTTATATATATAATATATTCATTGCAATTTATACATTATTATTATTATTAATATATTTATAAATTTAAGTAGGACGATCTTACATAATAATGGAAATTACTTTAATATCTATTGTTATTAAAAATATATAGCTGTACAGACAATTTCTGTCTTTTGTAATGCTCAATAATCAGAATTTAATTATATAGATAAGTCGAATTTAGACAATATTTTAACAAAACAATTAGATTTAGATATTATTTCTATGTATTTGTTGGTAAATCAATTGTAAGATTACATTTTGTATAATTTGTAATACTTCTATCTCGTGGTTGTACAGAGCGATTTGGGTGTTGTTGATGTGCAAGATAATCAAAATTGATTAAAAATAAAATCAATCAAACTAAAAACTTAATTATTATTTAATTCAACAAATCTAACATGCTTTTCAAGTCAAATCGCTCGGTCTTTCCAGTGAAATAGAACGTAGCTATAACAAAGAGGGGATTAATAATTATTTATTTTCATACTTGTATTGTAGAAAACAAAATGTTTTTAATTTTTATTCTGTTTTAGTTTAGAGTTATGTATACGTACAACTTAACATAATATTTTTATTTTACCCACCCAGTTATGTATAATTTATAATAAATAGACAACATAAATGCCTAACTTTATTGTTGCACCTACTGTCATACCACATATACAATATATACTTGCATAGACACATTATAGTTTAATAACATTGTATTTATTATTTATTATTATTTTATTTTTTTAAAGATACTTTAGTGGGACCAAAACAATACTATACATTATAATAATTACTACCAATTTATTAATGTTGTTCATTACAATACCTGTACTAAAACGAAATCTAACTGTTGTATCACAGGTACATCATAATAGGTAAAATAATAAGTAATCATTTGTAAAACCTAGTATGGTGTACCTGCCGCTTACATTGTTTTAGTTGGTTACTTTTTTATCAAAATAGTATATAAAATATACATATTTTATAAATACAATGTTTACTATTCTGACAAACAATTATGAAATCTTCTGTTAAACAAATACGACTTAGTTGAAAACAATGACAGTGTTTTAGAATATTTTTTATTATTAGGTATCATAATTATTTTTTTTTTTTTTTATTATTATATTTATACATATCAATGTATGTGTGTATATTATTAATATATTTAAAACTTCAAAATGAGAAATGAGAAAAAATTGATACTCGTTATAGTATCAAGTATTCAAATGTACAATGCGTTCATATTATATACATGTATACAATGTTTAGAATACAAATTTGAACTCTAAACTGCTCTTTAATATATAAATATATCTATATGTATGATACAAACTTTAAAAAAGAAATTCTAATATATTTCAAAAATGGTTACAAAATAAATTATACTTTTTTTCTATCAAACAACACAATTTTGAAGTATTCACAGTAGTCTATTGTAATCCAAATTTTACTGTCAATTTCAAAGAAGAGTGCTCAATACCTATATCTATCTCTTAATAGATTTTTATGTGTTATATTTTATTTGCTTCAACCTGTCTTGAATAATTTTTGAAACAAGCTTTGAAGTGTAACTTAATTTAGAATCTTATAACTTATAAATTTAATATAACTGTGTATTATAACTCTTTTTAGATGTGCGGGTGACCTCTTTATAAAATTATCTGGTATACCTACATTATATTGTACGTTTGAAAATTAATTAAATTTAAAATCTGAATTTTAACTTTTTTTTTAAGTTCACTACTTATACAAGCAAATACAATTTGTATTTTTGATGTCTTAATTATGTTTATCAATAAGTTTCAAATGTTATAATATTATATTTTTAATTATCATGATCTAATCTCTTACACTTCAACTCTTTATATTTTATAAAACCGTTCATTGAGCATCTATAGATTCCGAGTCATGTTAGTTTACATCTCTAGTATATTGTGACCCATATATTAAGTATCTATACCCAGTGTGTTTCTGTTACTCAATCAATATTGATATTATGATAATTAAGTAAAACTAATATAGTGTTTCAAAGATTGTTGATGCCATTAGCGTTCCAGTTTAATAAAAAAAGTGTTATGTAGAACCATGTGCTATGTAGAGCCGTGTCAAGCATTCAACGCCCCAGGGCAAAATTTTTTTGCACCCCTCTTCGATTTAATTACTATTTTCTTATTATAAACATAAATCTACATGGGATACCGCATTACTAGACATCACGAAAAATAACTAAAATATAATACCTATGCAATATTTTTTATGTATAACTATTAATTTAAATTTAATTTAAAATATTGATAAAAAATTAATCATTTTAATATAATTACTATATAATTTTTTATATTATTATTTTAATTTATATAATATTTTTCTTGTTTTATCTTTGGTAATTCTCTGGATTAAAATATTCCAATAAATACTCTTTACTACTTCAGATTCCAAGCACAAGAGTAGTAAAGATGATGTTTTTTCATTTGCTAATGATGAGCGGAGATATGTTTTTACTCTTTTTAAAACAGAATGAACGTTCACCACTAGAATTTAAACAAGGCATACATGTAAATATTTTAAATGCAATTTATATCAATGGGATTGTATAACATATATTATATTTTATTAATGCTTTTAATGAAGTGTGGAAATAATTTTTTTGATTTTCTGGCATACATCAAACCATTTGTTTGAATTGTATTAATTTTTCAATAAATTCAGCTTCTAAGTCATTTTCATATATACTTACTAACTTTTCAGATTTTAATCAACGCTTAGTTTAGTCTGTGTCTTTTAAATTAAAAAAAAATCCAAATTTTTCATTTAATTCGTTATACGCTTATTTGTGATTATTTAAATACTAATTAAAGCAACATTGATAGAAAAAAATGTTTAACTTTCGTGTTTTATTTTTTTGAAAACACAATATCTTCCAAAACTCCTTCGTCAAAAAATACAGACCTTTTTTTGTCTTTTTTACTTACTGAGAAAAAAATCCATTTCACAAATACTTATAGTTTCATTTAATATAGTTTCAAAACTATTTCTTAATTCACAAATATGTAATTTAAATTAATTATATAATTTTGCCACAGATGAGAAATCTTTATTAACGGTGTAAGGTAAGAAATCAGTTAGCCACAAAAGTTTTTATAAACACCACGGACGGTATTCATTAGGAGTGCGAAGTCCATCCGTTCCGAGCGTTCACAATCAAAACACCTCCAAGCGCATTATGATGTCTTTCGGTTGACTCATCGTTTTGCCATCTCCATACCCGTTTTTGCGTAATTGACCGGGACTACACACGATTATTATAATTATGTCCACTGCCAGTGGCGCACACTGGAGGGTTCAAGGGTAGCAGCTGCTACCCTTGAAAAATTGGGTGGGTGGGTGGTCCTCTTGGCCCCAAAATATCTACATCTACATGACTACATCATAATAAATCTACTACGTACAGTGGCGTGTTGAAGAGGTTTTTGAGAAGCCATGGCCTCTGCATTTTTAGAGGTGGGTGGTTTGGGTAGCCTAAGTCTCATGACTTATATGAGGATATCAATTCAATTTTACCTATACCTACATAAACTATAATAATAATTATTCAGGGACATTAAAATAGGCAAGCCTGTACAACCGTTCGTTATTCTATTGATAAAACGGTTTAAACGTGTTATGTGTAATAAAAACTAAAGAAACCCGAAAGAACCTTTTCTAAATTGACAATTATTAAAAACAACCTTCGTAGTACCATGTGTGAAAGTCGGTTAGAAAATTTAATGTTACTATCATGTGAAAATGATATTAAAATTGACACAGATACTGTAATTAATACATTTTCAAATAATAGTAGCTTATTGCAAAAGGCTTTATTATATTAATTTAAGTTTGATGTTTACTCCAAGTGTGCATAATTATTAAGACTTACAATAATCAATAAAAACTAATAGCTACCGAGAACCTGTATTTTATTAACATTCAATACTTTATTATTAAATCTTGAACAAGTTTAGAGAATTCTAGTTAGGGGGGTATGGGGGCGAAGCCCCCGCGGGTCTGTTTTTGAAAGTGATTTAGTGGGTGGGTGTTATTTTTTCATTCAATATGCTACCCCTATTCATTTTTGAGTGTGCGCCACTGTCCACTGCACTGGGTTACCGGTTTATCGAAATAAGAATAGTGGTCGAGGCGAGAGGCACCATGACTGCGTGCATACGTGTCTGTCTTCCTTTTTCTGTTGCAAAAACAACATGGGCGGCTGAGAAGATTTTTCCGATGTGTCTTCGGGACCACGCCTTAGGAACACGGGCTTATTATTATTGTTGTATATACTTTGGCCGACATCCCCCGTTTTTATTGTGTAGTTGTCTGTATGTGTTAAATTATTTTTTAGTTTTGAATTATTATTACTTATGATGACATATCAAAAAAATTTGGATCCGTTTCTGATTACGGTTCCTCACGAAGTAATCGTCACCATTATTATTATTAATATTAATTCTCGGTAAATGTATTTTGATTTTTAATTTATTTTATGTCCGAGTTGCACGCCCGAATGAGCTTTCTCGGCATCAAGATAATATACTAATTTCTTTTATTTCTCTGGTTGTATATTTGTATCTGTTTAGTGGTATCTCCTTACTTCCAATTTATTATGATTAAAGAAAAAAAAAAAAGAAGAAAAAAATCCTATAGGCTCCGGCAAACGCCTCGGATATAGGTTGGCGAACCGATACGGTACATCACATAATGCTCCACTCATCTGGCCACGTTATAAGAGTGCGAGACGTTACAACCGACAGCAAAGTTTTGTTGGTCATGTTAAATCTCAGTCCCACAGTCTTGTTTATCATTATCATAAATGTTCAAAAATAAACAATAACGGTTGACAATGACAACAATAATAATATATTACTTGGAAATAAAACGTAGGTAATATTCATTTTTTTTTTTTTTAATGCAAATTTAGTCATTTATACTGCGCTTCTATACTAGATTTTTTTCAGATTTAAAAAATTAATATTAAATGTGTAGAAGCCTGGGAAAGTTCAAAATCGTGTTGATTTCACCCATGTTGACAGTACTATACGAAATAATATCACAAATATCAGTTTAAAATATTTAGTTATGTTCGGTAATAATATCCAAATACGGGGAAAAGGTTTATACATATGCTACATATGTATATGTATGCACCCTCTTACTTTCATTAAACTATGGTGTTCAGGGACAATTGTCCTCCTTCTTCCCTTTAAACACGGTTTTAATCATGTGCGTATAAATGTAAGCTGTTAAATGATGGTGGACAGATTTTTTTCTTTCGGAATTATTTCCTGCAAAATTTGTGTCATATGAATATATTGAAGAATGGAAGTAGGATTTTCATGAAAACGTTATCTGTATTGTTCATTTATTATTCAAATTATTTTCAGTTGCCGCGGCATTGCATATAATAGTTTTGCAGTATTTGCATTATTGTGTGTTTTATTTGAAGTATTTACGGGAAACTTTAATGAAGTGTATTTGTTAATTAGTTTTGGAGTTAGGTATGGTTCTATTTTTTTTTAAATGTATTTGTAAAATAAACATCCTTTAATACTTGCTGGGTGTTTACTTTGGCATTTAACATATTTCGGCGGTGTTCTTTAGTTTTTTAACATTTACTGTAATGTTATTCATAAAAAAAAGTGTGCAATTGCATTTTTCTTACAAAATTATAGTTGGTCAAATTTCTAAAGTGTGCATATAATTTAAATAATAATATGTAAAATAATAATTTTATAAAATGAAAAAATTAACCATGTAAATAAATTTACATCTAAAAGTCAACGCTAAGTTTAAAACACCTTTAGACTTGAAATTATGAGAACATTTATTTTGAAAGTATATAAATAAATAATTATAAATAGTATGCTTATTTTATAAAATTTTTAATAAAATAATTATAATTTGTCATTAAAAAATATTAACACGCCAATGGAATTTCGATGCTGAAATAGTGCTGATTGTATTTGTCGTTTAATGATTTTACCGAGGTGTGTGGATAATCGAAAGCTACTTTTTCGTTAATCGTTCTTATCACTTCCTGGTTCTTCAATATATTTTGACTATTTACTTCATCAGTAATATGAATAATGGGTTTATTGATACAAAACTGAAAATAAAAATGTCAATAAAACAACAAAATTAACAATGAAATTAATAGTTTAAAATATAAATGCATTAAAATCATATAATCTTCGTTATGATATCGAAACAAGTGATACTTGATCAAAGATCCACATCATAAACTTCCCGACTAGCGACTGTTTAATGTATCAAAACAAATTTGATAAGAAGATCATTGATAAACCACTCTAATTTTTCTTTCACTCAATCTTCTAAACGAATTATATGCGAATTTATATTATAAATTTATTATATTATATTATATACGAATTATATATATAATTATATTAATTATAACATGTATACGTTCCCCTCCCTGCCAAGATTATATTAGTAAAACTTACTTCTTTTAATAATTCTGCATTATCTTCGGATAGTTGACTGGAAACAAACACTTGTGGTATCAACAACAGCTTGTTGTGTAGTGGTTTGAGTGTTATTAACGTATTGAGTTGCGTCCGGATCGTATTCAGGGCTTTACACGCACCGTCGTCCGATTGCAGTAATGTCAGATGGCTGTCCCAGTCGCTTTGAGTCCGACATTTTTTGGTCACCTGCAAAAGATCAAAATCATAGGAAAAATAAACGATCTGCTTTTGATCGCATTAGTTTCCTCGCAGTCGTATTGTACAAATAGACATACCTCGTCATTGATAGACAGGTATTTGGACAGCAGTGTGGCGTTCAGGTTGTTGTTAACAATGAAGTGTTCATTCGTCCATTTTATGAGAGTGCTCGGCACACCGTTTAGCAGTGACAATGAAACCAAAATTCCTTGTGATTCCAACAGTTGAGCCATGACCAGTGCTACAGAACCACCCCACGATTCCCCGATCAGAGTGACCGCATGGTGTTCAGTTATTTGTCTGAGTTTCTAATCATAAAACACGCTAAGTCAGTATGGGTCCACCGTTCGAGGAACAACTAAATTACGAATATATTAGCGACATCGATTAAGATAAAAGTGGATAAGATTTTTGGATAATTTTCTTAATACAAAGGCCAACTACCGCCCAAGGATTAACGTCAATTAGTCTTAAAACTACTGACCAAAATAATGTATATATCATGAGATTATTAATAACTAAAATTAGTTGTAATATTTTGATTTTTAATGATAATTATTTTCTATAAAACCTATGTACCAGCAAATTCATTTTAGAAAAATACAAAATCTTCAATAATTGAGTATATAATTTTTTTTTGCCACTCTTAATACAGATTTAAGTCAGTTTTTTATATTAATAATGATCTAATAATTGATACATATTTATTTTACAACTTTTTACAATTGGTGGTAGAAGTTTGTACGTAAATAATTGAATCTAAAAAACGAAGTTGATAAAATATATTATATGTTTATAACTACTTGTCCTATTGGTATTTTGAATAGACTTTCGATATTATTTTTATAAACTAGGTAGTCCTATAAAATAACATCACATTATTTTAATAATAAGCGAATTGAAATAAATTGAAAAACAAAAAGAGTTGGTCTGAAGGGCTTATTCATATACTTGGGAGGTACATTTTAAACGTTGATTCAAAATGTTATAAGTGTCATCTTACTTTAACTAAAACTTCAGCAACACTTTCAATGGATTCGAACTTTGCAGGGTACCTGGCTTCAAACGTCGGGTAACCCAAATTATCGTAGAGATTTTTCATAGAGTTGGGCTGGAATCCTGGCAATACAAAAACGGGATAGGCTCCTTTTGCATCAGCGTACAATACACTCTTCGTAGCAATTTCCACGAAATCGGGATTGCTTATTATGTACTTGGAGTTACATAATAACTCATCGATGGTGCTCGGCAAAAACACGTCACTCTGATGGTCTTGTAAAATGTTCAGTTCTAAAATATAACAAAAAAAATCTTATAAGAAACCTATATCGAGTAGGTGATGTACATGTCGCTTTTCATACTTTTTGTCTGGATAGCAAACTTGGAACAAACTACCACTGCGTTGGTCAAAGTCTCAGATTTTATTATCAAATTGTCCAGAATGGGTAAGATTTTTGCCACCATGGGCTTATCATTCATATGTCCCCAAGAAAGACACATCGAGTTCACACCGATGGACTTTAAGTTTTCACATGATTTCGCTCCCCCGCAGAATAAACACATGAATAAAGGTTTTTGTTTATTTTGCTCGACGACTTGTTTCACCGCATATTGCATATTTTCGATTGATTTTTCTTCGACCTTTGAAACGATTAATTTATACGTTTTTTATTACGTTCCAGACAGAAAATATGTTGAATTTAAAATTAACAGTTTAATCATTCGATGATGAATAACATTTTAATGTTTAAAGTTTGAACTCATAATATTGAACTTTTATTAAAATTAGTTCACATGAATATTAGACAGGGATACACCAGATAATGATATGTTATGGGGTATTTTAGCGCAAGATAAGTAACAGAAAAGTCATCGACTTACAGCGCTCACGAAGAATACTGCTGCCAGTGGATAAGTCGTGATTGCATTTTTTAATAGATTGCAAGTCGACTCTTCGGTATTTAATAAGGATCGCAATACCAATTGTACAGTGATACCCTTATAACGGCTCATTATCATGTTGAACTTGCGGGAAACTATCGGTGTGAGTGAATATTTTTCTAGAGCCACGACTAATTTCAAGGCACTTCTTTGCGCCAACCATTCTACTAGATACAGCCAATCATCTGAACCATTTCCTAAAAAAAAAAAAAACAAAATATATGAGTAATCCATAGAAATTTGATTTCTTGAAAATCGTTTTTTGATAATTTTACCAATCACGAAGTACACTTGATCTGAATAGCACTGGAACTGTTGCGTCACATCTCCGACATGATTATCTTTTGTCGTGGATATTACTACTCGTTTAAATTCGTTTTGCCGTGTTAATTTTCTATAAATCCAATTGTCGAGTAAGCAAAATTAAAAAATTAACCATTTAAACGGTATTTGTTTACTCAAGTGTCTCCAGTGCTTGAATTCCCGAACACGCACCTTCCAGGACACAGCGATCAAACGACTTGATTGTACCATTCTGTAATCCGTTTTCGATCAACTTTTGAATCCTTCTTTTCGTTTCTTCGGTCTCCTCGATTATCCTCTCCATACTAATGGCGTAGAACGATATGTTTCGTAAGAATTTCCACAGACCTTTATTGACACCGGAAGAAAATAATTAATCTACACGTTTTTCTTGAACGTTAATTGTATTGTACGTACCCATTTTATATTCCTTTTTCATGTCGCTTTTGGTCAACTGGAAAAATTTCCCATGGTCTGCGATCACCCGTACGGTGGCGTGAAAGTCTTCTCCATCCAGACAGTTTATTATTACATTCATCTTGTTGTTGGCCATTAAAAATTTGATTTCGAAATTTTCTTTATCATAAATTATCACGTTAGAATGTGGTAACTGTAATTCATATATGTTACATTTTAATTAAAATTATGTTGTTCACCCCTATAACTGATTCTCGTCAATATAATAATATACCGAAGGAAATCGTTCTTTTAACAATTCCATTTGTTTGGAATCGGAAACGGTTACGAACACTTGACATTTTTTCTCTAAACAAATGTCAATAGCAGCTCGACCTACAGCAGTTAGACCGGAATGCACCAACACGGAATTTTCTTCAGTTAGTTTACTAATTTCAATCAATATGTAATACGCCTGTAGTAGAATAAGTAACATACATATTTATAAAAGTCAACTTTGAAAAGTTATGCTATTGTTTTTTTGACCACATAACATGTGTAATGTAATTACCATTGAATATGGTACTGGAACGGTAGACGCTTCTTCGAGGGACATGTTTTTAGGAACTGTCCACATCAAAATAGGATCTGCTGTTATTTCAGTGATTGTCGGCACAAATGGTGCAACACCCATGATCATTGAGTCGTTAGACGATAAACCTGAGTATTCTATGGGTCCTAACTTATCGTATTGTACATTGTTGTTTTTCGTCTTAACACTCGTATCTTGGGGATTGAGACCAATAAATTTTACAGATACGTTTTGCAATCTATAAACCGAAAACAAATTATATTTTGTAATTATCAATAATTTGAATAAAATATCCAATTTGTAATGTAAATATATGTATATTTATGTAAAAATGAGTGGGTTTCACTTTAACGAAGACAAGTTTTAGAGTCATTAAATATAATTTGTTATGTTAATCGTAATTTTAACAGGTTATCTATAAACTGGCATAAACTTTTACATTTTAAAAAAAACAGACAACCTTTAATAACCAAGTTTAAAAAAACCTATTAGCCTTTTTAATCCGAACTACAGCTATAATTTTATACATACAGTATGTATGTACATATATATATATATACACACAACAGGTTTATATAGGTTGTTTATTATCAAAATATGTAAGAATTTACGTAAAAAATGACGTAGTATTTAAATAAAAATATATAAAGTTATATAAGAATAAGGTTAGCTAAAATAATTGAATAAATATGAGTTAGATCTACGCTTGAATAGTAAACAAGTGAATTAAACAAATTTATGATAAAAACCAACTAACAAACATAGTGTATTAGAATGGCCCATGTTCAGCAGCTCCAAAAAAATTCTTGGAAACCCAAGCACTTGGATAAAAAAAATTCGGGAAATATTTTCACTTTTTTCATGAATATAGGTTTATCAAAGTTAATTTAAGATTAGTTATTTAATCCAGTAGTTCCCAATTAGTATGAAGCCACAGACCTCTAGCTATATTTTAAATTGGTCCGGGGATCCCTTTTTTATAAATACTTACTTTTTAATTTTGTTTAATTTTGAAAGTGAAAACAAAATGTACGATTTATTTTAATTTGACAAACTTTTTTGTAAAATTGTTAAAAATATATATTTATAAATAATAATTTCACTAAAATAAAATGAAAAAATCATTATACTACTATCACAACTAACTAACAACTAACTACTACACGACCGTGGACCCCCTAAAACCAACACGTGGACCTCTGGATATCCGTAGACCACCAATTGGGATATCTTTGAGTCTCTTGGTATCTAATCAATAACCCTCAAATGTGCAAAATGATCTATCCACATACAGTGACCTAGTGATGGTTGTACACCTAATGCAATTGCACCAATCCTAGAAATGTACGGTAGAGGTGGGTACCTCTGAGTCGTAGACTCGTGTCCCAAAACTAAGAACCAACAACGTGCTATTTTGATCATAGTATATCTAAAAAAAATAACTACCGAAAGTATTTATAATTATATTAGCTATATGAAAAAACTGTTGGTCAATATTACACAGTGCACAGCAATACAGTATAAGGAGAGCGCATTATTCTTGTAAAATTTGGTGAGTAAGGTACTTTTTTATTATTTCGCCAAAGTCTGAGATTATTATTAGGTATATTAAAATTACCCTAAATATATAATTTTCATTCACAGCATAATGTGATATATTAATTTGATAAACTTACGATGTATTTGACAAGTTAGCAAGAAGCGTTTTTTTCATCGTCGTTTTTGTAGTAATAGAATTTATTAACTCAATTTCTTGGTAAGTAAACCACTCACCATTTTCGTAAACGTTCACTAATAAATCTTTAGCTATTTGTTTTGAATAAAATGAATTTTTTATATTAAATTCAGGAGCAGAGTTTTCCAAGATAAAGAAAAACCTAGAAAACAGCGAGTTATGAGTTCATTTGCATTTACGATTTATAATATCATCTTACCGAGTATTTTGTACTTTGTCCATTTTTTTGACTAATGATAATATGCCTTCTGAGGGTAGAATTTTACAAACTATGTATATTTTTTCATTTAGAGATTTTAAACTGGTCAATATATTTTGGAATTGATCCGAACAGTTAATATTATCTGTAGTCAATCTGTGCACAATACCGTCACTATCCACTTTCATAATCTATAATAATTATCCCAGTAATTTTTAACCGTAAAATAATTTATAATTATAAGTAACTACAGTATAATTTAAATATTCAAATTAATTTTTATTCATTTCAATAATTATAGTGCAATATAAGTATAAGAATTTGAAAAGTTAAATAATTATTATTAAACTTTTAAAATTTTTATGCGTGTAATATGTTAAGTACAATTGTAATAATTATTATTTTATTATTGAATTATCATTTTGTAATAAGTATTTTGGTCTCTTCTACATAACATTTCACGTATAATAGAATAGAAAATTATAAATAATTTGTATGAGTATATTATACGTATCGTTAAAAAAATAGTACAATGGTATGATTTGGGTTATTTTTTAAACAAATTATCATTTTTTTAAGACAAACTTTTATGTATATTCATAATGTTATTTTAATTTTATAAATGATGAATTACCTTTTTTATTAAAGATAAGTGATTTTTCCCAAATTTCTGTTGTATGACTACTATATAATCATCGCTATCAGACATAGGCACGTTTGAAGCCACAATCATGTAAACATGACTTAAATTTGACATTAATGATACTGCATGCGATAATTGTTCATTTCGAGCTAAAACGATGTATTTTAAATTATCTGGGTAATTGCTTTGGTATTTTGAGTTCACGTCAAATTTTATCAACTCTAAAAATGAATCCTAAAACATACATTTAAATATTAACGACTGCATGTAAGAATACGCATTGGTTTTTGATGCGAACTATCGTACTTTAGTTTTTAAAATATGTTGAGTAAAAGTTTCCATCGTTTGGTCTTCACTATCATATACAGGACAAACACAAATATTTTCTGTGTGATCATTTTTCCTGAACTCTAATATTATTTCAATACATTTGTCCACGAAATCTATCGGTTTCTATACAATAATGACCACAGTATATTAAAAACCATAATTATTAATGTTTTACAAGTAATAAGTAGAACTAAGATGCCTACGCCATGGCGCGCCATACAAAATTACAAACAATTACCTATTTATGTTGATAATTATCTTAAAAAATAAAGAAATAAAAAAAAATTCTAAATTTAAATCAGACAATGTTAGTTAAATAAACTATTGATTTAAATAATCGCATATAAGATGTTCCAAAATAAGGTAAAAAGTCAACATCCGGAACCTAAAAATTTAGTTGTATTACTGATGAAACTCACGTTATAACTTGTATTTGTTAAGTTAACCAAACTCTGTTGGGTCAGTTGGTATGTAGTTTTTACCAATGGATCCAGCGGCAATACTTCGAAACGGGGTAGGGAAATTTTAACGCCATCACACGTTACCATATTGGTGAATATGTTGTACTGCGCAAGCAGTTCTGTACGCAGATAAAATAATCGGCATAATAAATAAATCGTGTAAAGTTGCTCATGCGGGAAAGATGTATAACCAATCACTATGGAGTTTCTCACCTTTAGATCCGCAATCTTCCACTGCAGTCGGATCAATGCATATTTCTTGAATGGAAACTGGCACCAAAAGTTCGCCATGTTTTTCTATATGGTGCATGGTCGGTACCTGCATCAACGCGTCTAGGTAATGTATCCAGTTGTTATCCCACAACAGGCTCCACTGTATTTCTGTGCAAGAAAGAAAAGGTAAACGATAATAACATTAATATGATAATATAGACGCGCGAAGAAAAAAAACGTACTGTTTTTGAAAATATCAACTCGTTTAACCGTTTTGAAAACGTTACCGACACAATACCCGAACTGTTCGAGACTCGAATAGACTTCGTCGTGGTTAAGCGATACTAGGTCCTCACAGCTATTTTCTTTGTGTACGGTGGTGATAGTATTTTTGAATTTTAAATCATCAAATACGAAAATGTTTCCCGACAATACGATTTTATTGTTCAAACATAACTCAAAACGCCCGGTTCCGGCCTGAATCGTCGAACACAATTCCTTGGATTCTAAATTTAACATATTTTGTAAAAAAAAAAAAAAAATCCGCACGCATTAGTAAATTTAATGATTATGGTAATTTTCAAAAAATTATACTGTAGTAAGTAAGTCGAACAATATAAAACAAAAGTACGTACGGTTCTCGTTTATGATAACGTGCTGATAATAATGAATATCTTGAAACACAACAGGTAAATTCATTTCGGTTTCATTGCGTAGTTGAACGAATGATTCCCATACAAAAAACTAAAAAAAATTATCGATAAGCTATAATATGTCGAAATAATCATTATAATTTATTTAATAAATAAATAGCTTAGATGGTTTGAAAAACGAATAAAATTGTTTGCACTTCTAATAAAGATACAATTATATATGTCATTTTTCTTACCAAAAGCGCTGAAAATGGAACAATGTGGTGACCGAATACTTCATATTCTTCAATTGAATTATTTGTAGCCGGTGAGAGTGAGATAATACTTTCTCCCTTGTTTTTTTTTATCTGTAATTATTTGTTTTTAAATACTGTAATTAGTGTACATTTTTCAACTTTTAATATTTTAAGAAATTTATTTTCATTTGAAAGTAATTAATTTTTACATGTTTAGAGTAAATTATTTCTACAGTCACATACCAGTGTTTCTAATTTAAGAGTGGGCCAATCTTCTTCATGGTTCCATGAACATAATGTATGTAATGGTGGAGTACCAGCAGAAACTGGATAACTAACCGGATTGTACAGCATTTCAATATTCGGATTCAACCCATTGCAGTACATTCTAATAAAGGTAATATTGAATGCTTATCAAATTATTAAATCACCAAAAATGATCATACTATATGTTGTTTTATGTCTGAATATATTTTTTTTATTAAAATATATTAGATGTATTTACCATATTATTAATTCATATAAATATACTAAAATATAGTTGGTTAGTCGTTCACCACACATATGCGATGTACTAGATAAATAGAAAAATATCAGCTTGAAGAATATTTTAAAATGTCACATACTCAATAACACACATTTTATCGGGTATGTGGGATTTTAAAAAAAATTTCATGAAATTCAGATACGTATCTATCATAGAATAAAATGGGGTAACACTCCAGGACCTCAGAATACAAGGAACCTTGAAATGCTTGGACGATTTTGAGACATACTTTCTTAAAATAATTTAAAATTTTGACGTGTTTAAAAGCACCCAATTCATGCATGATAACTCCAGTTACAAAAATTAAGGGAGAATAATAATGCGCTCAATATGAAGCATGTTTTTTTATAGTATTAAACTGCAATTTATTTTTACTTTCTATATTTAATAATTATTTTCGCTTATCGTTTCATAATAAATGTTCGACATTTGAAAGAACAATATGACAGGTGCATTTTGAATTTTCATAGTTTTCCTATGAAAGGGACCCTCTCCTGTCTAGTTACACCTATTGGTAAGATGAAATCGGTTGAATAATAATTAAATCGTGAGAATTGTTTCCACTCACTTTCCGATAGCCATCAATAAGTATCTCACGGAATCTCCGTACACGCGTTGAGTCAGCGAAATGTTCACCATGTCACGTAATGATTTTTTGAGTATAGCCTGTAGAAGACCGTGCGGAGCGATTTCAATAACTACCGCGTTTTTTGGTATGTGAAGACACGTTTCCTCGAACAACACCGGACTCAGTAGGTTATTGGTGTGGTATTCGGCGGAACAGTAACGAGCCAAATGCGAATCCCATTGCGATTCCGGTATGGACGTGCTCAGCCACCGTGATGATCTCCGTTTCGGGTCCGGCAGGATCTGAAAAGCATTATAATGCGGTTGTAGGGAACACACGCATTAAAACGCAAAACCTAAACGTTGGCCCCTCTTCGCTCGCAGACCCGTCCGTGTTTCTTTTTCCTCTCACATCGTTAACCTTCCTTTTACACACAACCCTTTAAACGTTCCCCCCCCACCGCAGAGCAGATTCCGTATTTAACCAACCCCCATCTACCCTCATAAAGCTTATCGGTTTTTGATAACGTAAGCCGCACACCGTTGCTTTTGGGTAGAGGCGGAACTAGGAATTTTCACAGAGAAAATGTTAAAATTACGTCTTATCATATACTAAAAATCAAATACCTTTCCCTACAGTTTTTTCTCAATAATTAGCGTACAATCGTACTCATCGGGTAAATGGTTATTTTGTAATGTCCATTGTTTAAAATGCAGAACGCGGACACTTAGTACGGTCTGGTAAAAAGGTACATTGCAGAACGCGAACACTTTGTACGGTCGGGTAAATAGGTACTTTGCATAACGCGGACACTTTGTACTATTATATACATAAAGTATATATTATAAATATAAATTTTATACCTAAGTAGTAACTAATAATTATGTATAGTGTTAATTATTAAAATAGAAAAATAAAAATAAAATTGTTATAAAATATTGATTGTATGATAATAATAATAATAATAATAATCTAAATAAACAAATAATCAATAATATAATTTTATCATCAAACTACATGTAAAAATGTGTAAATAATTGTTATATATATATATAATTATTAGTTACTACTTAGGTATAAAACTTATATTTATAATATATACTTTATGTATATAATAGTATAAAGTGTCCGCGTTTCGCACTTATAATGTCTGACCGTACAAAGGGACCTAGAACCTACTCATCGAGCTTTAAACGCAATTAACAAAGTTAATAATATTAAAAATATCAAACTAGCGGTTAGCAATGGATCGTATATGGATCCTCCGTCTTCCCTCCACACCTGGTTCCGACATGGCTTTCGTGTGTTTCGCTTTGTGGCTGAACCCTGTGGGACAAACGGACGCGGACGGGCGTGAACGGACCAAACTGTAGGACTGGAAGACGAACGCTGGTACCTTTCTCAAAAGTCGGAGCAGAGTCGGCGCCGCCGGCTGTATGTATCGGCTGTGGAACGAGATATTGCCAGCGCTCACGGCCTTCGCGAAAACGCCCTCGGACTTGAGCCGGTCGACGAACTCCATGACGCTGGCTGTAGGCCCGGACACCGTGCAGTTGTTCGCCGAGTTGTGGCACGCGACGTCCACGTCGTGCGGCAGCCGGTCCCTGACGGACGAGTAACCCAATCCAATTGCGGCCATCATGCCGTCTGGCAGCTCCGTCTCCACGGCCGCCCGGCCCCGCATGTAGGCCGTCATTATCGTTTCTTCGGCGGTCATACAGCCGTCTGCGTATGCGCAACCCAGCTCACCGGTCGAATGTCCGATTATGCCGTCTGGCTCGATGTCCAGCGCCCTCAGAATGTCCACCAGACCAATCTGCGTGTGCAAACCACGCGAACGATTAATAAGTATCAGCAATCGGCAACGGTTCCTCAGCCTTTTCCTCCGCACCGCCTCCCCCCACCCCATCGCTCACTACAATTCCGACTGCTGTTGTTCTTAGCGAGTCCTTCCCCCTCCGTACGGGGGTGGTACCGTGCTGGTACAGCCGCTCGAACGGGGTGAACAACGACGATGAACGTTATGGGACGAGCTGGGCGGATTGTCCGGAGGAAGCACTGGGGCCCCGTTGAAAGACAAACATACTGCTACTAGGTACTAGTGAGACGGGCGATTATTGAAAGTGAATTGATCTTTCGATTCGATTTTAATCGGAATGAAAATATCGACCCAAAAAAAAATAAAAAATAGGTGGCAAAAAATCGATTCACTTTATAAGTGGATTTTTTTTTTGTTTTTTTATTAATAGATTTTCGTTTTTTCAAATTTTCCGGTGATCTAGATGAAAAATAGATGAAAATATGAAACATGTAGTAACTTTTAGTGATGAGCGACTCTTGAAAGCTCTTGGTGCATAAAACATCATTAAAATATAACATACGTTTAAAATAATTTTTAAATTTTTTTAAAACATTTCAGAGAGGGGTTTGTAGCCCACTAGGCACCAGCCCACCCTATATACACCACTATTACGTATAATAAACGTTTTTTGTAGAAATAAATAATGTAGTTGTACGCGGTACGTATCGTACACATTTCGAATGGCATCAAAAAATAACAAATGATTTTTTAAATGTGCAGTGGTACAAGTTTATTTAATAATTTTTGTTTTCTTATGCCTTTGAGTAATAAAATGTTAAAAATATTTCTATTATTAATGGTTCGAGTGTAACCTTTTATTGAAAGTATTTTATTAACAGCGTTCGAATTCATCGGTTTTCATTAATGACCACCCCTAAACAATATATTTCATAGACGTTATAATATTAGCTATGTAATTTACTTAATAGTAAAGATATTGGAAAATAGTTAAAATTTAAGTACTCAAATCATGTCCAACGTAAACATTTATCGAAGTAGATTACGATTGAAAACTTTAGCAGGGTTTTTTATGATGACTTCATCCTCTTATACAAACCTGAATTGCAGTTATTCCAACAAACGATCTGACTATGTTATCGAATAGTGTCGAATCGAGACTCGTTATAATGTTAATTATATCGATCCCTAACGGTTTTAAAACCACGTCACACTTTTCGATCGCTTTAGCGAAAATTGGAATCTTCAATAGTTGGGTGCCCATACCAAGCCATTGTGATCCCATACCAGAAAACACAAACCAAACTGGAGGTTTTTCATTCGTGATGGACTGCAATAAACGTATCGTCATATTATTATTATTATTCTTCGTTTTGAGCTCACAGTACACGTAAAATGATCTTGACTTACATGCACGTCTTTTTCTCTCCATGGACCCGGCGTTGGAATAATTAAGAAACTTCGAGAGAAATGAGCACTTATGTTTTTGAAAAATGCTTTATGCAGTAACGACGCATATTCTTCGTCGACGTTATATTGTTCGATCTATAACGAAAAACGTTCGATAATATCCTGGCGATCAACGAATATTATATTGAATTTTACCGTTCTCATTGTTTTCCTGACCCCAGTATCACTACGACCGGAAACTAAAATTAACCTCGGTAGTCCATCATCAAACATTTCATCTTTCGCATAAATTTTCTTCTTCAATTTGTTATACTTTTTTAAGACAATATGACCATAATTTCCAGTCCTACCAAAAATATTCAACCCTATGATATCGCCATTTAATGGAGTCTTTTCCGTAACAACCTACAATAATAAATAACATTAGGTAACAAATTATTAATAAATATAGTTTAATCTAATATAAACAACATTTGATCTGTTACAAGAATTATTTTGGTCACTAGTGTTTGGAGCTTATTAATTTTCAGTAAGAAGTCGATTATTAGTGAAAACCTTCCAACACAAATTATTTTAAACTGTCAGCACTATCGCCTATAGTAGTTTGAAAATAGACTTTGTATATGAATTATAATATAGATATACGTATAAATTATAATTATAAAATATGTGGGGAAACATTTTTGTATAAACAACATTAATAATTATATTACATTGTATAAAACATTACTTTTTATATTTATGCTACTCGAAGAATTATTTTTTTGTGAAAAATTTAATGAATTACCTGTAATTTTCCGGATGTAATTGCATCTGATTTACTATTTGGTGTAGTATAATTTATATTAGGCGGAATGTAACCACTGTCCATAGTGATAATAGCTTTGATCATCGAAACAAGACCACTAGAAGTATCAGTATGGCCTATATTACTTTTGATTGAGCCAATCTTCAAGGGTTCCTTTCGGCTCGTCGACCAAAACACTTCTTTTAATATATCTAATTCCATTGCGTCTACATCCTAAAGAATATATATATATATATATAATATTATTATATACATAGTTCATATTGTATAAAATCAATCAATTTCATCCACAATAAACCGGTTTGTTTCAATTGCTGTTTATTTGTTTTTTATTATTTGTTTTCAAGAGCTATCTAACTAACGTTTCACGATTTGACGCATTTCAAGTATTTATACAGTGTCAATAGTTAATGATTTTTTTTAAAATGATTGTGAATAAACAAGATTCTATGCCAATAATGTACCTTAACCGCACATCCGTCAGCTTCGATGTACGTAACGTCAGCAGGGTCTACACCAGCTTCTTTGTACGCTTCCATTATTAATTGTTTACAACGATCAGTCGAATAATTGGTAAACACTCCTTTCAGATCTCCAAACTGTTCCATTTTCGCGCCCAATATAGTACCGTACGACCGTTTCGCATCCAACGAATTCTGCAGTATAATTGCCACACACGCTTCAGATCTATTGAAGCCGTCGGCTGCGAAACACAGTTATTCGTTATTGAATCACGCCGCAATCGGATTGTGCTCCCACGGCACAAATCATAATTTGAAAATGATAAAATATACGCAACATACCGTCATCGCTAAATACTCGATTTTCTATTCCGTCGTTCAGGAGGCCCAAACCTTTTAGCTGCAGAGATAAAATAGGGTGTTTGACTAAATTACAACTACCAACTATTGCGGTTTTGATGTGACCTTTTTCAATCATGTGCTTAGCCATTACGATAGCGTCTACTCCACCGGTGATCGACGAAAACATCGTAAAACTAGGTCCTGTATAGAAAATCTCGTTTTAACGATAATCTCCGATCGAATAATATTACGTTATTCACAACATAATAAATAATACCCCGAATGTACTGTTTTTTATAGTTCATCGGACTATCATGATTGTTATTAATTATCGCGTTTATCCGTAATGATGGACTATTATATTTGCTTACCATTCAAGTTTAATACGTATGAAAGTCTATTAGCCTGCATGGCCTTGTTGTGGCCAAGTACGCCGAAACCCAACTTTGAGTTATCGAACATCGCAATCGTATCGGTTTCGCTTACCGAAGAACATATGAATACTGCTGTGTTCGTGTCATATAAGTCTCCAGGATTCATTCCTTGAAAAAACATAGTTATGCAATCATATTTGTAAAATTGTATGTATAATGATAAATAATAATAGACAGATAATGATATAGACGTATGGTGTCCATGCGTTTTTTCGGATTATTGTAAAATGTTTGAGAACAAATTTTACAATAAGAATTCAAATAATTTAACTCGATGCGTCCAATACGTGACATATTGAATGGAATAAAACAATAAGACATGGATATTAACTAATTTGAAACGAACAACTTGTAAGAATTCTATATTTTTAATGACTTTTAAATTAAATTACATCAGCTGAATTTCTATGTTATTGTATTTAACTCGCTGTAAATAGGTATGCGCATTAAACGCGATATAACGTTACGCATCGAATCGTACAAGTATAATACATTAAGATAAATAATAATATAAGAATACGTATGTGCATGGATTCATCATGTTACATAATACATGCACTTACCCGCATCAATAATAGCTTCCACAGATCTCTCCAAGTTTAACTTGATTACATCTTCGGTACTTTCGCATAGCTTTCCATGTATGTTAAAAAAAACATTGTCGAATCGATTGGTGTTCTTAACCTTTCCAACGCCAGACGATATTCCATGCTCGTCTAAACATAATACAACATTTTATTGATAAACACAACCATTATTGATAAGTCTTGATCTAAATTTATGAATTGCAAAACTTTGTTATTAACAATTATAATGATCTGTAATAAATTTAGCTCATTTTTTATAATATTTGTTTTTTGTTTCCATTAAAACATTACGTCAAAGCAATTCCAAATATATGTATAATGAAAATATATATTAATATTACTTACAGTTAATTAAATTAACAATCAAGCAGGATTTATAAAATGTTTGATGAAATGGACAACAGGAATTAAGAGAGAGTTAAGGAGATATGTGTCGGGAATGAGATAATCCAGGAAATAAAAAAATAAAAAGGAGTTGTCTGTTAAAGAGAAGAGAAAGACATTTTAAAACTAAATTACTTAAATTGAAAATTGATTATTTGTGGGGTAGAGTACATAGTAGAAAAGAATTAAAAGAAAACATGAAATAATTGTAGGGAAGAAAACTGTGGCATATTAGAAGAGTAATAATTTTTTAAATGTTAATTTTTTTCGATTTGACGAAATAAAACAAAATATCCTATTAATTTTTACAATCTAGATTATGAGTTAGAAAAAGTGTAAAAGATAAAGATGTCTAGAATCTTATTATAAAAGTTTTCACATGTTGTACGAAAAATGTCTTACAAGTCATATGTTATAAATTCAATTTTAATTTTGTATGGTGTTATAACTCACTAATTGGCCATTGTCTTGAATCCAACGTGACTCCATTTTGCTTATTGAAAAGTAGATCTTTTAATTCTTCCACATTGTTACTTTCAGGGAATAATCCGGCTATGCCTGAAATGACCACTTCCACTTTGTTCGTTTCAGCCATTTGAAAGCCCTTGCAAGTATTATAACTAGGTAGACACTCTAAACGTCTTTTAATTTAGTCTTGAAAATATCGTATTAATTTCTTAAATAAATAGCACTAAAAACTCTCATTGATTCAATTGCTATTGATTATCAAACCGTAGGTTCATTGTATATCAACCGTATATTAAGAACATTGCTATTATAATGAGAGAAACATGTCAACTTTTTTTCAATTTTTTTAACTTTATGATAATAGATGATAATTTTATTCATACGCATGATCAGTATTCAATAACAATGTAGCAATTAAAATAATAATCGCTGAGCACATGATTTATTAATCGATGTTTCCGCCATCGAAAAATACCTAGTATAGTTGAGTTTCTCGGTTTCATCATATAAGTAATGTTTTAATAATGTACTATGTGACTGCAATGCTAGAGTTACGTAGGTTAATTTTTGTTTATAAGATATAAAATTGTCTAAGTGTATGCTTAAATTAAAAATAAATATTTAATAATAATTATTAACATCATGTAAGGTTGCAAAAAAATGCATCAATAGAGTAATAAAAACTAGAGTTTTTAAAGTATTATTTTGTGATAATCTATTATCAAAATAATATTATGTATTAAATATAAAAGTTTGGACGAATTTACATGTTAAAAAATAAAATATTATTATTGTCGTACTTTATTTATATTTACAAAATTTACTGAGTTTGAAGATAGATTGAAAAATATCATATCATATATGTATATTATAAATTTCAATTCTTTTTAATATAATAAATGATACAACGTGTTAATATTATATTTTAAATTATAAATTGGGATGGTTCTAGAGAAGACTTTTACTCCTGCAGACTTAAAATTTCCCAAAAATTCAAATCTCAATCTTTAGTTTGTACGCGTACAAACTAAACCCTTTTTTAATACACCACCTCTAATCGGTTTTCTTAAATTTGGAATGTATTGGTTTCTATTTATTTTATTTTATGTCCAATAGTTTGAAGATAAAAATTTTAAAAAAATAAACATGAATTTCAATTTTTAAAAAATTGGTTCTTCCTGATATTTCCGAGTTATTTTAAATTTTAATTTACACTTCATTAAATTCTGTAACATTTGAAAGCAGTTTCTGGAGTATGCGAAGAATTAAAAATTGGTTGAGGAAAACCAGTAGCACCGAACATGTATGGCAAGTGAGGTAAATACCCCAGAACTTTTTTAGTTGATGGGTAGGTGGGTGAATTAATGAGTGCTAGGTATATTATTTTTAGTATTGTATGATAAAAAAAATATTCTATAATATTATATAATTACTAGATAGTAAATATTCGTAATACACATGTATAAGAAAAATACAATGAACCTAAGTTTTATAAATGAAAACGCTACATCATATTAAATTAGTATATGTTTAAGTTTGAAAAAACGGTTTATGTCAAAGTTATTAAAAAAAAAAATAATAATAATAATAATTATAATAAGTTAAAAAAATTAAAAAAGAATTAAAAAAAAAAAGGATAGTTTATTAATTTATTAGTTCATTCTAATCAATGTAGTTTTAAAATAATGAAAAAATGGCAATAGTTCTGAAAAAAAATATAGTTGATCCTCAACTAAATGAATATTTTTCATAATTTGGCAACCAGAAATTTTGGATAATTTTAAAAAAAATATCTAAATACTACTATAATACTTCGTATTTTGATTTTACGTTAATACTTTATTACTCCACAATTAATCATTTTATACTTTTCTAAGAAAATTTTTATGTGAAATTGATTTACATTCAGGTTATTGACTGTAAAAAAAAAAAATTAAAAAAATAGATAAAACATAATTTACATATTCACAGAGGTTAGGTTACCATTGTCAATTATTCAGTGTCATTTAATTTATTATACGATTCATTATAGCAGTCGACAAGTTAGTTGTATTTTTAATCAATTTTGAAATTTATAGACTATTGCTCAAATAATAATAGAATTATTAAAACCTTAAACCATACCGTCCTCCGGTGCTTTATTTTATTTGTAAATACAATACCAAAAGTCTTCTGAGCTGTACAATTGTAATAGTATACAAACAGTTGATGAATTATTATTATTACTGTATGTACCCATTAGAGCTCTGCACTGTTCATTTTTTTAATGACCGGATCAGACTGATTGATTTTGACCAAGACTAGAAGGAGGCGATTAATAAAAATGTCTAGGAATAAGATTGAAATCGGACCTAAATGTTAAAATATGATTATTATTCAGGCTATACCCTATTTGAATATATATTTTGTATGAGTCCCACATTTTTAGAACAGATTTTTAAACTAGGAATTGGGTAAAATTAATTAAATAAGACTATACCGGACTATAACGACAATAAGACACACTATGTTCAAAATATTATGCAATATTATATATTTTATATATTATACATTTTCTTATAAATAAACCACAAATTGTGTATTTTATACATTTGGAAATAATACAAATTTCATATAAGACAACGCACAATTATTACTCCGCTTCATATTTATGGATCTATATTCTATAGTAGGTAAATATTATGTCAACAATAAAATCATACAAAAACGACATGAGCTATTTTGGTATCCCAAAATATTATAATCCTAGTTAAAATAACATATTGTTATGTTTGGTAAACTATTAAATTGTTGCTCAAAATTAAGACCATATTTATCTTATTGATCTGAAGGCGGATAGACAAGACTTGATTGATTTTTTTTTTTTTTAGACAAGAGGACCAGACCAAAATAAATTGAAAAATTTAAAGATTGAAAAAGATTGAACCATGGTCCGATCCGGTTCGATCTAGACTAGAAAAAAAAATATATTTAGGACGCATTCGGGCGATACCTTTTTGTGGACATGCTTACAACATTATAAAAAAGGACTTTTTGGGACACACTCGGGACATCCTTATCTGTATAGAACTCCAATAAAGTTAGTATTTATGTAGTATGTATTCAATATTAAAATTCAACAATCGAAAATATCGATTAAAAATTAAATTATTCAACAGATTTTTTTTTTTTTTTTATGAAATACAAAACCAAACAAATTTCAACTTGACCAACTAAATATATATTTAAGTCATCAGTCTTAGTCAGTAATAGTAATAAAATGTGAAGGAAATTTTTATTAGTTATGATAATTATTTAAGTAGTAATTTACATGGTTTTAGGTCACTTTGTACGGTCTATTGTTTAAAATGCGAAACGCGGACACTTTGTACGGTAGGGTAAAAATAAAAATTTCAGAACTCGGACACTTTGTACTATTATATACATATTATGTACATTCATACATATAATATATATACATTGGTAATGTAGACTGCAGTATAGGTAAAACCACGTAAAACTTTATTATATTATAATAAATCAAGTTTTTAATGCAGTCCATATTCAAGGTTGTTCTTTTCATTTATGCTAGTCTGTATGACGACAAGTTCAACAACTTGGTCTCGCAAAATTAAATGAAGAAAACGAACTGATTTCAGTGAAGGGTGGAATAGTTGATTCAACAAATTTGTTGGAACAACTAATCCGAGTTTTTGGACAGTTTTACGGGCAATCTAGTTGGATGAATGTGAAAATAGACTGAATAAGAAACATATATCCAAGGCTAAAGATAGCAAATTATTTGACTTATGTAACCAGCATCAACAAAAAAAAAATATCTAATTACGAATTTTTAAATTATATTTATTTTACATGTTGTTTTTAGTTTTATTTTTAGACTTTTAATTTTTAATTTATATAACAGAAATCTTTGCAATTTTATTTTCTATTATAATATATAACATACCTACTATAAAATAAAATATAAAATTTTACTGTTCATTATATGTATAATACATGCTATGACTAGGTCTAAATGTTAACACCGCAAATACCATATCGTAGTATATTTTACGGATCATACTAGTTTCAAAATTTTACCTATACTGTAGTCCACACTACCAATGTATATATAATATATATTATACGTATATAATATGTATAAATGTACATAATATGTATATAATAGTACAAAGTGTCCGCGTTCTGAAATTTTTATTTTTACCCTACCGTACAAAGTGTCCGCGTTTCGCATTTTAAACAATAGACCGTACAAAGTGACCGTTTACCTTATTTACATATTGTATATTATTAAGATGTATTATATTACGTTGGAATTTATGTATGCACATTTATTGAACTTTTATAAGTGAACAAGGTATTTAAAAACTTTTCTCTGAATTGTATTATACACAGTTATTTATTATTATTATACAGTAGTATCATACACATCAATTTTTGAGTGTTAAAATTCAAATGTATAAGTAAAAAACAAATTAATTATTCAACAATGTTTATGCATATATTAAGTTCTTAAAAATGACTTTTATTATTTTTCAGTCATTCGTTTATACGTCATCAGTGGTGTTATGGAATAATTATCTAGTAACTGACTAGGTTTACTATAGTAATATACCAAAATTTAATTATTCTCTAATTGTTCTATAAAAAAAAATGTTCAATAGACCGTGTGACGTATAATGCGATGAGAACGTTATGGGCTCCCATATGTCACTTATATATATATATTATATTATATTATATCATGTATAACACATTTATCATAAATAACATGATTATGAATATGAATATGATTTAATATAATATGATATAATCATCGGTATACTTAACATTGGTCATGGTCCAATTAATATTGTAGATTTATAGTTTTCAAATAAATTATTGACGATTATTTGATTTATTATTTTTGTCTACGTTAATGAGAATGTTTAACAGTTATTACTATAATATTTAAATTAAAACGACAGAAATTTAAATGTTGACCTAACCAAAAACGATTTGGAAGGGGATCTTAATGCTTATGAAATTGAAAAGAAAAATATTACTTTTTGCACAATGCCGAACATTTAGCTTTAATTACACACTTAAATTAATAGTCCGTATCATTACGGTTCTATTGAACTTCGAGAAACTGTTGCAAATCAGCTACCTACATTAAATTTACATAGTGTTATTCAGTGGTATATTTTGAGCATAATATCAGGGGTTGCAAAAAATTACCCCAGGTACACAATGTGAAACGTCGTAAAAACAACCATTTCAATGAAAACATGCTATTTCATTTTAACAACAAAAAATATAAATTCATAAATGTAATTATTCTTACATATAGATATATATTATTCAAATTTATAGATTTTAAGTTTTAAATAGCTTCAAAACTTTCAAAATTTTACATTACGGTATTTAATTTAACTCACTTAATCTTTTATCCATACTGAAAAATATACAAACTATAACTGTCTTATTTAGTTGATAATAAGCCACAAATATGGGCATTTTAACGACTGCAAATCAATAACCCCATCTTTTACTTAGAGGTTCCAAATGCGACCCCTTGCAATTTCTCAATATCGCTACCGAAGTAATTATCATTAATACTCGGTAATTACACTCTACCGTGTAACCATCATTATTTATTACAGTAATTTTGCTTATTTATTACTATAAGAGTTAGTTATCCTTAGACTACATTAAATCGAATTATTTTAATTTTTACTAATGAACTGTTCAAGTATAAGTGATATCACTAATTATTTATGTCTAATCTGTTCACTGAAATATAAAACATATATACTTATAATATGTTATTTGTACGATGTCCTATGAATTAATAACACTAGTAGCATAAGGATAATTCATACTGTAAACTACAATAGCTTATTGAACTCTTATTTTAAAAAGTATATTATTATGGGTAAATTTATTATAAGGATTCCATTTTAATTACTACTTACATTGAGTGACGACAATCAGTACGATAAAATTCATTAATAGAAATATAAAAAAATTAAATTAAATGTATATATTTATAGATTAGTTACGCAAGATAATTTTTTTTTTTTTAATGTTTTATGTATTATATAATATATTTAATGTATATTTTTCTCTCTCTACAACAATATTTAATTGTGAATAGTTTTAACTATACACAGAATATATAATAATTATGAATTCTCAGGCTCTACGCGGTCATGTTTAGTAGTATCTATCCATAATCTGTTTTGCAGAATAAAATAAAAATAAATTATCAATTAATAGACTACTACCATAAACACACAGAACATATAGTTGGATTACGTTTACTGAATAACGTTCAGTTCTTGTATCTGATTTCGAGTTTATTGCTCCGCGGTTAACGATTAGTTTTTATAAATGTACGGTTAATTAAAATGAAAAAATAAAAATGAAAAAGGACGTTGATCTTTTAGATTAGTTTTTGCTTTATTCTATAGTTTTCTTATCTATAATATCATATTCAAATCGCATCTGTTATCAGCGGTTCTCTTATTCAATTTACAACAGTTCTTAAAGTTTCAGCGATTTATCAATAATTAAGTAACCCTGAAAAATAATTATGTCTTGCAAAATATTAATTGGAATAACTCCACTGGTTCCAATGGTGTATGTAATAGTCTATCAAATATAGTTGGAATAAGCTAAATGTACTTTTCACTATAAGCGTAAACTATAGAGAGGCAATTACCTCCCCCATAATTAAAAATTTAATTGAACAATGTCCCTTAGGTATTTTATAAATTTTAAATTTAATTTAATTGTTAATTAATTAGAAAATTATTTAAGAAAAGGAATTTTAGATTTAAAATAATTATTTTATCAAGAAAAGTATAATTTTTGAACTATTAACAATAGTAATAAAAAAAAAAAAAAGGGAATAATCAAAATGTATTTGTTCATTCACATTTTTCATCACAATACCTACATCATAGTGCATATTAAGTATATCTAGTTTAAACATAGGCATGCGCACAGGGCCTTACACTTAAAGTCTAAGGGCGCGTATTTTAACTGATGTTGCTGAAATTAAATATAGTTTATTCTAAAATATTTGCTAAAAAATAAATGTTGTTTTTTAATATAAAATATAAAAATTTTTTTTTTAAATTTTCGTGCAAACACTTATTATGATAATACAAAACAACAGCATATGATAGCTAAAAACATAAATAATGAAATCTATCTGAGAAAAATATTTGAGATTCAATGAAAGCATATTAATTGGGACTAATATACCACAATTTACATAATATAAAAAATTTAAGTAATGTTTATTTTATTATTTATACATTATAATTTGTTAAATATATCTATAAGTTTTGTTAAGATAGGACGCAAAAGTATTGTAGGCACTCTTTGGAAATTCAGGTCTGCGCATACATATTTCTTTAAATAGGTATACGGTACTTCAACATAAAATAAAGTTTATCCCCTCATAAAAATTGGTTATGTAGTTATATATGACCAATATATAAACTCATGCATCCACTCTCAAGAAAGCAATATCACAATAGCATTAACAAATGTTTTCATTCAGATTAGTGAGTGTCAGTTTTATTAATTTAAATTGTTTACTGTAAAATTGGATACATTTGGTCATATATATATAAGGTCGATAATTTAATTTTTAGTAGAAATTCAAAAGAAAATTATAAAAAGAAATTAATATAAATGAGTAAAAAAAAAAAAAAAAACACTGTTAATTATTTTAATAAATAATAAGCAATTTATTGAGAAACATAAATATTATTGAAGTATTAAGTATACTATGATATATATTTATCCGAGTAGATCGTTTCAATTGCTTAAAAATGTATTTATCTTACATTACACATTCAACGAATAATCAGTATAACCAGTGGCTTCAGCTAAAGAACGAGCATACGTATTTGATATTAAGCTATCTTTAGCGTCCGGATGATAATGCAATATATTTTTATTTACGGCCTGAATAAGTTTCTTTTCTGACAACAATTTGACAAATTCTTTTTCGTCAAATAAAATTAGTCCAGGTATATTAACGCAATACTGAAACAAAAATATATTGTTAGTACTTTTTAATACATTTTTAAATAATTTCCCTCTGTACTCATAAAACATGAGAATTATGTTATAGAACATACATGCAAAATCTAAAATGGAAATTTATTTCCACTTCAATATAACACACTGCAATAAAATTTATTTCCCTAACAATGAAAAATCAATAAGACTTCGGCCAATATAATATTATAGACCAACAAATGTAAAATTGGACATCACAAATTTGTCAAGTATCTAAATTGATATAAGATCTATATTTCATTCGACAATGTATTTATTTTTTTCTATCTGAGAATTTTTTATAGAAATATTATTTCAGTGAAAAAGATCAATTATTTTGAGATGTAAAATTTTATTTTTATTTCCTTATTCATATTATTTAATTTGAAATAGAAAATTAAATACAATAAGATAAAAAAACGTTTCTATTATATAAATTGTACCAGATTTAGAGAGGGAAGGGGAGAAATGATTATATTTGCTCCAGGTGCAGTTGGTATATAGAAACTCTTAAGTTAATAAAAAATAGAATCATGAATGTACCCCGTACTTTCACTTACATAAGGGTGCTGCATTTTTATAAGCCCTGGGCATCAAATTTCCTAGATTTGGCACTGTGTATAAGTACAATTTATGTTGTAAAATAATACCTACATTAATTTAATACATATTTAATATAAAATATTACATTAATTCAATAGTATACTTAATTTTAAAATATTTTTATTTGAAAATATTCATAAATACTTATTTAAAAATAGGTTATTTAATCGAATAATTGTTACTTAAGTGACTTTTAGTAAACTTAACTTAAAAGTACTAAAAATGAAAATATGATAAGAAATCATCGTTTAATATTAAATATTAAACATGTGTTGTTAGAGTTTATTGCAAAATGTATTTATTTACCTCAAATAAATTATGGAAGTATGATTTATCAAAATTCATAGTTCTACTGATCAACCTTATTTTTGAAATTATTCTGTTTGGAAGTGGCTTTATTGTAATGATAGCATTTAGTCTGGAACGTATTGCATTTAGAGCCTTAAAAGTTTTATCAGAATCCAATACATTGTTTGATGACAACAGTTTAGGCAACTCTATATTCCAACCGTTTTTCGTTGCTAGTTCTTTTGCGGTCTAAATACAATCAATGATAGTAAATTTCATAAATTGTACAATTCTACATATTTCAATGAAAATCTATATTGATATTACCGTTTCATTGATTGGGAAATAATTAAATACTAATTTAGCATTAACATTTCCAAATTGCATCAGACTTTTAGTCCAATCTTGAAACACATTGGGTATACCTTCCAATAATGTTAAGCTCACTGCAACGTTTTCTGCCTCCAATATTTGAGCCATTAAAATGCACACAGCACTACCCCAAGATTCACCAATCAAAGAAACCGTGCCGCATTTAGTAATCATTTTGAGTTTCTGTCGAAAAAAATTAATTAAATTGATTTTATATTAAAAAAAAAAAATTGAAGCATTGATATTTTTGCAAATTTATACAAAAAAAAATATTAATCAAAAATGTGTTGTGTTAGTAACCTGTACAAGTTTTATAGCCACATTTTCGATGGAATCAATGTTTTCGGGCAACCTTGCTTCGAATGTAGGATAAATGAGATTTTCATACAATTTTTTCATCCTCTGGGGCCGGAATCCCGTTACGACGAAAACTGGTAAAAATGCAACGTTATCTGCATATCGGAGACCGTTGGTGAACACTTCAACAAATTTGAACTCCTCCGTAATCATATCTCCAAATTTGTTCAGTTCATCAATTGTTTCAGGCAATTCCGTAATCATTTTCGAATACACTTCGGGGTTTACTATAAAATTAACATACAATATTTACCATTTTTGTTTCCATTTAATTGTATATGAATACATCATAGTCCAAAATAATATATTTTACTTTATTTATTTTTTTAAATTATACGTTATTTTTAAAGATATGATAATGAAGTGACAGAGTAAAGGAAACCAAATTATAATCAATAACTTTAAGAATTTAAATGGAATCAATGAACAGATTATTTCAAAATTATTAAAGAATAATCTTTTAGTTAAATACTAAACCTTAATTTATTACATTTTTTATTCTGAACTACGATCAAAATTTAAAAACTATTATTACCAGTTATTTCTTTATTATATTGAGAACATATTATCGTAGATGAAAAAGTGTTATCAAGGTTTATTAATATCTTATCCAATGATGGTAATATATTAGAAAATTTGGTTTCTGTAGCTATTGAACTCCATGAAATACTAATGGCGTTTGGGCAAACACCGTTTGCTCTTAGTTCCGCACAAATTTCCTCTCCACCGCTCATGATACATACAAATATTGGCTTTGAATCCCGTAAAAATGAAAGGCTTACAAGCGCATGTTGAATGTTGCGCATTTTCTCTATTTCATCGCTCTATTTTAACAATAAGTATTATATCAAAATCTAATAGTCAAAAACTTGCGTTGAATGTAAATTTTAGTATACTTTTAATAAGTTTAATTATTTTTCTTAATTAATGAACTATGTTTGGTATATAAAAATTAATAAAAAATAAAATAGTTTAAATTTTGTATAAATTATTACAAAGTTATTACCTAACTAAATACATAATTTTAAATTTTAAAACTGCAATTAACTGAACATTAAATTAAGAAATTAAAACTAAAGCAAAAAAAGTATGTTATATAAATGGTTATAATAATATGAATAATACCAATGAGGCAAAAAAAAATCCGCCAAGAATATTCGCTGCTGTTGTATCTTTTAATAGCTGAATTAAATCTTCCTTCGAGTTCAAGTTTGAATCCGATACTATTTGGATCATGATATTTTGGTATCGTGCCATAAGTATGTTAAACCTGGGGGTTCAAATCTCATTAAATGATTACATACACTACATTATAAATCTAATTTTATTAATATAGTTTAGAGTTATATAAATGATTTATATAGGCGATTGCTAAAAGTTCCACGGACGGATCGAATTATTTAAAAAAGGGTACTAGAAATTATGGGTAAACGAAAAGAACTATTAATTACAATACAAGCTTGGAAGCTTAAATATTGGACAAATTATGAAAAAAGATCAATAATACAACTTACTCCAGCTTATATTATAAGGAAAAAGAAATTAGAAGAAGAATATCTTGATTGAAGGCTAGTATAATAAAACATCAATTTAATTATTTCGGGTAACACTTGACAGAAAAAACATTGCCAATATGATATCCAATATTCGAAACGGACAGGAAGAAGAATAGTTTAGAGATGGGCAAAAAATATCAATGTCTTGGGTCGATATATCGATTTTTTAACATCAATGATTTGTTTTCGATTAATCGTTTAAACATCGAAGTTTATGTTCGAAAAGTTCAAATTTTTTTTGTTTGTATTATTTTAGTATGTAGTATACAAAAATCGTTATACAGATATAATCAGGACTCGTAAGTTCATGCACTAAAAATTGCATAAATAAGCATACAATAATGAACTAACATTTGATCAAATATGCATTAAAAATTATTAACTATGCATGAAAAAAAACGTTTAAAGATTATTTAAAATAATAAAAATTATCCATTTATATTTTTAAAAATAATATTTTTTCTTCGGTTATATTTTACTAAAATTATAATTAATAAACACACGTTGCAAAGAAAATAGATAGATTGCAATGGACACGCCAATAAAAGGAATATGGTAGTGGTGCGAAATAGCATTGTTTTCGTGGTACTGCTTTTAACTTATAAAATTTTATGTCATTTAAAAATAAAAATATTAATAAAATACTAAGATTTTATAAACAAGTTTGGAAAAGTAAATAAGAATGAATTCAAACATTTATTGATCTAATTTTTTTTTGACTTCTACAAAAAACAATTTCACTGAATTTACATAAAATAATATGTGCTGATAACTCAAAAAAAAAAAATCAACTATATGCCAAATATGCCAATACACACAAAACATGCAAAAACATGCTCTATTAAACATTAGATTTTTATAACTATTGTTATGAAACGGATTTTTATCTCAATTAGTATATTTTCCGATATAGCAAAGAAAACATGAAAATGCATGAACTTACGAGACTTGATTATAAGTATTTAATATGTTTTTAAAAAATATAAGTTAAATAATAGTATTTTAATTCTTAAATGTATTATTTAATCAAGAAAATAGTACACTATACAGATAATAAGGTGTGCAACAGATGACTGCTCTAGAAGGAAAACATTTTTTTTGAGGTTTTTAAACTTCGATGTTCTTAAACATCGATGGTTTTTCACCGATACAGCGAACACATCGATATTTTAAAAATCGATGTATCGATACATCGAATATCAATGTTCAAACAATTTTGCCCATCCCTAGAATAGTTGCATACCAAACAAGATGAATTAAAAATAGTTCATTCATGATACATACCTTCTTGATGCTGTAGTTGACATGGAGTATTTTTTTATCGCTACAACAATTTTACGAGCGCCTCTTACAACCAACCATTCCGCAAGATCAATCCACGTACTATATTTACTCCCTATACAATTTAAAAGTTGGAGCATACAATCAATCAACTATATATTTTATTTCTGGATCAATAATTCTTACCAATAATTATGTACACTCGATTTGGGTAGCATTGATATTTTTCATTATCTGAATTTTTCAGAGGCTTTCTTAGTGTCTTTTCTGTTTCTAAAGATAAAATTACTCGTTTCGATTCAATTCCTTGAGATGATAAACTGTTTTCAAAAGATGAATAGTATATCAAATAAATATCGATAGTTTAAAAACGAATTTAAATAAAGGATATAGGTACTTTAGTGATTTTATAGCTTCTTTCCCTGTGCAAGGCCCGGTTAAAACATGTCGGTCTAATGGCTTGACTATACCCATTTCAATTCCTTTTTGTACTTCATTTTGAACTTTAAGTTTTATTTCATCACTAGCGGCTAATAAACCATCAGGGCTCACAGCATAAAACCCAACAGAATTCAAAAAAAAAAGCATTCCTGAAATATTTTTATACTTAAATAAATACGGTAAACTAATAGTTAAAAGAAATTATCGTACCAAGTTTGTCTTTTTTTTTCATATCAGTTTTTGTTAATTGGAAAAATTTTCCGTAAGTTGCTAGTGTTCGAATTGATGCATGGAAATCGCTTCCACTGAGACAGTTTAAAATAATAGATATGCCTTTTCCCTTGGTTCGCATTTTAAGTTGTACTTCAAAGTTATTATTTTTATAACTGAGAATTCTTGATTCTGGTAACTTAAGACAATAACAAATACTCAGTACATTTAATTCATTATTTTTACTCACAGTTTAAAAATTGACAAACATTTTATGTTCTCACCGATGGAAATCGTTTCATTAATAACTTAGACTGCTCTACATTTTCAACTGTAGCATACACAGTATTTCCTGCTGCTAAAGCAATAGCTATAGCTGCTTGTCCAACAGTGTTAAATCCGGCATGCACAAGAACCGTATTTTCTATATACATATCTTTTGATGTTGTCAAAATAGTAAATATATAATACGCCTATTGGTCAATACATCAAAACTCAATTATAGTAATTATTTAATAAAGTTAAAGTAAAGTTATATGGATATTACAAAAGTTAAATTAAATAATGTACAAGATCAATTATGGAATAATTTAGAGATATTTTTATCTATAACAAATTTAATATTTGTTATAATTGTTTATTAATTTAAATTATGATGATTAAAATTCAGTATTTTATTTAGTAAATTAATCGAATATTTATTAACACAATAAGGAAATAATAATAATTTGATACAATCACAAAACCATGTGACAAGACATATTTATGTCTTGTAATGTTTATTTTAAACAATTTTTTTCAATGAAGGTAAATTAAAATTAAATTTGTCAATTTATACCAATGAATAGGAAAGTGGAACAGTAGCTGCATCTTCTAATGACCAATCTGATGGAATTATCCATGATAAACAAGGATCAGGTGAAATTTTTTTTGAAGTGTTTTTTTCAAATGGTGCAATTCCCATGACCATTTTACCATCAGTGGTCTTGCCAGAATATTCCAAATGGCCAAGTTCATTCTACAAAAATAAAATAAAAAATGTATTTTTACTAAACTGTATTGATTAATTTTAGAATCTCATATGGAGACAGAATGAGGGAGCAGTGCCGATGAGTTTTTTCAGTAGATTTTTTTATTAGCCATCTCTTTGTCTGAATAAAAAACTGTCTATAGAATAATATTGTTATCCCCCTGTGTAAAGGACAACAAAAAACCACTGTAATGTCAAAACTTCTCTTGCTCACAGTAGTTTAAAAACAACTGATATCAAACCAGCCTAATGGTAGTTAAAAAAAAAAAAAAAAACAAAGAAAATGAATAATTAAGAAATGTTGAAAAATTTAACAATAATAAAATAAATAGTTAGAGTACTATTGTTAAACAACATTGTGTCTTTTCTTGTAATAAACCTTAACAAAAAAATTATTTTTTGAAGGTCACGATGATTATGATTATTGTTAATAAATATTGTAATAGGTTTCTGCACTTTTAGTTTTAAATTATACATATATCTTATACAATTAATAATACTTAAATAGTTCAGCTTACGTCTATATCATTGTTTACAGTTATATCCTGGAAGTTAATTCCCAAATATTTAACTTTCAAGCCATCTAATCTGAAATTTATGAATTTATTACTTTGGTTATTTAAAAATAACTCTTAAAAATAATTTTCAGTCAATAATGTATAAATTAATATTTTCATACATTTTAAAATATAAACAAACTTTTATTTCAAATATATATAGAATGCAATCAATTAACCATAGAAAAATTTAAAGGAATTTAAACAAATTTTGTTATAAGGAATAAAAATGTTTTATAAATGCCTTGCTTACGTAAGAGAATTAATGTGAGATGTAGAATCGTTATTTAAAGATATATTAAGACTTGAGTTGTCTATAATATATCTGATGATTGTACCCCATTCTCCATCTTTATAAATGTTTATGAACAACTGCTTGCGCAATTGTTCAGTATAAAATACATTATCAACATTGAAATCAGGACCGGACTTATCCAAAACAAAAACAAATCTAGAAAATAAAAAAAGGATTTTATATTTTCTATTTACTTTCAAGTTAATAAATACTAAGCCTCACTAACCTTATAATTTTTGATTTATTCCTGTACAATATTTCTTCTACAAACCGTGTTATCTTTACATATGGCACAACTTTTGTAAAAATGAATAAATAACTTTTTGTTATTTTACATTCTGATAAAGCCATTTTAATGTCATTATTAACTTTTTTAATATCAATAATATTTTTCAAGTATATACTGCTGACTTTTTTGTTTATGACCTAAATATTTCAAGGTACCCAAGTTATTCTAATGTTTTCATTAAAAAAAATTATTTAATTAAACCTTTTTAATCAATATTAAATATTTTCCATTAATATTTTGCTGTATAATAACATTCCATTCTTTATTATTAAGGAATGGTTCGTCTGATGATACTAATAAATGAACATTTTTTGTATTTTTTAAAATCAAAGTGACTAATTCCATTTTATCTTTTGATACTAGTAAAATGTTGTGCTTCTTGTTTGTAAAGTTTTGTGCATTAAAATTATCCAAAGATTTAATTTCATGCTTTAAAATCAAAAATGAATTTTAAATATCTTAAAAATAAAAAAAATTTTCTACAACAAACTAACCTGAATTCCTGTCTGAGTGTCAAATATTTGCTTTACTATTGGAATATACTGAGCCATTAATTGATCATCATCATTGTAGTATATATTGTAAATATTCATATTAGGATTTAATTGATATTTTTTAGATTCAAATATTATTTGCGTACAATTATTAATAAAATTAATTTCATTCTAAAAAAAAAAAATGTATATTTTTAAAAAAAAAATTTTTTAGATTTTTAATGTAGATAATAAACCTCAAAGTCAGGATTCGTTAGTTTTATAAACCGTTCTTCTTCAAATCGTACTTTAAAAGGATTTAATGCACTTATAGACATTGGTTTAATTTCTGGATGTAATATATATATTCCATTGCCATGAATTTCATTAGTTTTAAAATTGTAATAAATGGGAATATCTGAAATATTTATTAAATATACATTTGTATAAGCATTTTCTAAAAAAAATTTTATAGTGCAATTACATTAATTGAAAAAATACAATATTAATTATTTTGAATTATTAATATACATAAAACATCAATTATCAGTAATATTAACATAGATGATAAGTTTTACAATTTTAATCATACCTGTTCCAATACTATTTTTGAATTTTGATGGATCAATATATAACTGTCGAATTGTTGATATATCTGCCGGATTGTCATTATTTTCCATATTTTTATGTACGAGGAATGTAAAAATTCCATTAAGAAAACACATCCAATCATTAGTCCACTTAACACTTCCTCGATATTCTTTGAAAATAATAATATAAATATTAATATTAATTATTTTTTAAATTATTATGATTATTCTCATTATTTATTAAAATAAATTAGCTCTACATAAAACTACAAATTTTTCTTAATGCATTCCTTCTTTTATTTTTTTATATTCAGTTACAATTTCATTGACTATAAACACATACAAGAATACCTACATCTCGTGATTATATTTTAATTCGAAACCGGTCGTACTTTACAAATATAGTAATTCTTCAGGCTAAGCATTTATTTATTTATTTATTTCTATATATAAACTATTTGTTTATTTATTCATATATTATTTATTTATTATTTATTCAGGACAGCTTCGACTAGATGATTATTATCTTAACAGTATTACTAATTAGTACCATATTAATAAATACATATTAGTTCATGGTTATTAAATAAAGTTATATACATAGATAATTTTAAGGAAAGATATCATATCATTTTTTTTAGGTTGTTTTCAATAATTCCTAGGGATTCATAAAGGTTGTCCGGAATTTTTTTGTTTTTTCTTATTTCCGTATAGGCTCAGCAGTGGATGAACAGGTATTTGACAGAGAAATACACCACATATTTGGCACAGTGTGGGTTCGTCTTTACTCATTAGATGGCCATGGGAAACTCCTATTCGAAGTCTATAGATAATTATGTCGTCTCTGCGATTGAGTATTTTGGGTTTGGACTAATAGATGGTGGTGTTATTTATTTTTCTTCGCCATTCAAGTTCCCATAGGTTGAAACAATGGTTGTTCACGTTTCTATGAATGTTAATTAGAGAGGAAATGAGCATAATTCTATCATGGGATTCTTGACAATTTATCGAGCTAACTCGTAAGCTTTCTCGTTGTCTATGTTACAATCCCACAATCGTCTGGAGTATATATAAACCTTATGTTTTTATTGAATTCAGATATTAAGTTGCTTATTTTGATTGCTAAGGTATTTTAATGGAGGTTTTACTTGATATTATAAAGAGCACTGAGTGAGTCGGAATAAATTTTGATAGTAGGATTCGTTAATTGCGATGTTAATTTAACTACCTCAAAGAGAGTTAGTAGCTAGAGCAGATAAATGCTATTTTGATCTAATAATCTGTAAGGTGTGGATAGGTTTTTATATATGATAAAGATAGAGATTTCAACTCCAGTGTTGGTTTTGGTAACATCAGTACAAATTTGTAAGCTTGTATTAACAAAAAAAATTTGGGGGTTTCCAAGGATGGATCATATATTATTATATTTATGGTTTGTGAAATTTATATATGTTATTAAAGAATAATATGTCTACAAAAATTTTTAATAAGCTACATATTTAAACTAAAAAGTGTGGATCACTTTTAAAAATTAAATATCTGTTTAACTAATTCATTTTCAAAATATACAATTAACTGAATTCTTAAAAAAATTAAAACAAGAATAAACATTATACTTTATTTCAATTTTTAATAGCATTGAAATTTGTATTTAATATTTGTAGATATATTAAGGTCATCAAACATGTTTAAATGTAAAATAAAACTATCTAATTCGGTTTAATTAAATTTAGTCAAAAAAAAAAAAAAATAAATTTATACAAAAATTGTTTTCCAAAACATAGCATTTAGAGTTAGCTTTAACTGTCAACATACATTAGGTTTACATATTACATTACATATATATATATATATATATATGTCTTATAAAAAATTATTTTTGGTAAAATTCCTATATTAAATGTGAGCATTTTCACTAATAAAATGAAATACTTAATAATACTCAAAAATTATAAAAGAAAATAATTTATATAATTTAAATGTTAATTTATTCAAATTTATTAAATTTATAAACTTTATCTATTAGACTTATATTTTAATAAAACTAATAATTTCAATGCTAAATTAAAGAATAATATGAATGTAAAATATGCATCCATAATTGTTAAACACAATTTATTATTAACTTATCATCATTTGTTCCTAATAATACAAATTTATAATTATTTAATAATCAGTAATAGTTTAAATTATAGTTTATAGGAATAGATTATCATTGAAAAGTGTATTATATATTAATAATAAATAATATCTACCTTCAAAATGTAAGTCAATATTTATGACGGTTTTAAACTCTTCCCCGATCTTATATCCAATATGTTCTAACGATGTGTATAAGTCATGTTTTGATATTGAACTATGCGGTAAATCAGAAACTATAATTGGGTACTTCAGTTTAGGATTAATTGGAGCCATATCCAATGCATCTGGTCGATATACTTTACCCGAAAGTAATACTTCACTACCAAAGCATACTTCAAAATAACCAGTTCCACATTGTATAAATGAATAAAATTCCATTTTATCTAAAATTAAAGATATTCAAAATTAATATATAACTACTTAATTCTGATTAAAATTTCTAATCAATGTCTATTTCTAATCATACAATTTATGATGTTATATTATTAACAGAATAATTAAAAACTCATATTACTTTCTATCTATATACATTTATAGTATTATATGATAACTAATAATTTAAATATTTTTGCTGTACATTATACACAATTATTGATATATGATACATTTTTTATATTTGACTAATTTACTAAATTTTATTAGGTAATTTTTAAAAAGAAAAATCATTTACATCTTATTTTAAACTTTGTCACTGTGATTATGAATTTATTCTTGGTTTTATTAAACGTGCCTATAATATTTGTCGAAAATACTTTTTTCATAAACTAACATAAATAACTATAAACAATAAAAAAATATTTTAACTATAAAAATAACATTTGTTATAAAGTCAAAGCAAAGTATAGAAATGAACACATCTAAAATATTTTTAATAAAATAAACAATGGTAATAATTATTAGTAATAGTGGACATGGAAATCGTAATTAAAAAATCACATTTTTTTAGTTTATATTCAATTTTATTCTGGAATTATCAACTTTTCAATAAAAATACATCTTAATCAGTATTACAAATGATAATAATAAAAATAATTTAACAGACTCACCATTAATAAACATCTCGATATTTTTTCGAAAATTTAGATCTTGAAACACAACGAGCTCGTCATAATATAATTCATTTTTCATTGTGATAAATGTTTTCCAAACATGACACTAAACATTACACATGTTATGAAGATTGAACATTTAAATTTTATAAAGATTTCACAACTTACTAAAAGCACTGCATTAGGTAATATATATCGTCCATTTATTTTATAATCAGCTAAAATATTGTCATTATTTAAAACTATTTCAAATTTTCTCTCTCCTGGAACTCTTAAAGACTGAAAATATAATATATAAAATATTTTATTAAGTTAATTTTCTATTGACATATTTATTTAGAACTACTCTTATTGATATTATTAAATTATAATTTATGTTGAAATGTAACTACAATTTCACAACAAAAAAACAGTTATATTTTGTTATGAAAACTAAGTCAATTATACTTTTAACTGATATTTAATCATGAAATATTTACTAAACACAGAATAGTTTAGTGTGGTTTTTTGGGAAAATATTTTATAGGCAAAAGTATCAAGAATATTAACTTATATCAAAATTATTCACGCACAATGGATTATAACAATGAATCCCAATGACCTGAATTCTAAATTAATAAGTATCACCGAATTCATATTCTTTGGTTAATTGTGTCATAAAGGTAGTTCACAATGTGAGCAGTTTCCTATAGTTCTTAAGTTCTTAAAAAAATGATTTACACATATAAAGGGTAAAAGTTTCTCTTTATGAATGGCATGATAAACAAGATAAACTAGTTGGAGAGTAATTATCCTAATATTAACCATAAAAAATAAAAAAAATTTACTATCCCACGCTAGTGATTTGATTAGTTAAGTTTTTTTTTTTTTTGCATGATTCGAAATATATTTGCATTGCAGTAGCCCCTCATAAGAATAATTACTAAGCTTTAACATATTGAAATTTTCTTGTTAGTTGAATACATTTGGATTTTTTAATTCCATCAAGTTTTATGAAGAGTTAGTTTTAATTTATTAGTTATACTAAGTTTTAATATAATTAAATATAAATTTTAAACTTCTACAAAAATAATTAAAATAACCTTGTAAATATTTAGTACAGCAATTTTTCATATCTACCTTACCTATAGGTATATAACAATTGTATTATTTAAGTAATCTATACAAAATATAATAAAACTTACTCCTTGTATCATACTCTTTAATACCCATGTTTCTGAATGGTCCCAAGGAAATATAGAATGTAAAGTTTGGGTTTTTCGACTAACCGGATAGTTTATTGGTGGGTAAAAAGCAACAATATTAGGGCTCATACCATTATTATACATCCTATTAATGACACAATAAATGTTATATTATATATTATCTCAAAATTATTCCTTAAAAAAAATAGTTCACTTGCTTTCCAAATGCAGTTAGCAAAAATCTAACAGAATCCTTAGAATTTTTTTGTGTGAGAGGTATATTTGTAACTTTATCGGATAATGATCGTTTCAGGATAGCTTGTAAAAGACCATGAGGAGCAATTTCTATAACAATAGCATCTTCAGGTATATGGCGAGATGCTTCTTCAAATAAAACTTGCCCCAGTAGGTTGTTAGTGTGATACTCGGGTGAGCTTGTTTGAGCTAGTTCATCTCCCCATTTAGACTCGGGTATGGAACTACTCACCCACTTTGATGACCGAGGCATTGGTTCGGGTATTACCTTAAGAAAGTAGCAAACAATTATGACATGTCTAATATGCTTTTTTTTTAAATATTAAAAAAAAAAAACACTTAAATTACCTCTTTAAGATATCTGAGTAAGGTTGGAGCAGCTGGCTTAATATATTGACTGTGATATGCAATATTGGAAACATTAACAGCCTTAGCAAATATTCCTTCAGATTTTAGTTGTTCAACAAAACTTTTTACACTAGCTGTTGGTCCAGATAGAGTACTACTGTCAGACGCATTGTGACAAGCAACTTCGATATCATGTGGAAGTCTATCTTTGATTTCATTATACCCTAATCCTATTGCTGCCATCATTCCATCAATGAGTTCTGTTTCTATTGAAGCTCGACCTCTAGCATGTGCAGCGAGTATCATTTGTTCAGCTGTAAAACAGCCATCAGCGTACGCACATCCTAGTTCTCCAACTGAATGACCAATCATACCATCAGGTATTACATCGATACTTTTCAACACATCCACGAGACCTATCTATTTAAAAGGTTAAATTAAAAACAATATTTTAATTTATATAAGTGAATTGTTTTTTAATAAACCTGTATTGCAGCTATTCCAACAAACGAGTTTAATATATTATCAAAAAGTGTTGGGTCTTCACTGGTTAATATATCAATGAGATCAACACCCTTTGGCTTTAATATAGCTTCACATTTACTTATGGACTCAGCAAATACAGGAATACTTAGCAGTTGTTTTCCCATGCTATTCCACTGAGATCCCATTCCAGAAAATATGAACCAAATAGGCCTTTTTACCAATGCTGGAAGATACTGTGAAAAATGATAAATAATAACTACCGATGAAACAATAATTTATTTGTCACTTACTGATACTTCAGGTGACCCTTCACTTATATCAGGTGCTATATAGAAACTTCTGAAGTAATGAGCATTTAGAGATTTATAAAAAACATTTTGTAAAAGAGCTGCAAATTCTTCATCCATTTGGACATTTTTTATCTGATCCACTAATTTTAAAACACCTTGTTCATTCCGACCCGATGCTAATATAAGTCTAGGTAAACCATCTTCAAACATTTCATTGTTTTTGTAGATATTTTTCTTATCCTTCTTATTTTGTTTTAAAATTACATGACTAAAAGAATTACATAAACCAAATGAGCTAACACCAACAATATCTCCTTTCAATGGAGTTTTTTCTGTGACAACCTAAAAACAAAATAAAATTATGAAATTAACGGTCAAAAATCGTATTTTTCACAAACCTTTATTTTTCCAGATATAAGAGCAGGACAGTCAGGATTTGGTTCTGAGTAATTAATATTAGGAGGTATGTAACCTGTATCTAAAACAATAAGCGCCTTTGCTAACGAGACTAAGCTGGAAGAAGCTTCAGCATGACCAACATTACTCTTTACGGAACCAACATTTAAAGGTTCTTTTCTATTAGGAGTACAAAACACTTCACTCAAAATATTTAGTTCCATTGCATCCACTTTCTATAAAAATAATATACAAATACCTAATAATTATATAAATACGTATGACGATTAACAATAATCAAATTTGACAGATATACCTTAATACCTAGCCCTTCACCTTCAATATATGCAACTTCAGCCGGATCTACTTGAGCTTCCTTATAAGCATTTAAAAGAACTTCTTTATAAAGATTATCAGAATAATGATATAATAAATTATTTGTCTCTCCAAATATGCCAGTAGCGTTTAATAAAGTTCCATAAGAACGTTTGGCTTCAGTTGATTTTTGTATCAAAATTGCTACGCAAGCTTCTGCTCTATTCATTCCATGTGCTAAAAGTTCATACAAATATATTAATTTATTTTAAACGTGGTGTCTGTATTTGTGTGTGATTTTATTAATAAATATACCGTCTGCGCTAAATGATCTTGTTTCGTTTGAATTATTCAGTCTTCCTAGTCCTTCTAGTTGAAGTGATATATTGGGGTTTAAGCATAGGTTACATGATCCAATTATAGCTGCATTAATCAATCCATCTTCAATCATTTTCTTTGCTCTCATAAGAGCTTGTGTTCCACCAATCCATGTAGCATCAGTTGTATAACTAGGTCCTGTGTTTCAATAAAATATTAGATAGTGAGCATATATACTATTTGTCATATAGATACATAAAGTTGTCAAGGTTCACCATTTAAGTTAAGTGTATACGATAATCGATTAGCTTGCATAGCTCTATTATGTCCTAAAAGAGCAAATCCTTTTTGGTGTGTATCAAAGACTTCGAAAAATTCGGATTCACTTACACACGAACTCATAAATACAGCAGTATTAGTTCCAGATAGATCAGCTGGGTTTATACCTTAAATATCAGAGAAGTTAAAAATCCAGTCAATGTATCAACAAATATGTACTTTTATGTAAGATTAGATTACCTGCATCAACTATTGCTTCTATGGATCTTTCTAAACTAAGTCTAGTCAATGCATCTAAACTTTCAGCCATTTTTCTGTGTATTCCAAAAAATACACAGTCGAATTCCTCAGGCTTTCGTATCTTACCAACTCCATATGGTGTTCCTAATTTACCTAAATAAACCAAAAATATTAAGAATTAAAACTTAGTTTTTTTTAAGAATAAATATACAAATGGTTATAAATAATTTTTTTGAATGACCTGACAATGATATTATTCATCATAGTATTAAAATGTATATCCAAAGAATAATACTGGTTGTTCTATAATTTATCTTGTCTAGTTTTACCTATTTATGGGACTCTAACGGTAACTAAACGATTGCCAAATATATATTTAATAAATATTTTTAATTTGACGGTTATAAGTGGACTTCAATACTTTTACATGAAATATACTATATTACAATAATAAAAATACTTGATTGGCAAACTAATAAAATAATATAATTATAACATTCAGTTGCACCTCGCTGCATATTGTTACATCCCGCGCGACGTAATTATATCAAATTTTTAATTTTAACCATGCGATACATGAGTCTGGATGGATGGATCTCACTAAATCCTTGGTATAAATATTTCTTCTCTCTGATACTGTGTAAGTCTACTACTTGAGGATCTAATTACAGCGCTAAGAGAAAAGTGGGAAATTGTGCATTAGGGCAGCTGATTGATTTTCCCCATTGCCAGAACACTAACACACAAAAACACTAAATCAACACTAACTTCAAAAATACAATTATTAGAATATGGTATATTACACAATGTACCAAAGATATTTTCCCGGAGAAAAGTGATTCAAAAAAATATAAATAACAACCGTATGAATAATATGACCATACAAATAATAACAGTTAATTAATGACAGTATAAATAATAACTCATTTGAAATATCACAACAAACATTACAAACATGCAATTCATAATATATTTATATATTTAGATATTTTATCGTTATTACATATAGATTACATTGAAATCAAAAGGTGTTATAACTTTAATTTATTAACACATTTCTATAAATTAACATTTAAAGATTGACAAGATTGACAGTTAATACTTTGTTTAACAATATACCTAAGTACACTATACTTCATAGATGTATAAACTATAAAATATTCATAATTTATTTACATAGTATGTACGTATAATGCGTAATAATAATAAAGTAATATAGAATAATATATATTATACTAAAGTATACCATAATAATTATGGTATACGATACACCGGTGTACACAAATTGCCTTCTAAATCTAGGTAGATAACTTTCTATTATTATTGAATCATTTCCTGTTGTTTTGGAGTAGTCTCCTAATATACACATACTTGAATTGCTCCTATAGCTTGGCCATTGTCCATTGAATCTATTGAACCGATATAGTAATCCATTACTTATGCGATAGGAGAATTTATCTTATTTTTAAATCTTATCTGGTACATAATGATTAATTTCAAGTGGTTACTGGCATAGAGTAAAATGATGTTCACACGTGAACGTTCATTTACTTATATTTTAAATAACAATACATATTTAATAAACCCAAAATCTTTAAAATTTATTACCAGATAATATTTTTAATTACCTATTTATGATTGTTGGCATCAAAGTAGGTATTGTTTGTAAAAATAAAGTTAATTTGACAGTGTGACATGTCAAACACGCAATTTATATCAATGACTTTAACTTAATATCAAAGTCAATTCGAGTAAATGATAAATTTTAAATGAGGGGATATTCGAATAATGTATTTTTTTTTTTAATTTACGGGAAATAATTTGAAAAATTAACTTGAGACAATCCGAGTACACACTTGTAACAATTATCAGATAAAAATCTATCTAAAATTTAAAGGTTATTGAGGACTAGAATACTAAGTGTCATCAAACTAGACGAAATAATATGACCACTTATTAGTACCATATATATTATGTTGAAATCATTTTATTTGAGCTATTTATAAAAAATATAAAATTGAAATTTTCATATTTTCTAAATTATTTGTTTGTAATTTAATAGGTCATTCCTTATGTATGTATCTTATTTTTTAAAGAAAAAATAGTTGAACTTTGCGTCAAATAAACATTTTATGAACATTTGAATATAAAATGTTGAAAAAAAAAACGATAAAAATCAAGAAAATCCGTTATATTTTTGTAGTCGAAATTTCACAAAATTTTCAAATATTTATTGAACTACTTGTACATAAGACTTAAAAATTGGATACAACAAGTTATAATAAGATTTTGTTGTAAAAAATTAATTACTAACAAGTCGCTAAAATAATTTATAATCGTTACAAGATGAAATTTTGAAGAAAACAAATATTTCAATGAATTTCTATTAATGATATTAGTTATTTAGCCAATGAAATTTTGTATATTCTAATTATTTTAATTTGAGCTATTTAAAGGTACAGTAGAGCGTCGATTATCCGCACTACAAAATTTTTGAGTACAAATTTATTTTTAGTTTAATTTAATTTAGTTTTATCATTCGTTATGTTATATCATGTACTATAATGTTATATTATATATATATGTAATTTTTTATATTATGTATGAATATTATATTTAGTATTATATTTAGTAAATTAGTTTTTAACTTTATATTACAATTTTCAATGGTTGTTTGATTATCCGCACAAATCGATTATTCGCACCCCCTTCGGTCCTAATTAGTGTGGATAATCGACGCTCCACTGTACTTGAAACTTCAAATTTCAGACACCATTTTTTTGTTTCAAAAGTTAGAATATTATAAATTTAACCTAACTATAGAAAAATTTAGTTTTTTTAGTATATCAACCATTTTTAGAAATTTAAACTGATCCACCCAACCACTTTCTTTCAGAGTAATTTTTTCGAAAGCAAATGTAAAATTGCTTTTAATTTAAGAAACTAATATAGCAAAACCATTAAATTATTCCTGTATCACCCCGAACGATTTTCACCCAACCTAGGATTTTAACCTTATTTATTTCTATAATCATACATAAAATTATTATTTTATTATTTTAACTTAATATAAACATATAGTTATTATAATTAATATAGAAATGTTCATAACAACCTAAGAAATTATAGTAAGCCATTTAAATATTATTTTATTTAATATTCTGATATCAAACATATTGAGCAAATATTCTTTAAAGAGTAAAATTAATGTCTAACCTGGTTTCCAACGTCTACTATCTGTAGTCACTCCATTTGCTTTGTCAAACAACATGTTTTTTAACTCGTCCAAATTGTTGCATTCCGGAAAAAGACCACCAATACCTGATATCACCACTTCAGTTTTAGGCTCCGCCATTTTCAGCTTAAGATCAAGTCTTTTTATGCTGTTCAGGCGTACAGTTTCAAATTACCAACAACTAAAATTCAAAATTCAAATAATACAATTGTTCTAAGAGATTAAATTAAAATTAAACGTTCATCAAGAGTATTGTTTACGATTTCACCTGAATTTTTGACAAATGAAATATGATTTATAGTTTACTTCGGTACAAAGTGGTATCACCTATTAAATTGTTTTATGAATCCGTTCAATTTTTGGTTAATTAATTATTATTCAAAATTGTACGATAAAAGGACTTTGTGTTCCGGTAATAATCACAAAGGTTAAAATTTGCAATTCACATGAAACGTTTATGGAGTTAATAACCAGAATAATTGATCATTGATTGCCTTCAAATTTGTTTTCGGCCATAATAACGTTGTTAAATTATCGACATTGAAAAAACTAAAAACTATGTAGTCATTATAATACCTTTTAACTTTAAAGTCATTATTAAAATAATTCATTTAATAAACAAATAAAATTAATTAATTAAAAACAAATAATACGGATATTCCTTTATAAGTTTTATAGTTAGTATTTTAGATATATATATATATATATATATATAGACATGAAGCATTAGACATTTGGAACATTTGAACATATTGAACAAGTGTTAAAATTAACTGAAATTTAAATTGAATATATTTAAATAATGTAAAACTACTTACAACATGAGGATTTTTCAATAACTAATAAAATAAAATGATACAAATGTAATTTCTTGACATTTTTTTTTCGAGACCACAAGTTAATTTAGTTTCAACTCGTAATAATCTAAGTACGAAATCCTATCTTAGAAGTTATTAGAAATATTCGTAGTAATTCCTATTGTAACTATACCTGTTGATGTATTAAATATTAAATCATAATATTTGAAGATGTGAACTTTTTATGATTGGTATTAATACTAAAATTAGGTCTAATTTAGATTATTTTTTCTCGTAATTTTGACGAAAAAAATATAATTTTATTGGATTAAAAGTAACATGAAAAAATGAATATAGTCAAAATATATACTCAATATTATAATATGCTTAAAATAAATAAACTTACTTATATAAACAAAACCAAATTTTGTTACACATACAAATTTAATCATTTTTCATTGTATTTGTCAATTTAATTATTTAATGTAGATGAAAGACTAAACTAAAAATGTTTAGGTATATAACAATAGGTCATATATTAGTACTCAAGAATCAAAACTTAATTTATTCACTATGGAATAATTGCATTGTTAATTACATTGATCTTAACTGTAGGATTAAAATATTTTGGTTACAAAACGAAAATCAAAATTAAAACAGTAAACAATATTATAATATCAAAAAAATATTTTACTAATTTTTCCTATAATATAAGCCACAATTTTAAACTAACGTAGACAATTTGAAAAGTACTAATACATAATAAGTACTATAGTAAATAATAATAAATACATTTTACTACACGGCCAAGATGGATAACTCCAAGTTTCTAGAAGGTCCATTCTTAGAACTTTAAATTTTAGCCGGTTATAACATATAATCAGTGCCGCAATAACCAGGTGTGTTGTGTGTGTCAAATACACGGACCCATGGCCCTAGCTTATAATAAGGCCCAATGGTAATATTTTAAAAATATGTAGAAAGCAAGAGAATTAAACCATTTTGTAATAATAATTACTTATGGAGATTGAAAAATAAATGATTGATTTAGTTTTGTACACATTATCGTACATAAACGTTTTTTTTACAGCCTATTTAATCGGAATTAAAAATAGTTTAGTTACAAATACGGTATGGTTTCACTGCAGAGTTCGGATGCTGGAGAGGGTATTAATTTTACTTACACACGGGCCCAAGTAGTTGCGGCACTGCATATAATTTATGACAAAAATAAAGGAAAAATAAATAGGTACTAATAATTAGCGTATGAAAACTTACACAGAACAAGTAAAACTGGTACGGGGGCCAAATTTTAACCATATAAATTCGTTGATAATTATTTAGAGACGTATTTAAGAAGAGCAAGGGGATCAATGTCCCCTTGCGTTAAGTGTTCAGAGCAGCGCCGGCCCGACGGTTTTCAGTGACCGGTGCACAATTGTTAATAGAAATCTATGTTTTTTCATGTTATTATATAACAAAATATATACTATAACTATATTTCTGACGGTCGTCAACGATAAACAATTTTACAAGTGTATGCACGTACAATACTTCAAAGCAATGCGTAATTATTACTGTCTTAATTTTTGTCAATAACAACCCGTTTCCTGAGAAAATCACACGACCATAATAATACATAATTTGTGAGGCCCCATATAAGCATGGGGCCCGGTGCGATTGCACCACTTGCTACTCTCTAGGGCGGGCACTGGTTCAGAGGGCATCAGATGTTAGAATTTTAAATTTACTCTTACAATATTTCGAGAAACTGTTATTGTATTGAAAACGTCATTTTTCACGTTTCGACCATTTCACCGTCGACTTAACTATTTATACTGAAATTATAACTAATAAGGTGCGACATTTATTGATCTAACCAAGCCAAAAATCATATTAGCAAAAAACGTAACGAGAGTGCATCCGACACGAGAAATATTAGATTGTATATGTAAGTTTTAGATATTTATATAATATTATCATTCGAATAACATGCAAATAATAATCCCAAGCAGTGTAACTTATACTATACTTACCTATTTTATTTCACATAGGTACTACTGCGTGTCTGAGTATTATCGATTCGTTCAAATTGTTACTGCTCATGATCGTATCAGTAGTGCATCTATCGGACGAGTAAGGGTTTCGTGTGATTGTGGGTGGTGAGTACCTATACAGATATACAGTTAAAGCCATGAGAAACTATAATAACTTCTAAGAAAAATATACTAAGTATATACTAACCAGGATACTGCTGTTTACTAGGGAGAAATATGACTGTACACCTACGCGTAGTCAGGTGTTTACTGCGATACTCTTACAAACATTTACAACTGCAATGATAAAAATTATATCGTGTCTTACGTGTGCATTTATTGTTTTCCATACAATTATATTATTAGTAATATGTGTTAAAAACGATTGCTCACAATGATCAATCAATACGTGCAGAAAAAATGGTACAATACTTGAACTTTGCAGTAGCCATGTATGACAAGTAATATTTAGGGTGCTCATCATATACAAATAATAAATTACCCATACAATATACTTAATATGATATATTTTAATAACAAGAAATAACCATTTGAAAAATGATTATTTTCACCTTTTAACGACTGTAAATCGTTATCTTAATAATGTATATTGATTTCCTACCCTTACATAATAATACATAATACTCTCTTCGATATTTATGTAATTCAGTTTTAGTCGATAAATTTATGATTTTTTTATCGTAGAACAAACTGATGTTTTCTACGGTTTCAAGCTGAAAGGATGGCGTATACGACAAAATCTAATCTATATTTTTGATGAATATTTTATACAAGGTAGTTAAGTGTAAGACATAAGTAATTATTGTTAAAGGAAAAACAAGTAGTTCTACAAAAACCTAATAACAAAAAAAACCAATACAATTGTAACTTTTTATAATGTGTTCTAAAACCTATAGAAACAAGTTACAAATCCGAATCAGGTGATTTAAAAGAATTTTTATGTTGCACAAAATTACACGTTTCAAGATTTTTGCATTAAAATGCATGTTTTAAATTTTATTGCATTAAACTACACAAAATCGTATTTTTGTAAAAATATATTTACTTCATAATCCATTGTTACAGGAATTATACATATTATTTGTAATTTGTGTCAATTTATTATAGTCATTTGACTTTTACGCAATATATTAATACGATGTACTGAAGATATCGATGATATAATGTGTTTGATATACGTACATGTATGCTAGCATGACTGACAGCTATCATATGCAGGTACTAATGATTTGCACGGTCCGTTATTTTAAGGACCATACCGGACTCCAAATTTTACCAGGAGACCGAAGTCGGACCGGACCACACTTAAACATTAATCAAAGATCAAAATCGGACCGAACCGACAGCTTCATATTATTTTTAGACCGGACCGGACCAATAATTTAATAACATTTAATGAAGTAGACCGTGGACCGGACTGTCGGCCCGATCTTAAAACATTTTGGATCGTTTATGGACCGGTCCGTAACATCCAGTCTGTATTAGCCCGGGCCGTACCATATGATTCGTTTAGTATTACACTGGACCGGAATACCCGACTTTATAAATAAATATGTACCTAAATGTGTAGGTTTTTTTTTCGTTTTATTTGTTAACATAACAATATCTGTATTTAGATTTTAAGTTCCATGAATGGGACCGGACTGAAAATAATGCATTTGATCTGAGGACTGGATCGAACTATTCTTAAAAAATATTGAACCAAACCTTACCGACGATTCAATAGTTTTCGTATCCGTACTAGACCGGACCATGCAGAGCACTAACAGGTACTAATAGTCCGTCTGTTCCGAAATTCAGCAGATTGGTCAGCCGCTAGAATTTAATGTTCCTTATTTTGAGCGTTTCTTCAATCCGGCGGAGGAGAGGTAACTAAGCTGATTGTTTTATCAGGAATCCGTAATTATCCGGTTGGACCAACAAAAATCCAGATGGATTTGATAAAAACTACGTGCCAAATTCTAATTATATATAATTTATGTGATTTGCAAGACATTTCAGTATTTCACATTTTTATGCTATCAAGTGACGAGCACTGAAGCACTCAACAGTCGACTATGTTATAACATTATTATATTCTGTGGTTATAATGGAAAGTGAAAATATGGAAATTAATAAGAAAAAGAAAAATTAATAATAAAGAAATATAAATATATTTAAATAATAGAGAAAATAATAACAAAAAATGAATTATTATTGTAATATTAAAAATGTTTACCTTGACTGAATTTCTGTTAAGTCTAAAATTACTTTTAAAGCCTGTCATTGTACAAACTCGTAACTAACATGAAGTTAGTAATACAGGCTTTAGTATTTTTAAGTTGATTTAACAATAACATTTTTTTCTTATTTAAACAAGTATTCATTTCTTGAAGATGATTTAAAAAACATATGTAATAAGATATGTTTTGAAGATTCATTTTGATGATTTGATTTACAATTTTCAATTAATATTTTATTAGTTAATTCATGACAATCGACAATCTTGCTTGAATATAATAGCGGTTGATGGTGGTCTACGTATTAACCAACTTGTTACAACGCAATGCCCCAAAAGGTGTTCCTCAACTCCAATCAATGCAATGAAGAATCCGCTAGATTAGTTGATGATTTTCGGAACACATGGATTCTGTAGATCAGTGGTGGCCAAACTTTTTTTTCCTCGGGCCATAAAAAAATGCATTCTAAATTTTTTTTTACGTAAATGCAAAATATTACAGTTATACAAATAAGTGCTGTAATATAGAAGACTTTCGCGGGCCAGATATTAAATGATGGCGGGCCGGAGTTGGCCCGCGGGCCGTAGTTTGGCCACCACTGCTGTAGATAATTAGCGACAGCTGTAACCAATTTATACCCGTGTGACTAAACGTAAACCAAATATTTTACATTACTACGTATAATATAATTTAAAATACCGAAATTAGATGGTAAAATTAAATTTTAAAATATCAAACGAGTATAATCAAATAAGTAAAAGATGAACCCAACCAAATTGAGAAACGAAAAAGGACAAATAATTAGTGAAAAATTGAAATCCGTATTTGATAAAAATCCTAGTTACAGTATTTTAAAATAATGCAAACAATGCTTCTTTAAAATTAAAATGATGTAAATTAAAAAATAGATCCTTCTATAATAAGTTGCTTCAAACAATGTCCAACAAGTGTCAAGGTGGAACGCTTGTTTTCAAAACCAAAACACATATTAACTGACAGAAAAAAACATGATGCACTTAACAAAACATTTTATAATAATACATTTTGTAAATCAGATTTCATTTTATATTGTATATAAACCTACTACACATGCAATGATATACAAAAATAAATAAAAATTCAACTCTGAAAAAATCTTTATTTTACATTTATATGTAATTTTTAAGACATTTTATTACAAACATAACATTTAAACAATTTATTCTGGTACGTGTTTGCACATTTCAGAATTTCGATTGCACGTTTTTCAGATTTAGCTGCACAGAAATCTAATTTTTACTTATAACTATGTTTCGGAAATTATTTTACTAAAAAACATTAAAATGAATTGCATTATTGCAGTAAAAATAACCGAATTGGATTATTTTTCTAAAAATACCCAAAGTTAAAAATTGCCAAATACTTTTTTATTTACCAAAATAACTATTTAAAAAAAAATAATCGTACAATTTTTTTATATTAAGTCTTCCATATAACAAATGCCAGTTCTTTTATAAAATATTTCATAATAAAAATTCTTATTATTACTGAAGTAGTGATTTTAGTCTGTTCCTCCAGGAACCTACAAACAAAATTATCAACATTTAAAAACCTTTTATTTGAACAATTTTTATTTTATTTTTTCATGCACATGCCTACCTTAAATATGATTGCGCTGAACGATAATTGATTTCTTTGAATTATCAATTAAGATTTGAAGACATCAAAGACAATCGTGCATAGTCTTATCAAATGATATTTACACCATTATCATCACAATCAACAAAGCCTCAAATGAACATAAATTATTATTTTTTATTATTATATTATTATGTCATATATTAATATTTGACAGACACCGATCATTGTTTTACTTCTTCCGTATAAAAAATAATTAAACCATGTGAATAATACTTAAAAATATCTAAAATTAAATTATAAATGAAGAAAAACAACAAAATTGCAACCAAATCGAAAAAATTTCAAAAATTGTATAAAGTTGCACTAAAAGTTTTTAGATTTTAATTCGTACTTGCAGGAAAACCGAATTATAGCCTACTTAGTAATAAATCTGAACAATCATAAAAATATTGTAAATGCAACAACTTCCAAGGTATACTTATATTAATGGTGAGCTCCGCTGTACATTTTTATGTAAATAATAACTTCTATGGCGTGAGATAAAATAACAATCCCTAAAAGTCCTATATTAAATATTATGTTTGTCGTTAGAATGTTTGTTTAGAATTTGTATTTTGCTTATCAGTATATCGTAAGTAATACATTCCTAATTTTTAAAAAAAATACAGAAATATTCAACTATCATAGTATATAAATTGTATTTATTTTTTATTTTTAGATATAAAAATATATCACCATTGATACCGTTATAACGTATGTTTATAATATTTAATTTTATGACATTATTGCATTTTCGATTATAATAATTGTTCGAGTATAGTTTATTCTGTACTCACCATACGTATTTAGTTTATATGTCTTCATTTACCTTGATTTGATCACATTGTATACGGTTTTTTGGACTCACCGTATTTATACTACGTCCCACGTGCATTTTCATAGTATAGGTATAGCTACTTTTCTCGACAACCATGGTTCGACCAACAAGAAAACGGCGTAGTAATGAAAACGCTAACGCAGTCGTAAGAAAATCGTGGACACCAGTCGAAAAACTTGAAAACGTTTTAAAAGAATACGAAATAATCAAAGAAGATATCACGCAACTTCCGGATAACGGAGTCGATACGACTAAAAATGATATTCATATTACTATTGATAAAATTATCTGTCTCGCGGAACAGTGGCAACAGAAATTAATTGAGAACATGATAGAAATCATAGAAGTCGACTGCAATGCGTTTTTGAGTAATTTAAAAAAATACATAACATTTATAATTAATTTTTTTTTAACAGTATTTCACAAAAACCTAGACTAGAGTTTCAAATAGTAGCAGTATTATATTACAATTGTAATGTTCAAACGATTGAATCACTTTCAAAACTTAAATTAATCAATTTTCATTCGTATAAACAACAATATTTTTTTATATGTTTAAGGCGGTGATGATGTGGAACCGTCAACTTCAATCAACATAGGAATCAAGAGAAAATCACTTAAATAAGACGAACTCAATATAGTACCGAATAAATATTAAGAGATAAATTAAACTTTTTCAGAATTATCAATAAATTATTAACAGATCCATAAAGCCATTAGAGGTGTGAATTATATATTTTTATATTTGAAATTATTGACCTATCGTTGATAACCAATGATAATAGTTTTTAAAATAGTTCGCTTACAACTTCATTCCAATAATGTAACAACTGATAACAGTTTAGCTGATAGTAAGTAATAATTGTTATGAAGTAACAATATGTAAATCGTACTCTTTCTACTCTTCGTAGTAAAATTTTTGTTTAGAATTATAATTGGTAAATAGTTTGTAATCAATCGTGTAACATTCTTCATCCGTCCTACTGGATAAATTAACTATTTCCAGTTAAGTCAACAACTATGGTTTTCATAATCCATTTTAAATTCGGACTGTAATATTGTTCACAACACTCGGAAGTTTGAGTTGAACATCGTACGTACTTACATTCAACAGTCTTATATGGTCAGCGCTTATATTTGTTTGATAATCCAATTGTTTTAGACCATGGCTGCTACTAGGGAACGTCGTACAAATGCTGGTAACAAATTGGCACGTTTATTAGACGAAGAAGAAGAAGATGACTTTTATAAAACTACATATGGTGGTTTTAATGAAGAAGATGAAGATAACGATTTTCATTTTGTTGATGAAGAAGCACCTGATGAAGTTGATTCAGATTTTAGCATTGACGAAAACGATGAAGTCATATCTGATGTTGAAGATGAAGATAAACCTCAGAAAAAATTTAATAGGTGCATTATTATTTCATATAGATAAATAATGTAGAAAAATTAATTTTGTATTTGATAAACAAATTGATAATTTTTTTGTATTAGGTGTACAATAAGTTTGGTCAAAAGCTGAAACCAAATAATATTGTTTTGTATAAGAGAATAATTTTTGTAGGAATCACTATTTAAATTTAAATGTTGATATATATTATTTCATTTACCTATTTAATTAGTAATTTCACTTGAACTTCTATAAACATTAATCATTAAAATTAAAAAGAATATTGTATAATGAAAAATCCTAAAAGAATAGAATATAAAATTTAAATAGTAACTTCATTTTCTGCTTTTATGTTTATCAATTTAATTTTTAATGCTGAATTCTGTATTCAATAAAATATTGCCATACCTATGTCATATTGTAGATATAATATTAATACATTAGGTATAATTGTTGAATTATAATTTCTATTAAGATAAAATCATTTAAAATAATAAAAATAAAATAAGATACAAATTATAAAATTAAACAGTAGTAAAATATATAATAAATCACAAAATACAAAGAACAAAATAGTACTAATGATAATAAAGTATTAACAAAGAAAATTTTTATTTTCTTTATACTATATACACCAGCTTTTAATTACTAAGCACATAAGTGTTAAATAACTTTTAATCTTGTGTATTATTAGATATAATATAGTATTATTAGATATAATATACAATAAACTCTACTTTATTGGAACACATTAGACTGTTATTTAGCATGTTACTTTGTCCTAATAGTACAAAATTACAAAAAAAGAAATATATAATTATATTGATGGTTAATTTATAATTTATTAATAATTCAGAAGATTTTTTTTTGTTTTTTTAATAAATTTAATAATAAATAAGTAATATGTATATATATAATTAAATAAAATTAAAACATAATAAAATAAATAATAATTATACGAAAAGAAAAAGGTTGAAAAGTGATAAATTATTCAGTTTATTAATTTTCACTGATTGATTATAAATATAGTCTAAACAGACATCCTAACACACTTACGGACCCTAATGCTGCCATCAACAACATTGCTGTAGTATATTTTTTACTTCATATAACTTACAACACTAACTGAATAGCTTCCCTAATTTCCAAGACATTGGGATGAACAGCAATTATCACATAAGCCTGATAAGCAATGTTCAAAAATAAACCGAGGGCTGTATGTGTTCTCACTTAGCAAGACTTTAGATGTACCTTCTTCTTCTACTGACATTTATTACTTTTAAAGAGTTTTCTTCTTTATATGTACCATATACATAATTTATCTGTACATTTTATTATGAAGTAGAAAATAGATGATTCAAAATGAAATTATTAATTTTAAAATAATGTTTGAAAAACTTAGTTTTTTTTTAAATTTTAATAAGAATTTTAATTAATTGTAAATATTTATTAAGCCTTATCAATGTTTCTTTTTTTAATTTAAAGCTTTCGTAATAGTTTTATTAAAAATATATATATTTGGATGAATAATATTTCATTAATGCATTATATTATTTATAATTGTATTTATAATTATACAGCTTAATGTATACTTGATCTTATTATAGGTATCAAGAACCCAAAACACCAAAACCAATTGAACCAAAAGAAGCCCCTAAAAGAAAACGTTCAAGAACAGAAAAAGTTGTTGCTGAGACATCATATGAACGAAAATCAATCCGCCAATCAACAGCAGTCAAATCTCAGGAAACAATAGAACGTATCAAAGAACGTGATAGTAATATTAAACGAATTAAGCCAAAACCTCCAGAAGAAATGCCTTCTCAGCAAGAACTACTAGAAGAAGCGAAACTAACAGAAGAAGAGAATTTAAAGTCATTAGAAAAATTTGAAAAATTAGAGTTAGCTCGGAAACAAACTAGAGCAAAACCCCGTGTGTCATTTCTGACGTCAGTTAAATTTTGTAGTACATCATGTCCACTTTTTAATGATTATGATTGTGTAAACGTTGAGATAGATGATCAAGATGAAAAACGTAAGAGAGGTCAGTATTTTGAGCGAACTACTATCACTGTGAATGAACCTCATGAGTTTGAACGAATGTTCCCCAAGAAAGTAGCAAAACAGCCCAGGTTACCCAGACGTTGTGTATTTACTGAAGAATTTGCTCGGTACAGGGATCCATTGACAGGTCACCCATATAAAAATCAAAAAATTTTTTCAATATTGAGATCTGTGTACTCTATGCATTTAGATGAAGCCTTTAGTAAAAAATAAAATGACATTCAAAACAATTTAAGAAATATTTTAAGTAGGTATTAGTATTACTAACAACTGTTTAAACAATAATTTTTTTTTTTACTCAATAATTGATGTAAAAAATATATTTATTTGTTCAATTCATTATGATAAATGTATTCATGATACATAATAAGTATTTTTGTAGCAAGAAAACTTTAAAAAAATTAATTTTTGTACATATTTATTTATGAAAAATAAACATTTTTATAATTTTCTGTAACAATAAATTAAGTTCCTGATTTGTATCCTGACTATAAATTAATGTGTGACCATAGCCATATCTAAATAATATTTTAACATAAGCAAAATTTAAATTATCTGGTCATCAATTTCTCAACATTTTTTCCCCTATTATTTAAATTTTATTGATTCACCTAATTATTTTTATAATTTTTTTTAAAACTAAAATCGCAATTATTTAGTTTTAATTAATATCAATATGATATTAATTATAGTTATGTATGTAATTCAGAGGTGGAAATATGTAAAATATTTAAATTTATAATTGTAATGCTATTTTTAGTATAATGGTTGTATATTGTACCACTTATATTTTTGTATTTGATTGGTAGTGAAAAATCCAATGTAACGAACACCTAACATATTATTAATGATAGTAATAAATACCTGAAAATATAATCATTTTGATGTATTATACTATCCATCACATTATGTTAAATATCACACAAACCACAACACAATCCAAACATGACAATGTTGGATTATTCAAACTAACAGAATGAAAATAATCTAGATTAATTATTGTGACAGACAAAGGCAATATAGAGATTAGAGTTATGAAGTAAGAAATATTATAGCGTATTACTGATTATGATAACATGGTTGAATGTTAAGCCAAAGGTTCTCGATGTAACTGTGATTACATTGAATTTTCGATCACTCATTAAGTCATAAATCAACAATATAGTTAGGTATTTTTTCAAACAGTTATAGGTGGACCTTTATTGGCCATCTCTAATGGACGCAGGAAATATTATATTCACAAAGCGCCTTCTATATTATTATTTTTACTTCAAAAGAAAAATGGGTGTCCACCCTCAATTTTTTTTATTAAAAAACTACCGCCCGAAGAAGTTAAACATAAATCATGATTTATTCTACGAATTTTTATAAAATATTAATCGAAATAATACGTTTCGTAATAAAAAGGCTAAGAAAATAAATTGTTGGTATACTTACTTTTAAAATTGAATCTTATTTACATTTTATATAAATACATAAACGGTATCTAACAGTTTTCTTAAACACTTGAAAAAGTACTTAAAATTATATTTTATTATGTGAGTGGAGTATACGTTGCATTTCTTTGCTATTTGCTGAACACAGAGCATTTATGATTTATTGATCAAATTATCACTATCAACCTTGATTCACTATGTCTCGTTCACACTGCATTCAAAATAATAATTCTTAATTGTATTGTACAATAATGGACCTCAATCGTGCTTTTAACAATTTTAGTTTCGAAAATTACCTTTTACACGTCACTTGTGTCATAGGCAGAGTCAGTAAATATTTGTACACTTTGTACTATTCCGCGTCTTGTAAGGAATACATGTTACAATCGGTGATTATACGCAATACGCATGATAGACATGCGTTACACCATTTTACTTTACTACACTATAATCGTACTCATTAGCCCATTCATCGTCATCAACAGTACCGATTCCATCTAAATACGCACTCTGTAAACCAACTTTTTAAATTTAAGGCCAAAATGCAAAATAAATAATTTCTTCTTTAAGCTTTGGCTGATCGATAGAGAAATGTAAAGTTGTATATCTATCTCAGCGTAGCCATTATTAAACTAATAAATTGCAATGGTTAAGGTAATTGAGGTAACATTTTTAATAATCTGGGTAATTGGTATATCGCTCAACTGCTTAGTGTTAAAACTTTAATGAGACAATGAATAAATCTTGCACCCCTAGAACTTAGAAATACAATTCCGTTCTGTGATACTCTTCTAGAAATCTCTAATTATCTTCTAATTCATAATTGAATTTCGATTCAATCCTGTCCTAATCCTTTACCAACAATGTTCACATAACAATTTATTATATTATTATTGGATCGTTCTTAAACTGTTACTTCATATTTGTACGTAAAAGAGGTTACATAGTGATTAAGGTAATCGTATAACAAACATTTTTCAAAAAAATACAAATTATAACTAACCAACAATTAGCATGTTAAAAATCAATTTTCTTGAACCGAGTCACTTTTGTTTCACAATATGAAATACAAATTAAATGAATAGGTAGCAATTTCTCTGTTTAGAAGATGAGTTACATATCTAATATTGGTAGCAAGTAGGAGAATATATAGGAATATGACTTAATGTATTTATTCTATTATATGAAGAACAAGCAAAAGCTAAATTTTGTGGTTCAATTACTATTTTTAAAATTATTTTTCTCGTATAAATTCAAAAATTGTCTGTACTTATTACATTTTATACACAAAATTATAATGTCCAATAGGTTAAAATAAATAAAAAATAAAATGTACTTAGATTATATTTTATAATTTTAAATGATAAATTAATTTTTAATACTTAAGTCCATGTTATCAATTTGGAGAAATTCGTTAAACAGTATATACAATTTCTCATTTACAATGAATAACTTTTCATGGTTTCTATCATTACGAATTTTGAAACAGATTTAACGAAATTAATATTTGTTCTTTTTAGATTACCTATTTATTTGTAAAAAAAAAAAAAAAAAAAATGATCAAGGGGTTATTACAATTGTTTTTTTAATTTCCGTTCCTTTTTTTTATTTAATAAAAACTGTTGTTTACTTTATGAGAATATTTTCGATGAATGCGTGGTTTTCGTAATATTTCATTATGTCACCGTTAATGAAATAGGAACGTATCAATATTATCTTGTCACATAAAAGATTTAATTTATTCTGTAGTATAACTTTTTTATGTTATTGTTTTACAAAATAGTTATTTACTAGTAGGTTGCGAAGGCTTTTTCATTTATTGTTATCATTTTAGTTTTGAATCTAATAATTTAGATTTCAAGCATGACAAGTAATGTAGGTATTAATTTTATAATGTTTTTTTTTTCTAAACATTATCGTGTATAGTAGGTATATTTGCTCTGAAAGTTTCATGCAGTATCTATTTAGACCGGAAATTGGACACAGATGATACTTTAGGAAGGCAATTTCCGACTATTTCAGTATTTTGCGAATAAAAAACTGGAAAAAACTGTTTTTAATGTTGTCCCGTATGAGTATGAGTATACATTATTTCTTTATTTTCTTAGTAAGCATATATTAATCATAATAATTCTGAATTCATATATATTTATGATTCGTGTATTTCTTTGTTTCTTAGACTCTATGCTTTTATTATTGTTTTTATTTATACATAAAATACGTTTATGGTTATACATTTATAATATAAATATGTAAACATGTAGGTATCTACATAAAATATTATTACCATCACATTGATTTACGTATCTTGAATTATATTGATTATTTATATTATTTATTCGAATAATTGTCGTTTTGAATTAGTGTTCGTGTAAAATAATATTTAACGAAGGTACTACTATCGTCTTCATTTGAACTGTAAATTCATAATTTTATTTACATTTCATTTTATCGAATTAAAATGTCTCGATTCATTACGGTGATACTACGAATACTACTCGTATAAGCAACCCACACAATTAACCACACTATTAACCGTTTAAACTGTAAGTGTGACCCTCTTAACAATTATTTTAGATAAAGTAAGAAGTAAGTTTCAATACATATGCTTGAAATATTATAATTATATTAAAAGCTTTTTAAACGCTTGCATTACGTAGTATATTTAAGTGATAGTTTTATTAGACAACTAGTTGAATTACCAAACTTCGCACGGAACAGTCGTGCCCGAGGTAAAAATGATACGTAAAAACCTCAAAGTGTTAAACTTCGTTTTATTTAGAACATTATGTATTTTCGTACTTTTTAACACTTCAATGTTGAAAAAATGTACGAGTGTATGCTCATATAAATGATTAATTAGATATAAATGATGACTTAAAAATCTACGAGTATTTGCCGGTGTCTTCAATTTCTGCTACTAAAAAAAAACTTATATGCATATGTTTTTGGATATAAAATAGGCTTTTTAAAAATATCTTCTTCTGATATTACTAACCATATTGTTCTTAAACACTTAGCTACCCGTCTTAAATACAATGATATAGTGTTTATGTAGGTATATAAGGTATTAAATATTATGATAAATTGTCCAGAATTGTTATCATTATTTGGTTTTAAACTCTCTACTTTTAATACTAGAAACATATTAAGTTTATATTATAAGATTTATACTACTATAGTAGTTTGATCATTGAAATAAATGTTAAGGTAAGCGCAAAGAGTATAAGTAATTTTTCGCACTGTTCCAGAATTATTATTTCGTTCAATTGAATTAAAATTATATATTTGTTAAAAGTACATTTTTTTTTTTGTAAGAATTTCATCGCATATTATTAATAAATTAATTAATTGCAGAAAAGTGATAATTATTGTCTACAGTAAATATTAATAGGATGAGTTAAAGATTGACGAATTTAGCTCAAAGATGTTTCAATAAAAAAGAAACACACCACAATTAACAGTATATTACCAACTTCTTATAAGAACTTATACATAACTTATAAGGTATTTTTTTTTTCGTGTACCGATAAACTTATAATATTTAATTTGAAGTAATTTTTAATTTAAAGTGTTTGTACACATTTAATAATTATGTGTCCACACATAGCATTTGGCAATCATAATGATCAAAACAATTATTTATTATTATTATTTATTTATTTATGATTAGAATTCAAGTATTTAAAATAGAAACTTTATACATCATTGAATTTATATTTGATTTTTCGTGTGGAACCTATATGAAACATGTTATGAGAATTTATTAACATTTGAAAACAAATATTTAAAAATTATGAAAATTTAAAATTACATAAATGTCTAATACTCAATAAAAATGTATGGCTAATGAATATTGAACATTTATCAAATATATTAATTTTTTTTTTTTAATATTTATTAAATATTAAATAAATATATCTACGTTACGTGGACTACCAATGGAATGTTGTATGTAATAGTAAAATTATAGTGGAATAAAAAAGCCCTTGATTTTTAATGTTCTATCAATATCTATAACACTTTAAAGCTATACAATAAAACATTTTTTATCAAAATATGTATTTGTTTATTTATTTATTTTTGATTGGAAGGGCCCTCCTCTTTGGGAGGAAGGGAGATATTGGCTTTAAAATGATTTTTTCTATTTAACAATTTTAACAATTTTCTAAATATATTATTATAGATTATACATATTCATTAACTTGTGGATCGAACAATTATTTATTTAGTTAAGTTATAGGAATACATTCATGTTCCATTTATTAGTTTCTACTGTACTATGAGGTTTTGTTGTTTTACTTCGTTTTGAACCTTCACACGTGATCACATTATTTTAGTATATTTTATTAGGTACTATTTTCCTAAATGTTAATTTTATTTATATGTAAATTTTAAATGTCATTTGTATGTTATATATTTTATATTATATTATTATCCTCAATAGTTTTATTGGGTATCTACGAATTAATATAAATCCAGTGTTTGGTTGTAGTCTTACAGATATGTGGATCAATTTTGGTAACTAATGATGTTTTTCGAGCAGTCGTTGTGGCACCTGTCGATTTGCACGACAAGCACGTAATTGTGTGTATATATAGTGCGTACGTGAAGAAAATTTCGAATTAAATTTAGTCATAGTTTATTAAAAATATGTTTTCAGTCTATCTTAGAATCAAAGATTTCATATTACTCTCAAATTGGGAAGAAAACTCATTTATACAGGTGCCTGATTTTAGAAAGCATTAATAATTGTGTGACAATTGGTGCCTACACCCCTCCTGTAATTTAAATAAATGTGTAATAATATATATTTACGGCGATTATCGAGGAGAATAAACGACTTGAACGAATTCTGATTTTCAAGCACGCACAAATAATTTTCACTCGGCGTCTCTACTGCTGATTATCATGTAATTAAATTTGATGTAAGTGCCCATAACACTAAAATCGCCTGTCCATCAACATTGATTGATCATGCTTTATTATTTTATTTGTAAAATCTGATCTGAATTCAATATTAATGTAATGACTACCTGACACTAGAGCTCTGCACGGTCCGTTTTTTTTAAATACCGGACAGACTGATACATTTTAATTAAGACCAAGATCAGACCGGATCGATCAAATAAAAGATGAAACCAAACTAGACCAGATCGTATCATTTAAAATGTACTAGAAAATATCGAGACCAGACCGATATTTAAAAATAAGACCGAACGTTAAAAAATGATCATAAATGAGACTGTACTTTACTTGAATATATATTTTGTATAAGACCGATCTAGAACAGATTTTTAAATTAGACAATACATTAAAATAGATTAGAAAATATTTGTTTGACTAAATAATAATGCATATAAACCATAGACTGTTATAAAATACAATTAAAATAATTGAAATAAAATAATAATTTTTTAAAGATAAAACTGCAATAAGATTTAAAATATAACCTATAATAATAGATTATTGGCTCAAAGGGACAGTGAGACAAAGGTCAGAACCCCTTAGTTTTAATGAATTGAACATAAAAATTAAATTTTTGATCAAATTTTGAATAACCCAATTTTAAAATCGACAAATTTAACTCATGACATAAAAAGTAAAATGTTCAAAATAAATTATAAAACCATATAATTATCGAACCGTCCACAATGTATATTGTATACATTTGGAAATAATACAGATGTTAGACAAGACAATTCACAATCATTCACACGAATTCTATTTCTGTATTGTTCAAAATTAAGACCATTATTATTTCATTAAACTGAAGGCGGATAGACCAGACTGGACTGTTTTTTTTTTTTTAGACAAGGGGACCGAACTGGATTGGACCATATTAAATTAAATAATAAAAATACCGAAAAAGACTGGACCATGATCCGGTTCGGACCGGTCTTGACCAGACCGTACAGAGCTCGGGAGTAACCGAATTGGTTCCCATTTAGCCGAATTGGTTCCCGTTTGAAAAAGGTATTTTATTAGGTATAGCCGAATTGGTTCCCGTTTAAAAAAGGCATTTTATTAGGTATAACTGAATTGGTTCCCGTTTGTGTACAGATAAAATAAGAACAATTATAATATTTAAAATAATTTACTTACAATATTAAAAATTAAAATCTAACGGACCAGTGCATAAAGAGCAAAAAACAAAATTTTAAAAACTATATTTATGACATAATAATAGTCACAATTATTATATCTATAAGATAGAGTATAGAAATATAGAAGACTATAGATTACTAGAGACTAGCAAATTATAAGCAAATAGGAAAGAAATAACAAATACTTGGAAAATTGTATGACAGATTACATTAATGAGAAAATTACGAGAATTGAATATTTAAAGAAAGTTAGCTTCAAATTTGCAAATCAGTGGTTTTAAATTGTATTTATTATATTTTATTATTTGTATTTCGTATACCTAAGTGATGACTAGTTGACTTCCAAATCAACGATTTAAAATTGTATATATTTTATCATTTTTTTTTTAACACACATTAACGCACATTATTAATCAAACCTACTTTTAAGTTGGCAGTCCTAAGCCTATAAAATTAAGAAGGAAAATGTGCGTAATTAAACGGGAATCAATTTGGCTATACCTAATAAAATACCTTTTTCAAACGGAAACCAATTCGGCTATACCTAATAAAATAACTTTTTCAGGCGGGAACCAATTCGGTGCGTGGGTTTGGAGCTCGGGAACCAATTCGGTACCAGCCCAGAGTTCTACCTGGCACCTGTTTACTACTTTAAAGTATAAAGTAAATAATGATTGTGATTATTATTTATAATTTGCTACCATAAGTAAACCTACATTATTAGTTGGTCTCTATGTTTGCTTTTTCTAAAAATTCTATAGACATAACAATTAATTTTCTTACTATCAAATTAAAAACACCGCTAAAGAAGACACTTGGGTGTATATATTATATGTATTAATAGTATTTTTTTCCCCAATGATTTTGAGTACTAGATCGATTTTTTTTTTTTTTATTAAAAATTACGACTTTTAGGTCTTTTGTATATTCATTTGTCTGTTGACAGATGTTCGCAGTTCGTTTTTTTCTGAAAACAAAATAGGATGTATATATTTTCGAAAAATATTGATTTGGGCGAATGGTATTGTTTCAATTATTTCTTAAATCAGTATTCTGAATTTTTGTTTATATTCGTCAATTGACGATCATAAGACTTTTAATTAAAATTGTTTTTAAGTGTAGGGTGAATCCTTTTGACAATTTTACATTATGCGTTGATAACTACAGTACAGAATTATAAAGTTTTTTGTGTAAATAAAAAGATTTTAATGTGATAGTTATTACTAGGGAACGGATTTAAATACTCTAAAAAACAGGAAAAATGCCTTAAAAAATACGATTTAATGCCTTAAAAAAATGCTTTAACATCAAAAATGCACTAAAAAAATGCCCTGAAAAACTTTAAAAATGGGTTTATATTCAATAAAAACAAAATTTTGAATTTAAAACTTATAAAAAAAACACATAATTATGAAAAATCTAATAAAAAATAAAAAAATATTTAAATACAATACAACCTTAATTAATTAACTTTCAATTATCTTGATATTTATCATTCTATCTTCTTTTTACCCTAAAAAATAAAAAAATTAATAGGTATACCATTTAGATAGGTATATTCTTTATACTTTTACCTTTTGTTTCATAGCATTGTACTCGTATAATCAGGTGCTGCTTAATATTGTCAAACAGAAATCTTCGACGGTTATCGGCCAGTATTGTTTTGTATCTCGAAAAACTTCGTTCACGTCAACTGACGTCATAGGTGCAAACTTCATATGAGCCATATCATCAGCAGTTAGTTTTTCAGATATTGTACTATTTCGAGATGTTGCTTTTCCTTCCAAAATATTTGAAATTTGTGTCTATACGTGTCAACAATAATTTCGTAATTTCGTAACATAATACATATTTAGGTATTTTAATTTTTTTTAGAAAAAATGTTGAAAAAATGACTTAAAAACCACAAAATGCACTAAAAATTTCAAAAAATGCTCTAAAAATGCATTAAAATCTTAAAAATACAAAAAAATGCAAAAAAAATGCAAAATAAAAGTTACATTTTTTAATTCTTTGATGTATGAAATGAACAGTTTGCTTGGAAACCAATGTTTTCGGACATTCAGAAAAAAAATGCAATTTGCATTCAAATCCGTTCCTTAGTTATTACATTTAAAAATAGGTTTTAAGTACTGTCCAGTCTAAAAATATACGAACGGAATTAGTATGTATAAAAAACATTAATACTTAGATTTTGCGATTTTTTCTTCTTTTGTCAAGTTATTCAGAGTTGTGAAATTGTCTTTCTAAAATGCAATCAACTGAATTTAACAATGATGATTTTTTCTTGGCCTGTTTTGAATCGTGGATTGGACCTTTCAAGTACTTACAAGCGGATCGAATTCGGGGAGGAGGATTTTTAGAACGTCTCTTTGGTATGATAGTTGATAACATGCAAGTGTACGGAGTATGACGAAGGTATCTAATCAGAAAATAATAATTCGTAAATAAAATATTAATGTATTTTCAATTAAGTAATTATTGATTACATTTAATAACAGTATTCGATTAAAATAAATATTTAATGCAAGTAGCCGGACGATCGTTCAACGACAACGAAAAGATGACCGATTTCAATTACTTATTATAAATAATATAATCGTGTTACAAGTAAAAAGTAGATTTGGTCAAATTTTCATTTCTTTGAAAATTCGGCAAATGAACAAAACGAATTACATTTTTATCCGTTGCACTGAACCGTCCGGACTCTGTTGGATGATAATAATAATAATAATAATAATAATAATAATAATAATAATAATAATAATAATAATACAAATACAAATAATAATAAATCCCATGTACCTTTGATTTACATAAAATACAATTGACATAAAAAAACAGATGAATTTAAATAATTGAATAATTACGTACAAAAAAAATCTATTAATCAGCATAATGGTAATTATAAATGAATAATATTTGTTTTGTCACATAGTTATGTACCTAACTTATTTTTGTAACAGAGTTTCAATAACATACCTAAATAATAATAATAATGTATGATACTTAGTATTCGATTACATACCAAAATAAACATTTGAGTTACATTTAAAAAATAGGTACATATATAAATGTATATAATTATATGATAATGATAATAATAATAATAATAATAATGAAAATAAATGATACTTCTGCAAAAACTATAAAACTATACATATTTTTGTGTGTATGTGTATAAGATTGCTAAAATACTTTAGTGGTAAAAAAACTTACGTAAGAGTAATATAAATATGAACGTATAACAATGAATCGACAAATTATGGTTTTAATTTTTAACCAAACAAAAAAAAAAACCAATATTTTCTTGGAAAAGAAAAAAAAACGGGTGATTTGAATAACGCGTGAGCGAGTGTACGACTTGAGGCGATACCTATTCCCTTCCAGAAGCACCTTCACAAGGGCCATTTAACCTCTTCCTAGCCATCATTCTGTCGACTGTCCATGTACGTTTATCGATAAAACTAGCCTTTCTTAGAAGAACCAACGGGTTTGATCAGTTCTTGTTCGTTTGCTTCCCCGGAACACAATTACATATACTCCATAATATTCAGTGACGCGGGAATGTTAACCATTTCTGAAAGCGAGCACAAGGGAACTATCGATTTGTTCGGGCGTGTAAATGTTTCAGGATCAACGTGAGTTTACGAAGAATAACAATTAACGCGAGATTTCGTACAGTTCCGTACGTATATAGAAACAGGAGGGTTTTCAATTTCAATTATAAAACTGTTTCCCGACCGCCAACCCTTCCATCGAGCCCACAAAATGCGCACTCGTCGTTAGTGCGCGCGGGCACGTGCGACGGTACACGTGTAATGTATCGTATTTTATTCGACCGCCGCGAACCGTTCCGCGGTTTGGCCGGGAGCGAACGGCGATGTGTAACGCGGCCCTAAGACTTTCGCTAAAACACCGTAAATCGTACGGCGTTCGTGTTACTACTGGGTAATAACAATAATAGTGTTGTTTTGCGACGATTGAAAACACGTACCGGACTAGATAAAACGTCACGCGCTACGACCGGTAGTTTATTAAAATGTATGGAACATAACGTGCTGAAGTCGTTCCAACGGAAATAGTACAACAAGGACATAGTATTAACATGCAAAACGATGATAAATATTGACGCGGACGAAATCCAAAGGTTTTACGAAACGAAGCGAGAAAAAAAACAACCGTCCAACGGAACGCAATATTTTTTAATCGTACACGTTTGAAAAAATCTTGTCTACCGCACGACGGTATCATTATAATCATTATTATTATTAAAACTCATCGCTAATAGTATGCAGGTGGTTGTAGTGAACAATGTATATATATATAACACGATAACGTATATATCTCGATTAACGTTCCTGTAAGAGTCGGATTATGCGTACAATATACGTGTGTATCGTAAAAAAAAATAAAATACCTGATCGTAACATCGTTACTCCCATTTAGATATTTATAATACTATCAGCGGCGGGCGGTTCGTTAAAAAATTACGAGTGCACCTTTAATCTAACTATTATTATAATATTTCGAGTATGTACATTAAACAACGGTCGGGTGTAGAGTTGGACGTTATTAGATTAGTTGAGCAAAGTTCGGCCTGTATGTCGAATGTACAATTATAATTTTTTTTTTTTTATTATTATTATTTTTTTTTTTTTTTTTTTTTTTTAAACGAGTATCATTTATTAATAATCGTAAAGCAAATTATTTTCTTAAACTAAATTACTAACCAATAATATTTTTGTAAAAAAAAAAAACACCTATATACATGTATAATATAATACCAATATGTGTATATATTATGATTGACCTCTTCGGACGACTGTATTACATTATCTTCGGCGCTGACCGATCGTTGGTATTGGTTTTGCGCAGTTTGATTGTCGCGAACACATTCGTCCTGAAACGCAAATTTACATTTTTATCCAAACAGGAATAATAACTGTAATATTTATAATATACTAATACAACAGCGGCGTATCAATTCAGGTCAACAGAACAAAGTTACTTCCTTGTTAATATTATTATTAATTATTTTTGCACTACACCTTAAATCATTACCATAAAATAGTTTTGTCAATACGGTGTAGTCGTATTACTATTCTTACTATCGTATCTAATAATATTTTTCTATTTTATTTTATTTTTTCAAAATGACACATAATATATTTTTAATTACATTTTCTGACGTACTTAAAACTATTTAACTAAAAACTTCAGAAATGAAAAGTCGAAAATCGAACCAGATAATAATTATAGCATGAAATTATTCAAAGTTTAAATGAGTATGACAATGTTCTGTGGGTTATCTGCTGTAATTTCAACTCCGCAACTCGTTTAGACTAATACAAAGTTAATTATAATTACTGGTCCTTAATCAGTTCCAATATAAATGTTATAAAAATATAATGTCACTGAAATATTGTTGATGGTAACATTTATGATTCGTATTAAAAACATAATTGTTGTTAAAAATACATAGGTCAACCGAAAAAAAAATATGCAAAAAATAATTACTCCCCTAATTTATAAATAAATATTAATGTGTATTTGTGTGCCATGCTCGTATTACACAGTAAATTTTTCAAAACCGGATATAAAAGGAATAATAGAAATATAATTATATTCTAACCTTAAATATTTTCGAATACGGTGACACGAAAAGTTACGAATCGTCCAAACACATAGTCTTATATCTAACGGGACATTGGCAACGTGTTTGAAATAAGTTAAACATTATTCGTAAATTATAACGTTATTTCGACTACATACTCGTTATGGCTTTGGCGTCAGAATAAGTCAACACCGAATGTGTATACAGTGACAGTGTCGTAATACAGTTTCGATTTTGTTTCATGGATAAAAAAAAAAACCTCTTACTCGGAATGTGTGCGCATAAAAATACATAAAACATTTTCGAATTCCTCTTTCCACGTATGCGTAATAGAATCACTTAAATATGCCGATTTCGTAACGATTTCCGAATCGGAAGACATAGCGTATCGACTGAAGTATAACGCGTGACAAAATCAAACGCACGTTATTGTTATGATTCCGTGAAACGCGTTCGACATTACACCTAATGTACGTTAATAATATTGGCGTGTACGCACAAAGACATAAAATAATATGTTGTCGGTCGCACATGAAAAGATCTCGTGAACTCGAGGTAAAAAAATAGAAGAAAGTATACAACAGTTTATTTTTTTTTAGTTTCGAATCATTAACCTCGTTCGGGTGGAAAAGCTAAATTCGACAAAATTTAAAATACCACTAGTACACATTTGAACGCACACTATTATATTAGTATGTACAATGGTTCGCGTGTAAGTCGGATTCAACGTCGCTGCAAAGTTATTATTTATTTATCGTTTGTATGGATGTTTTTTTTTTTTTTTAACTTGTACTTAGAGTATTTTATTTACATTCAAAGTTTAAACATAAAACGACTGTGTTCTCGCTAAAAAGAAAGAAAAAAAGCAAACAAACGATCGTCGTGTGTCCTAGCCGCAGTCATCTAAATACAATATTTATTTTTATTTCTATGCTGTGCAATACATAACGCAACACAATAACAGTAAATAACGTTTACGATCAATTTTTTTTTTTTTTAATAGATTTTACCATTTAAAAATGTGCTACGCCGCAATTTTTTTTTTTTTTACAACACTGTTATCATTTTATTTGCAAACCACTTTATCGCGCTTCCAATTGCACAGAAAAAAAATCAATAATAAAAAACACAGACTCGAAACGGTCTATTGCGATTGTTTTGTCGATAAAACATGATTGTTACTAGACGTCATTTGACGTAAATAAAAAAAAAAAAAACCATCCCCAATGAATAAAACTGTCTAGTTACGTGTTTTATTATATATTATTACAGTATATTCTTGTAATATATTATACAAGATATTGGATAAATGTTTATATGGGTCTGCAATCCATATACTTACTGAAACTAGTAGTAGTATAGTGATTTATGTACTTATATACTTTAATCATATATACACTTCAATGTAACCTAGAACTTAATTGATATAATTGTAATTTCGTTAAGATTTTGTTTGATCGTGAGTTAGGGCTCGTGTCGGAATAAATAGGCCCGCTGGGTCTTGGTTACTACGCGCAAGCACAGCTAAATTATGCTTTATAGATATAGTCGCGGTACGTAAACGTGGAATACACGTATACTGCAACACCTAACCTATATGTCTTATATATCTTACGAGACGCCGCACGACTTAACCGAATTACAAAATCCATTCTTTTACATGCAGTCCACTGAAGCTGCCAACAACACGAAAGTTATGCTACATGCGGTGGATTTTTGCTTATGAAAACGACATAATAAATGAGAACAATACAGTATTGATAAACTCTACAAAATCGTCATTAGTCGGTATAAAAATTGCAGCGATTATGATTGAAATTGAGCAGTAGATATATTTATGTACTGTCACAAAGTTAGGTACAAAAATCAATGAATTTGTAGCTATTTTTTATACACTATTTTAAATATTTTCATTATCATAACCTTAACTTTAACGTTTGCAAAACGTTTTTTTATTTTTAGACCAGTTAATTGTTTATCGTGATGCGCAAAAACAATTTTAAATATTGAATCAAACGTCAGTGAACCAAGCCATAAAATAACAGAGTTGTTTGATTACAATTCAGTCGAACAACTGCAAAATATATTAAATTTTAAGAGAGGAATTTCGTCGAAATCATTTCGTTACCTTTCAAATCAATCCGACTATACTGTATAGTTGAACCGCTCGTAAAACCGTATACCGTTTAACAGAGTGATTTTAAAGTGAAAAACACACGAACGAACGTTTGCACAACAATAATACGGATTTCGATTCGATGAAGTGCTCGACCCCTCCCCCCCGTGGACCGTTATTGGAAGGCTCTTTCCGGAATCTTATTCAATCTCTTCAGAAGGCTTGTTAAAGCGCTGTTTTATTTCGATTACGGTTGCAGTTCACGACCGTAATATACCGAAATCCTGCGCGAAACGGGAGGCAGTTGCACGCGTGCGTTAAACCGAAGACCGTACGCCGAAGATTTGTGTGTTTACCTCTGCGGGTGCGTTTGCTACGCACGTCGTTTACTTCTTTCGCTTCTCTCCCCACGAGTCGTACCAGCCGTCGTTGCTGGTCGCGTTGATGTACTTGAACGTCTGCAACTTGGCGCTCTCGAACCGCACGTCCGCGTCCGAGTCTTGGTGGTGTTGATGGTGTTGGTGGTGATGCTGCTGCAGCAGGTAATTGTCGTCGGCCGTAGCGGTGCGGACCGCGGGCGGCGGCGGCGGCGGCGGCGACATCAACATCATCATGGTGGGCGGCCCGACCCCGGACGCGGCGGTCTGCTGGTGATGCGCGACCGCACTGCCGCCCTGGCCACCGCTCCCACCGGCCGCGCCCGTTGTCGGGTTGGCGGCCGCGTTCTGCTTGATCAACCGGGTCCGGGGTAAGAGGCTGGCCGGCGGTGGCGGGGCCGCGTGCACCGCGTCCTTCAAATGGTCGTCCACCACTATGCACGACTCGGAATCGTCGCCACCGAAGCTGGACGACGACGACCGTCTGCTATTGATGCGCTCGTTGCTGCGGTACTGCTTCTGCTGCTTCTGGTGTTTCCGGTTGTCGTACGTCATTCTCCGGACCGTCGACAATCCGCCACCACCCACGCCTCCGTCCATTATCGTCTGGCTGTCGTCGTCGTCCACCGAGTAACCGCCGCCACCCCCACTGCCGCCCGCTATGTCGATGTCCCGGCTCGTGATCGTAAACTTTTTGTTGGTCATCGGCGTGCCCGCGGACGACTTGTTGTTGTAGCTATTGTTCTGCTGCTGTTGGTGTTGCTCGTCCTCCGCCGCATTCACGTCCACCAGAGATCTGTGCTTCCACATGGACATGCCAGCCAACACCTCGTCGCTGCCGCCGCCCTTCTTAAACTTCCACATCGACTTCGTCCTCTTTATCTTCTTGCCCTGCGCGCCGCCCATGCCACTGTCGTCGTCATCGAACGCCGCGGCGGTCGCCTGTCTGCCCGGCGGCGAGTACCCATCACCGAACGACGACAGATGCCCGACACTGGTGCTCTGTCGCATCGACGAAGGACCGGTGTTCCGTCGGCCCGTGTTCGTACTACCACCGTTGTACGACGACTTCAACGTGCCCGTCGACTGTTTGCCGGCCGCCGTGATTTTCATCTGTTGGTGATTACCGTTCAAGTTATGGTGACGGTCCTCTTCGGGAGACCGATAAATCATGTTTTGTTTGGAACGACTCGCTGCGTCCTTCTTCGGATCTCTGATCGTTCTGATTCAAACATCATTTTCGATTATAACATTTTTACACAACATTTGTGCATGTACCACCGACACCGTTCACCCTAAACCGTTATACCGTACCAGCAGTTATGAGCACGTACTTGGACGCGAAACTCCAAAGTGTAAAAAGTACATTATATTATATAATTAATTAGAATTATAAACACCTCCACCGTCACCGCAGGTTAATTTGTTATAGCTATCGCATCGTTTATAACGTGTACACAATTAGAAGTACAGTTTCGCGTTTTTTTTTTTCAACTTTTTAATCGGTGCTAATTAAGTTTTTCAGACACGCCGTCCAAAGCAAACTTTTGCACGATTTTCTTTTATTTGACTGTTTTAAGAAGTTAAAAACGCATTTTTACGTTTTCATTCGCAGTCGTATTACAATCGTCAGCGTTATACCAACACCGGTAATTTATTCATTTGTAATGTTTAACAAATAACGTCATTAGCCGGTAACGAACGCGTATTGCACTCTTTAACTCTTTAATATATTCAATAATGGAAGACTTATTTACATTGACAAATGTTAATAAATTGTTCCGAAGAATACATTAACTTGAATCCAGTATAGCTAATAGAGAGGGAGATATGTGCAAATGAGGTTATCGATCCACGATTAATGCGTACACAAAAATTATTCTAAACAGTTTTAATAAGCTTAAAATATGCTAATAACATTATACAAGCTGTATACATAAAATGAATTATTTTAACTGTTAAAAATATCCGAAGGAGATAAAATAACAACAGTAAAGAGATAAATTATAAGCTTTTATTTATTGAATAAGCACTTAAAACTATTACTATTGAATGATACACTTATTTCATAGTGGCAGTTATATTATGCTGTAAATGGATTTTTTTTTTTAAATATATTTTTCAACCAGACATGTAAAAGATACTTTTTAAAATTATTTAAATACAATTACAGATAATGATAAATCAGAATTAAAATTAGAAAATAGAAATAAAATGAATTCCAATTTTGCTATGAAATTGTTAATTGATATAGGTGGTAATGTAGTTAGTATACCATGTCATAATATTGTATAATGTTATTGACTTTAAATAGGGTTCACAAGTTTTGGAATGAAATTGTCTGAATTTAGTTTAGGGGGCAAATTTTTTTAACATGTCACATATAAATATTGATTTTATTTATACAGCACGGATAAATAGTTGATATATCTTATTAATATAAAATTCGAAATGGATAATTACTTGATATATCTTATTAAAATAAAATTTGCAAAAAAAATAGAGTACTTTACAAAACTATCACCTACAATGATACAGCGTTATCTAACAAAACATAATGTTCACAACTGAAAGAAGCCGATCGGTGCGGCTAATTATTTATGAGAAGGGTGATGCCCGCAAACTCCAATCGAGTAATATTTATTTGTAATATTTATTTATTTATTTAATATATATATATATATATATATATATATATATATATATATATATATATTTAACGGACAATAAGTCCTTTAACAGAAAAAAAAATAATACAATAATATTACAAAGTAATATGTGCCACTATGATCATAAATAAAATTGTAAAATTTAAAAAAAAGAAGATTTAAATAGCGTTCTGATTCGAGCGTTGTAAGAACGATACGAAGAAATCGAAAGTATCACAAATATTAGAGGAATAATAAATAATAAACCGCGCACGCGTGTGCGTAGAGAAAATATAAAGCGAGGCTAAAGATTTCACTGCACATAGTATGGTCAAGGAACGTTTTACAAGTCGAAGTATTAGAATAAAGCGTGTTACTGCGTATAGACCGCGGAAGTGAAGAGGCGATCGTCACATGTCCTTGAACCTTCATCGATTGCAGTTGATCGTTGCGCAACGCGTATGCTCGTGTACACAAAGTAACGCATACAAGTGACGAATCGAATCGAAATCGAGGAAACGACGATCGTAACCACCACAACAACAACAACAACAACAACTTATGTTCCGATAGTGATGACTAGGTGACCCGCACTGACCTGGTGTTTTCGTCGTCGGAATAATCGATCTCGGGCGCGGGCGGCGGATCGTTGCTGAAGCCGCTATCGTTGCTGCTGTGGAGGCTCGCGTTACCGTGCTGATGATGCACTCCGCCGGTCCTCTTGTCGATCGCTCCGGGTTTGCCGGGCGCCGCGGGTGGCAAAGTCTGCGGCGGTGGCGGGAAGAACGCGGCAGGTGGCGGTATGTGTCCACCGTAATGGCGCGGCACTACCGGAGCGGGAACGGACGGAGCCGGAGGACCGTGATGGTTAGCCCCGAAGCCGTTCGACCTGCTGTTCGCCCTGGGGCGAGTCTGCGAACGGAAAAAAAAAATCGCACGTGTTAAACACTGCTCAGTTGATTGTGCCGACACAAAATATTTAACGGTTAGACATTATTTAAAAGTTGGGTCGGCGGCCAGTAAGCCAAGATGGCAATTTCGTACAACAGATTTGAAGCAACCGGGATGGAGAGGCCAAAATAAAGTGCTGGTGTCTTTGGTTAGGAATACGCACGCGAGTCTGGGAGATTCACTAATTGTTGCGTGTCTTAATGCTAATAATAATTGAATGTAAAACGTTTTTCTTTCACTTTTATCATTCTGTTTTACTATGATGTAGTTACAAATACCTATCACCGTTTAGTGCTTAATCTGATTAGATCTGAGTCCGATTTGAAACCGTTTTTCCGTGGTCTTTCGATATGAAGGATCAATTTTCGAGAATCTAATTGAAAATGGTTATATTGATTTTTCGAGTATAGGTACTCGTATGTAGAGTCATTGAAAGATCGATATACGACACTGCGGTATTAAGTCAGTCCTATAGTGGGTTGGTTATAGTTAAATCAGTTTTCCTTCGTTTAGTATAAAATCGTATATTTTCTAAGAACGTTCTAGTGTGCAACGACAAATCATCGTTTTGGTAAATTAATTCAGAGCGAACATCGCAGTTCGAGTACTGCATACAAATACGAAAGCAATAATTATTGTTCGGGAAAAAAATTGTTTTTAGAATTGTCTCGTTTAGAAGTTTACTTGTTTTACCATCCTATAAACCTTCTACTTGTAAATATATTGAATATAGTGTATCAAATATAATTGTTAATCAAGTGTATCAAAGAAGCTTAGTTCGAAATTTCTCACCCAGAAAGCCCGGCTTCAAAAGTTTCAAATGCCAATAGCCTACATACAGATTTAATTGAAAACTTACTTGACCTTATACAATCATTATACTAATTAAAATGCATCGCATTGCTTTTGGTTGACCGATCGGCATTCTGCTCATTCGTTCCAAAGAACACTTGTAGTGATAATAATTAATTTAGTCATCAATTAACATACGCTATGTTTTATCCATTTTTATTAATGGAAAATAATTTATATTTGATACAAATACTTTTAAGTCAATATCGCGTTATTAATGTAAATGATGCACATGGATAGTTCGACTATCTATATATTGGTAAAAATAAATGTTCCATATTTAAAGGAATCGTATATACTTATTGCATTTAAATTAAAAATATTAAATCACAGAATTACGTAAAAGTTTTATATAAACATACTTAAGCCCCAAAGAACACTCGAAAGTACAAACAGAAACAAAATCATTAATATAATCGTGTTCAAAGATTAAACTTTTGTAAACGACTAAAATAGATGAATTTTAAATTTTTGACATGCCTAAACCCCGGTAAATAAACCCGGTCTTGTATTAAATTTGCTACCCATAATATAAAAAATGAGTTATTTAAATCGATGTTAAAACATAATAACGAAAAAGATTTTTAGGATAAATTACTGTCATAGTATATTTTTTATTCTAATGGGATATTAAACTTGGAGTTAATTTACCGAATACCTAAAAAGTATTTACAAAACAAAAACTTCATTATTAAATTCTTTGCTTTTCTCTCAATTTTAAAAATAAATAAAATAAAAATAATCTTATCCTGTTAAATTAGGTAAACAATATATATATATTACATAAATGACTTATATTTAATATTTTATAACATATAAATAAACGTATACAAATAAAATATACTAACCGAATACGGATTCCTGTGAGATAGAGAATCGCCGAATCTGGTTAATGTTGTCGTCTGATAACGGTTTTGTTTGCCGATTGTGGCTGATTCGCTTCTGTTATGATTCGAACTGATCGATTGACCCACGGAGTCCTTTCGTCGATATGACGATGGTGAGTCCCTGAAAAAAATGAAAAATTTATGCATTCACTTACAATTTATGCCGACATCTGCATGCAATAGCGATCTTGAAATTTCTACAAACATCATTGTTCTTTCATACCAAGTTTTTTGTTTAAACAAGTTAAATTAACTTTAATTTGTAATGTGAAAAATATGATTTTAGAATAAAAATCACATCAATAAATTCATCGAAATTAATTGTAGGAATATCAAGATATATTACGTAAATATTATGTTAAAACAAAAATAAAGTAGGGATGTGATGACTTCCATAAAAATGTTTACGGAAACATTCGCTTTTAGAAAAAAAACATCGAGCTCTAGATACACTACTGCGACTCAAATGAATCATATTATAACGACTTACGAGAACACAGAGTCTTCTAATACAGGTTCAGTGTACGTTAACGGGAACCAGCCACTGCACTGGGTACGCAAGTTTTCTCCAAATTGCCACCCTTTGTTTCCTTTGCCTAAAACGAATATAATAAATCTTCACTGATCGAGTTTAATGAACTTTTAAATATTTTACTAACCCAATATCGCAATTGTATCTTTTTCGTGGAAACTCAGTTGATTTTCACCGCTAGACAGATAAGCGTGTGTAGCTTGTACAAGGTTTGCGCCTTGAGATTCCCATCCGTTATCCACCACTGCCATTGACTTGGGTCTGGATCCATTGTTTCCTGGACTTGAACCATTTTCCACTGAAGTACAACAACATGGTTTAGTTTGTAAAATTTGATTAAACCACATACAACAGTTTGCCCGATGCACAAATTAATTCACGAGATTTCATTCGAAATTCACAAGGAGAATACTATTAATTAATGTTAAAATAATAATAAGTTTTTGCATGGCACGCGGAGTCAACAATTATAGAATCCTAAAGCAATTCTATTTTATAATTGCGATACGTCAAAACAATACTAATAGGGATATGTATAAACATAATTTAATTTTTATGAATACCTATAGTTAACGAAACATGTACAATATATGCCTGGATATGTATGTGTGTATAGATCTGTTCAATCAATATGAATTACGATTTTATATTAATAGTATTGAAGTATTTCCAATGTTAACCTTCCTTATACTAATGTAATTTATTGATTTCTGTACGTGTTTTAAGTAAAATACTAATTATTTTAATTATATAATAAGTACTTCTGTTTAAAGACTGCGATGATGCGTTCAAATTGAAATCAGATTTTGCTCTAGAAAGTGGATAGTTTAAAACCGGGCTGGATATATCATTCATGGCTCGAACATCTAAACAAGATGCATCCATCGATTTAGTTTTTCTTAATTGCGAAGATAGCGAAATCCTGTCATCGTCGATTCTTGGAGAGCTCACATCGTCGTCCATCCAGAAGCTTACATGCTACAATTTTCACGATACAAGAATTCTTATCAGTTGAAAATTAATTCAGTTTTTTATTGCATTGCATAGAATTGCTTTCAATTCATTAACTTACTCGAAGTTTTGTTGCAAACATGGTTTCTACAGATTCTGGTAGACATTCCCGAGATTTGGCTACATCGAGCCAGTCATTAAGGTGCTCATCATACATTGCCTGAGTATTTGTATGATAGGCTAGACAGTGTTTAACCAACGAACACTGTCTTTCTAACGCAAAACCATATCTACGTCTTTCCTGTGTCATGGCCTGAAAGAATAATATACAAGAATTAAACATTTTAATGTTTAACATGGGTTCGTTTGAATCAATTCGTTTTAAAATTTTAAAAATAAATTTCTAAATATTCAATTTTACTTATTTGCACTTTTCTAAAAAATTAGATTATGTGAGATAACAAAAATAATATATATGTGGTAAAGTAACCAAAAACTTTGAATTTTAGACATACGGATTGTTGTATTTTCATTTTTAATAACTCTATTTTATAAGACAATAGTGGACAATACTTACAATTTTTAAACTTTGTTCGCAAAAGTTATCCAGTTTAGATTTTTCTTCTTCGAGAATTTGCATAGTCTATATGAAAAAAAAAAATTAAATCTATTGTAATAATAATGTTTACCAAAAATAATAATGCAGTTTAAAATGAGTATTCAGAGGTTTTGATTTGTTTTTATATATTTAAATCCATTACAAAAAAAAACATTTTGCACGTTATGCAATATTTTTGCATAGTAATAACGAATTTTCCCCGGTATTTTATGAAACGAAGTGTGTACTTTTCGAACAATGAGCGTCTTCAATGGGCTGGTAATAATTTTTATCTCACGACACGTTCGGGCTTTACGGTGCCAAACAAATAAAAACTCGACAATAAAACATTTGAATAATCATAGTTTAACCTCCCCAATGCATAAATAGTACTACAGTGACCATTGTATATATATTTTTCATTTAAAAACACCCCCAATAGAAATCAACGAAATTTATTATACATTATGTATTATATTGCGTCGGGTGTTTGGTCAAGCGTTATCGTAAGTATCTAGTACGCGACTTCGTGTCTTATTCTATCATACACCATGCCAAGAATATTATAAAAATAAGTGTTTAAGTACATACACACATCAAATTATCAGTGAATTAAAAATAACTCTAAAATATTTTTGTATTCTATCGTACAATGTTAAACTATATCAACGAGGAATTAATCATTAATATTTGTAAATTACATCAAACTGGAAAAAACATATTTCAAAAATAATGAATTATATTCTTGTAACAGTTGTGTAATGTCATACGTGCAATTATAATTTATTTAAATTATTTAATAAATTAAAAGTAAAAATATATTTATGATTTTTAAATAGTAGTTACTCGTGAATATTGCACGACGATAAAATAACCTACCTTTATTTCTTTATCCATGGCCAAACCGGCTTTGGGTCCGACCTTATGCTTTTTGCGGCACTTTTTCATAGCTGACGCGGCCTTACTGTAACTTTCGGATCTTTGTTTATGCTGTTGCAAAAATCGTTTTTGTTCGGACTGGCGAATAAAAAAAAATATATATATATATATATATAGTAATATAAAATTAAATTAAAGTTTTTATCATTTTAAATTTATCAGATAAAAACAAAATGGTACCAAGGGGTTAATTAGTATCAGTCTAAAATAACCAAAGGGATGGAGTATTTATTAGATAGTGATATTTTATTTGCTCTACGCACCTCGTAATAATAAAGGTGTACGAGTATAATAGTAAATGTATATAGGTATTCGTTATTTGGAACCAAATATCAGATAGTAATACTATATGAATTTTTCCTCGTTTACTTTTAATGGCATTCATGAATTATAGTTATCGAATAAAGGGAAAAGGGACACAAATTAAATGAACACTAATGACTATTTTTGTCTATAGAAATCGGATAATGAAAAATGACATATTATAACCAAATTACATGCATAACACATATTTGTGAACAGATCATAAAAGTTCAATATAAATACTTACTGTTTGTAAGTTATTTTAGAATAATATTCTTTGATATATACGACTATTATTTTATTAAATATTAATCCTTTACCTGGACCACTTTAGTGTCTTTTTCGAGATTTGTCTCCAATGGTACAATCAAATCCACGTAAAAAGCTTTCAGCTAAAAAAAAAAAAATATATATAATTTTTGTTCTCACGAGTATAGTGCAATCTAAAACTAAGAATCTAAAATTAAATCTCTTATAAATATACTATTTTTCGTTATTATTTTTTAATCATTTCTGTCTGAATAATTTTAATAAAAACACACAAGTCAGTAACACGTTTGGCAAATCACGTTGATTAAATTATAAAAATTAAATTTTTACTCTCTGGTTTATTGTTGAATATTTGTCAATATCAAAATTGGCATGAAATGGAAAAAGCTTTTTATTTGGCTATTTTTGGAATTATTTATGTTACTCAAACAACTTGTTCATTGAAATCTGTATACAATATCATTGACATAAAACCCAAAACTGCCATTTCAAATGACATATAGATTATACTAGAATTTATTAATTGATTCATTAAATTTAAAACATAATAGGAATGTTTAGACAAACATTAATTCCCTATTCATCACATTCATTATCAAATATAATGTACATGAGTAATTTTTTTCTTGATTTTTCGTCGTTTATGAAGATCGATTGTTTAATAATAAAACTAACATCATTTGAAAAATAACGTTTTTGTTATTCAAATACAATATGTTTTGAAAATGTATAAACATATAATGTTTAAATGTTCACTCTTATACATTTTAATCGGTTTACCGAAATGTCGAAAACAATAGTTGTACAAGTTAATAAAACCGTTTAATAATCAATCATATATGGAAATCCGTGTCATAACTTTATTAAAATTATAAGAATATACAATAGTTAAAAATGTTATAATTAATTTGTATTTTATAAGAATTGTTTTTAGTTTAAAAAACCGTTAAAAAATAATGATAAAATATGACTTTATAAAACAGTAACTTTATTGCAGTTTTGCTTTAAGAAACACCCAAATGAATAATATTTTGAATGATGGTTTTACTGTTATAAAATAAATAAATCACAGTTTTTATTTAGAAGCTAAATAATTTTCTTAGTATACACAACCCTTATATTCAATTTTTTAATGTAATTATGACTTGTATAGGATTATTATAAAATAAAATATTATCATAAGGACGCCTAATAAATACAAGTAGAACCAATGGGAATGCGGGTAGGTAGTGAAATTGCATAACTAACGCTCCGTGTGTACGTGCAATGTTGTCCAAGTATTATAACATAAAATAAAAAACATTAAAATGTTACCTAATGACAAACGGTGAGAGAGAAAAAATTACATCTTCGCCTTAAACAAACGACCATCGTCGAACGGATCATATTAAATTGAAATTTACAAACTTCTGACCATGATTGAAAGAGCGGAAAAGTTTAGTATGTATATATATAAAGTAATAAATATATATATAAAAGATTCAGATTATTGCCAGATTGTTTTTACCCTTACAACGTAAATTGTCCTGTGTAATGTAATCTTTTAGTGCATTATTAAAAAAAAATAATACAAAACGTGCATAGCATTGGACGGAAATTCGAAAAACTTTCAATCACTATTTTCTCCCCCACTATTCGCAACCAACAGCCACCGATGCATTGACGACACCGAAGTCTTTTGTGGAAAAAAACCGAAATTACACGACACGACGGTAGCGATAACGGAAATTCAACGATCGTACGAGAAAATAGATTATATCAGAAAACTTATATACGCAATAAAAGTTTTCCACTATACTATGTGAAAGTACCGTATCATGTATATATACACTCGACTGCAAATCCGCGCAATACTCGTTAGTTGTAATTGGATGAAGGACATTTAAGTATGCACACACATCATGCAAACACTCTATTATAATAACTGTGAAATTATACTGAAGTATATTATAATAAACGTCAAAAATAAATGAAAAGTTTTCCTGTAATCGATTGAATTCCTCGAAAAACTTTGGGGTCTAAGATATACTTAATACATGTAAATGGGACAAAAAAAGTCAACATTTAAATAATTTCAATGGTTTTTATTTATCACTAAACAACCGGTTTACGACTAATTTAAAACGATTCACGCATTGAAAAAAAGCGTAACAATCTTTTTAACGTACATGTTATAAAAACCATAAAAAAAACTATAAAGTTTGTGTTTAAACGTTTTCCCCCTAAACGTTATAGTTGTGTATGTTACCGAACATTTTTGTAGAACATAATGGTTAATGGCATCTAATCTTTTTTCATGAAGGATAACAACAATGTACATTAACGCATTATTCTTGTGGATCAATCACTAATTAAAAAAGTTTCAAGACCGGTGCTCAACTTAATTTTGTTTTGTTGTTTTATGTAATTTTATTATAATATTATATGAAATTGTATTGAACAAATGTTCAAAGTCAGGTGCTCGGATATACAATGTATACTTGTATAACCATCATCAATCAATAATCACTCAACGAATGAGAAATGTAAGTATAGTTTTCGTAATATTATCAGAAATTTAATGTGATATACTAAACGTGTAGAGTTATAATATCCTTTAAAATATAAAGCAATCTCATTAGTAAAAAGTGATATCTGTTATATACTTTACAATATAAATATAAATATAATATAAACTGTTCAAATAATGATAAGTATATTATATTCATAAAACATAGTATTAATTTCTTGATAAATTTTAATTACAATAAAATAAAATAATTTATTTTACTAAAAATTAAAAATAATTATAAGTCACATAAAAATCAAATCCATAATTTGGGATAATCACGGAAAATCCAGATATGAATTTGATTCAAATCCGAATTTGAATATCCGAATATTCCGAAAATGTAAATATTCGGATTTCATGTCCATCCCTAATATATATAAACAATTATATTTTAAAGTTTGAGAGTATTGTAATTTTATACTCGCAAAGTGTCTAAATTATTAATATGGTTGTTTTTAACAAGATACCTGCATTGACAATTAAAAATTATACGGATCTATTAAATACTCAGACGAAGTCATACTATGTTTTAATTATATGAGTATTATATTTTTCGTACGTTATAAAATAAATAAATATAGAATTTAAATTGCTGTATAATTATTATAAATAGTATTTGATAATGTGTTTTATTATTAATATTATTATAAGACGTTAATACAACAATAGTTGCTTAATAGTATAATACAACTGAATATGGTAATCATATTAAGAATGAACTAAAACCAAAAATTATACGTACTCGTGTTTATATGTGCGTGTGGGTATGTATGTGTTTATAACTATTTATTTTTTCGGATGTCCATGAATTCTATTGATTCAGTTGATTCATGTGAGATAAAAACCAGTTTCTTATAATTAATTGACATTGCTGAATAGGAAGCATAAATGTATGAAACTAATCATTTAAACTTAATGTTTAGAACCAACAACATAAAATGTAATGTCAAAAAACACAAAGAATGCATTAAATGAGAATGAATTAAGGTTTAACAGTATTAAATTAAATTTTGAAATCAGTACATTACTGTCCATATTGTACCATGTCTACAATTGTAATCGAATATTTTACGTAATAACCAACCTAATGGAATTCAAATTTCACGTTACATTTTATACATCAATACCGACCAAAAGTTACAGTGATATACAGGCAATGAGATATTATTATGTTAATGATCACGATGAGCGTGAAAGCGAGGGTGGCCTATGATCAGTTTGGTTGAAATTACTAGGGGGAGAAATGCCAGTAACCCTCAGATGACTATGATCATTTCTTTGTTGGATGATTTACAAAACAGGAAATGAAAATCGAAATGCTTTATCTAAATTCTTATGTAATTATATAGCACATGTAATACTTTTTTGAGATCTTCTTGATTAATTTCGTATTTCCAATGTTTTCGTGAAGAGCATTAATATACGCTATACGGATAAAAACAATGAATTACAAAAAAAATAAAAAAACGTCAAAAACATGAATTAATAATATGATTTAAATGCAATCGATCTTATTTAATTAAACACTTAATATTCCAGTTAAAAAAGAGATAAATTTGAAAATTAATTTAAAAAGTTGTTTTGTATAACACATCAAAATGTATTTATTATAAACTGACCAAAGTATTTAGGTTCCACTTCATTTATACTTTGTAGAAATATAGTCTGTTAGATTAACACATTTTTTCCACTGTATCCCAAAAACTCGTTATGAGATTCAATAGTTTAACTGAGAATTATTAAAAAAGAAATAGTATAAAGTTAACAATACAATGTACTTTTTTTTGCGATCAGAAAAGTTATTGAATTTTGATGACATATTATAAGAAAATATCATAAATAATAAATCCATGGAATTTGAATTTCTTTTTATAAACTTATGATTGAACTATTTTATTCGGATGTCATTTTAAACTTTATATTTACTACATAGCCTCATATAATTTTCTGACTTCGGTCTATGATGAAATATTAATTAAAGGATGGATGCTAAACTAATCAATTTGTTATTCAGGATAAAAATTATTTTACAGGTCATCATCATAGGACTAATTCCTTTTTCGATTACTTTTCAATTACATTCCTCTCATCTTTTTGTCTCTTTAAACATAATATACTCTTTGCAGTTACCAAAAAAATGTTTTCTAACTTTAATCAGTTCTGTTTAAACAATTTTGCTCAAAGTAACCAATATTAAATTAAATTAACTTTTTCTTGACCCCGCAACAATAATAAAAGTATTTGTACAACTTTACTTTGTGTAATAAATTATCTAATTATAATATAATATTATTATATATAGATAATATTATATAATAATATATTAAATAACCTAATTAAGGTATCATAGATATTAATATCTAACAAAATATAAATAATAATGGATAATAATATCTATACATAAATAAGGTTACAAAATAAAATCATTGAAAAATTACTAAATCCAAATTGTTTTATACTTACAATGATCAGCTGCTGTGATTGAATTTCAGTGTAAACCTCAACAATTTGCATAAGGGCTGAACCTAAAACACAATTTAACAAAAAACATTTTACTATGCTTTGTATTTATATTTTAACATAACAAACAATGCTCAAGAGAGTACAATATCATGGGTCATAAATCAAAATAAAGATACACATTGGGTATACCCACAACGTAGGTATATCTAATGAGAAACATTCCCATACCATGATATCAATTTGAATACTTGTCCACAATATTTTCAGCATTAAAATTTGTTTAATCTAGGACGGCACAGTCTCACATTTATTCACAACAGTTATGTTCGTATAAGTAATTTTTCTTGATTTTATGATAAGATATGATACTTAGATTTGTAAGATTTACTGGTAAAGTAATTAATATTTATTTTAATATTTAGCTCGTAACAACTTATAAATAATTAACATCATACATATTATTATTAAATTTTTTTGCACAAAATACTAGAACACTATAGCTGTTTATTAATTTAATTTACAATATTCTCTAATAAATATTTAAAAATCATATTATACATTTTCAAAGTAAATTTTAATCGTTTTAGTTTGTATGTCAATCGAATAATATTGATTGTGTTTATTTGCTTTATAATGTTATGTAGAAAATTGAAAGTTGTAAATAATAAAACCGTCATTAATCCATCATCATTTGTCAATCCGTCCATCATCAAACTTAATAAAAATGTATGAAAAACATTTTCAAGTGAATAAAAATTTAATTTAAGTGCAATTGATATTTGTATGAGTATACACATTCTAATAAGCTAAAACAAATTTTATAGCATTTATAATAATTTTTTATTACTTAATTTTTCTTTTTTAATTAATTCAAAGAATTATTTTTTTCTATTCAGATCAAAAATATTATTATTTAATTTACTTAATTTAATAATTCATTTTACTACCATATTCATGTCGATAACGATAAAAATTCGCTGGATTTTACATTAGATTGACTTTGAATTTTCATTCATTTTTGGTTTTTTTTTTTTTTTTTTTTTTTTTTTGATTTGGGTAGTTCAGTTTTAGTTTGTTTATTATTTTAAAATATTATATAATATAAAACTAAATTTTTTTGCATACTATTACACTCCAATTGTTTCTTTCATGTTGTTATAAATTAGAAGTCCTATAAAAAGAGAAAATATTTTTGAAATATTTAAAAAACTGAAAAATTCCTATTTAAATCTAATACAATCCTATTAAAATACTCTTACAACATTTTAATAACCTAAAATATTCATAAATAGCAATTAAATAATTTTTTGAATATGAATTTTATAATTATTTTAAATTTACAACATTAATAATTAAAGGCGAGAAATGTGAAATAAGAACATATTATTTTAGTATCCTATCCGTACTTTTTTAATTTGTATATAAACGAGAAGTGCAACATTTATAACACCTATCAGACTACTTTTTATTAAGTAATGATATAAAATTACGATTATTTTTTGATGCGTTGACTATGCAATGGATGTATAATGAATCATAAATTATATTTGTAATAAATACGTAATTTATTACCCTCTTCACACTTTACAATATTAAAAAAGACAAAATTAGTGTAATATTTAATATCTAATATTAATATGAATAATATTAAATTACTTTACTGAACTAAATTATTTGCAAAATTGACAGTACATATTAATCCACGAAGTTTGGACAAAAGTTATAATATATTAATAAATAATTAAATATTTTAAATATTCATTCATATATCAAAGAAATATTTATTTACTTATTCAGTTACTTACTAACTAGGAATATTTTTATTCAAGTTACAAATTAGTCATTGAAAATGTTAATTAAACAATTGGTTTCGATTAAAAGCTCTAAAAACCGATCAAGCAAAATAGATTATACCGACATTTCTCTCTCTCTCTCTCTCTCTCTCTCTCTCTCTCTACCCTCTGAGACCATCTGCTCTCGTCTTTAGGGTAAAACTTAATTACTTTACCAAAACGGCGCCTGTTTTAATCCTCTTTAAGTATGTTGGCACAAAAAACACAATTTTTGGTGTCAATTTTCCCAAATGTCACTCTCACAACTTCACCAATGATTATAACTTACAAACTACTCCATATTAACTCCTATTATATATTCGAAGTATTATACATAAAATATCTAAAAAAATGTATATAATAAAGATATTCTTCGATGTATACATACAGACATACAGGAAATATGATTTAAAAGTAATAAGTTATAATTTAATAAAATGAGAAAACTACAAAAATATAAATAAAATACGTATTCACATTATTCATTTAGAAATTACTACTTTATTGGTTTTACAGTAAATATATTGTTAAATTATTCAAACACAATTTACAAAATATATATTTTTAAAGGTCATTTAAAGTTCAAAAACGTGTTGTATAACCTGTAACTTAAAATTATAAAATATATTAAGTGAAATCAAAATAGAAAATAATGACATTTTTCATACTTTCGCCTAAATATGCATAACTATACAAAAACAAACATAATTTACTAATAAGACACAAACAAGAAAAATAACGATGGTCCGTATAACATTAACCTTTCTAATTTCACTTGGTTTGTGGTTTACATATTAAACAAAAAAAATTAACAAATGTAGATTGTATACATTTCTACTCGACAAACCTATAGATGTATTAAAATATATTTTAAAAAACTATAATAGTACGACCCAGTTTTTTAAGAAATTGTATTATTTTATGGGTGTCTTAATTTTCTTTAAATAATTTTTGGTTTGAAAATGTATTTTATAATAAACGATAATATTAATAATTCATTGCAATGTTATAGTATAATACTCAAATTTACATGCGACAAATATAATTTGGTTCTCGTAATATTTGTATATTATATTTATAAAAGAAAAACTCATCTTGATATTGAATGCATTAAATGACAAAAAATATTTTTATTTTTAGTAATAATATTCCAAAAATTAATATATTCATATCTGAGATATTATTATTAAACATTTTTTTTAAATTATTTCAAACGTATAATTTTTTCTACCATGTTTAGAGAAAACGATAATACAGCTTCGTAACAACCCATAGCTATCAGGGCATTTTATACTTGTATCGTATATTTTTAATAAAAAACGATAGTTTCAATAAATTTAAAAGAAAAAGTGACCATTTATCTGATGATGCGATAATTCGTCTTGACAAACTATGGAAGACACAACTATATTTTATTATGCGGTGCTCAACTGTCATATCACATATATCACGTCTCGTAGGTGCCTACGATATTACTATACCGGAACGAAATTGATCGCCGACAGTTTTATTTTGCGGAAGCATGTGAGGAAATCTCCATTATGTGTTTATCTAAGCCACCCGCTGATTTTTCGGTGTTCTGCGAAACGCAACGTTCATCAAAACCCGTAGCAAATATACGAGTATGTAGTCCATACTTATGTACGTTACACTCGCACACAAAACACACATACACGCACTTACACGCACCCTCACGCACACACACGTGCGAAAACGACAGAAGTGCAATTCATATTTCTAAGTTCATAGTGAAAACCATTTATTTATTATTCAGGATGTCTCTTGAGAATTGACTAATTCCGTACACAAAAAGTCCGTATATTATTCGTTTTATTTGGAAATAGTTTATCATCGTCGGACTCCCTGTACATTTGTGCATAGAAAAGAGAAAAATATATATATTTATATATACATTTACGAAAGGGAAAAAATGATGTATAAACGGGTCAACGCGCGTACAAATGTCCGGTAATCGGGTGCAAAGCGATTTGTCCGATTTAGGCCCACAGTCTACATTACTCAAGCCGGGTGGACCGCAATATACGCCGTCCGAATACACGGGCGCATCTCGCATGCCAAACTCTTCATCATCGTACCGCTTACCCTTCGTCCATTGCACCAACACCGCCACCACCGATTCTATGTAAGGACATCAACTGGGAGTGAAAAAAAAAAATCCTGACCGCCACGAAACAGGTCTATTTGTTATTATTTTCGGGTCGTTTGTCTTTGTGGAACCACTACGTATTCCCTGTTGCGTGTGTTTACACACCACTGAGGAATCAAGATTTATACTACAGCGCATGTACACGGTCGTCGCTGCAAAAGCGTCAAAACCGCAGAACTTGTGTCCTATATACACGTCGATCCGAAGTTCTTACGATTACTCGACACAGTGTGTTTCGTCGCGATAGCACAAAAACATTTGTCGACATTTTGTTACAAAAGATAATAATGAAAAATTACATCAAATCTCCCGTTTCCTCTGGCCGGTACTCTGTGCGTCGTTTTTCGTACGACGGCGATTTCTATCCACTACATTACGTAACAATAAGAAATAATGAAAAGCTTAACAATATATATTTAATTTCCATTATTTCCGCGCGATCGTATATCATTTTTTCAATACACGTACTTTTCAAGTATACGTGCCATTCTGGATTCAACTGATATTCAACGCTACACACATTAGTAATTCAACGAGCAAATTTTGTGTTGTATCGATTCCGAGACAAACTTAAAAAATATTTCTAATTAATATACGCTTTTGATAACTCAATACGAGTCATATTGCCAATACATTTACTGTAAAAACTTACCGATTGAATACTGAAATCACGCGAACGCACTACATTTCTTGTTAGCTGTTAATTAATATTCACTTTTGCAGATACCAATTAATATTCAAGAATAATTTTAATTTATTAGTTCTTCTCGTGTGACCATGCATTTAGTGCAACCTTGGAGAAAATACACTTTACGAAAAATAAAATAAAATTCAAAACCCATGGTTTATAGAAAAATAGTATCTATCTCGCATTTCATAAATAAAATATTAAATAAATCATACATTTTGTAGCTAATCGCATTGCATAAATAAATCATGCAAATGAGTACATTTTTCTAACGGAACGAAACTCATGTTACTCGGATACACACACATACACACATTAATACATACATGAGATTGCGTTCTTTCATCGTATTTTTAAATGAATATATCATGTAAA